ACATCCAAAGCGGCTCTGAACTGCGGAACCGTTAACTCCAACTTGTTGGGGTGCATTGGCTACTTGACCCAAGGTGCGCCTCTTGCCCAGCCGTGCTGCAGCGGCGTTGTTAACCTTAACAGCTTAGCCCGTACGACCCCCGACCGTCAGGCAGCTTGCCGTTGCCTTCAGACAGCCGCTAGAGGCTTAGGCAGCGGTCTCAACGCTGGCCGTGCAGCTGGACTCCCTAAGGCATGCGGAGTCAAAATTCCTTACCAAATCAGCACCAGCACTAACTGCGCCACGTATGTCTTAACCTCTCCCTCTCTAGCTCTGAAATATATGAATATGATGAATGGTTATTTAAAAATATAAGATGTGTATGATACTTGATCAAAGTTATTTTTTTCGTTAAAATGAGAACTATAGTAACGATTTGAAGTCTTCCCGGTTCAACCATGTTCCAATGGAAAATTTATGCTTATTTGTATCTGGTTGCAGCGTGAAATGAGCGGCGGTCGATCGGATGAAGCTCTAGCGGACGTTTCGAATATTATAATATCGATGAGAGAATACTAAAATAAGATGTTCGAATGGTTGTTTTTTTTGGAGTTTTTCTAATTTCCTGTGTCTTTTTGTTGTTGTTGTTGTTGTTTGTGACGTTTCTATCACTTGGTCGCGTCTGTACTATGTTCGCAATCAATGTTATATGAATTCCAGATCTAACGTTTACGTTGTTTCTATATTCTTTTTTTTTTTTTATTTTTTGTTTATTATATTCCATATTAGTTTGTACTAAAGCTTAGTTTAGTTAAACCCTTTAGTAAAAAAAACAAAGAAGCATAGTTTAGTTTTATTTTCATATACATGCAGGTGGGAAGTGACGGAGCATTTTAATATAGTAGTAAAAAACAAAGTAACGGGACATTCTCCAAGTTTAGTGATCAGACTTGCGAATTTAAGATAATCGAGGAAATGATGGATTGCTTTAAGGAGCCGCGAAACCTAGGGCCTATCCAATATGCACGAAGTTCGCGGTCTATTTTTAATCTGAATTAGACATGCATAAGATAATGATTTGGACAATCAACTACTAAAAACGATAGTTTGATTAAAATTTTACTTTTGTATTTTCTTCTTATTTAATTTTATAGTATATCCTTAATAATTTTACGAGCCAAAGACCTCATTAAAATTGGTGGACCAAAACCAAAACAAATCTTCCTCTAATGATCATTTTTTTTAATCCGGAAGAGGAGAACAAAAGCCAAGGAAGCTCTAAACCGTAGATTTAGTTCAAATCCTCTAACCTTGACTGTATTTCAAGCAACCTTTGCTCCTCTCGCAGAGTTTGGCGCACCACTTCATAGAAAAGCATTGCAAATCTTCTAAAGAGACTCAAGATAATTTTTCGGGAGACGAAAGACTGAAAGCCCATTAGTTAATTATACTGAAGAGAAACCGACTTGATTAGTTGTAACCTTCCAAAAAGACAAATGCTTCAATGTCCAAGAGATAACCCGACTTGATTTGTTTTTCATATTGCGTCTCAGATAATTAACACTTAAATATTTTTTTGTTGGATCCGCTAAATCGTTTTATTTTACACCTGCTAAAACTTATTACTAGATGATATATTACGGTATAAAATCATCGATGTCATGATTCTTAAACTGATGATGTTTAGATACTATAATATACTAATGTTTAATGATATTTCTACGTAAGATAATTATTTTGTGTATCCACATGCGTAGTTTTAAAAGTCTTCAAAATGAAAATGCAAGAAAGGAGGTTAGTAAAATGTATTTTGGTAGAATAACTATCACTTTTCAGATAATAAAGTTGAATTAAATGACAAACAAAATAGATGAGAGCTCCTACACAATTAGGTACTCTACATTGAATGTAACCAACAACCAATTCAACTAATCTTTTCCTCTAATCGCATTCACATTCATAACATAAAAATTTCATTCTCTATATAAGCGCTCACACCCTCTACTCTTTCTCATCACCCGATAGCATTACACACATCTGCTTTCGCAACCAATCAAAAACACTAAACCTAAGAGAAAAAAATGGCTGGTCTAATGAAGTTGGCATGCTTGGTTTTGGCCTGCATGGTTGTGGCAGGTCCAATCACAGCGAAAGCGGCTGTGACCTGTGGCACCGTTAACAGCAACGTGGCAGCATGCATTGGCTACTTGACCCAAGGTGGGCCCCTTCCCGCAGGGTGCTGTACCGGCGTTCGTAACCTTAATGGCTTGGCCCGTACCACCCCCGACCGCCAGCAAACTTGCCGTTGCCTTCAAAGTGCCGCTAAAGCCATAGGCTCTGGTCTCAACGCTGGCCGTGCAGCTGGACTTCCTAAGGCATGTGGAGTCAGTGTTCCGTTCCCAATCAGCACCAGCACCAACTGCAACAGGTACGTCTTCATCACTCGTAGTCTCTCTGAGATCTTTATATTAACCTTTATATATATAGTATATACGTAGATCAAAACGTTTTAAGGGAAATTTGAGGTTTTTATACTAACGGTGTTATGTTTGATTGGATGTGGTTGCAGCGTGAAATGAGAGCCGTTCGGATGAAGCTTGTGTGGAGGTTTCGAATATTATAAAATGGGATCAGAGAATATTAAATAAGATGTTTCAGTGGCTGTTTTTAGAGTTTCTAATTTCCTGTCTTTTATATTATAGCGATCCTATTATTTGGTTGTTTCTACTATGTTCTCAAACGTTATATGGATTTCAGATTTAAGTTTACGTTTATTCTATTATATTCTTACTAAAAGTCTCGTCGTTATATATAAAAAAAAAATCGTCAGTTTTGCATTAAGTAACGAAGATATGCGAAGCAGGACAGAATGGATGCATGCAGAAAAGTATCAAAATTCTTATCGTTCCATGTTGTACTAATGGGGATTTCTCAGTGTGAACTGGTAACTACAGTTTTAATGCATCAAAATTTTGAAAAATAAACGTAAAAAAACTATCTGCAAAGTGTTTGGTGTATCTGCGTTTCTTCATTACCTTACGAGGAATCTTGTTAGATTCTGCTTTAAATGCTTCACTTCTTCTTCTGCAAGCTGTTATAAATTTATATGGAAGGTACACAGATGATCTGTTAAACGTTGGTATCAAATCCGATTATCATGAACTCAGTCGAGCTTTCAACAATTCAACTCATGGATTGAAGTTTTCGAACATGTCTCTTTGTTGTTTAAAAAGCTATCTTTATATAGTTTCCGTTGTTCAAGAAACGTTTGTTTGATTTACCGATGATCTTGAGTTGGACGTATCGGCTGCGCCATTAGACCTTTTAATGAATGTCCCAAATAAAAAATAAAAAAAATCTAATATGGATGCATGGCCTCGTGGTATTATTTGTTTTTTTTTTTTTTTATCTCTTTTTGATGTTACGTTCCCTTTGTTTTTTCTCTCTCATTAATCCTTGTACAGTCATTGCATATTAGGTTTTTAGGAGTCTTAGATTCTTTTTGTTTGCGTTCAGAGTCTTTTTTTGTGGAGGTTCATGTCACATTCGAGGAAGGTACAATTGCATCAGGGAGGAAGCTAAGAAGCAACGAGAAGAGGATAAGAGAGAGATCGAGTCACAAGCAGGACAACAAGAACACGAAGTTGATCGGTCCGACACCGATCAGAGGATTAGTAACTATCTAATCTAACAATATTTATAATTTGACAAAACGATATGGTATTTAACACATGCATTGTATTGTTTCTTACCATCAAAAGTAAAAACACCTACTTTTATCAAAATAAGATACGGAATAGTGTAGAGATACGGAATAGTGTATTATAGTGGTAAGGGGGTGACTAAATTGATGGCCTTGTAAAGCAAAGCCAAACAATTGCATTGCATAGTTTAGGGAAGCGACAGTGACTCAATCCTACCCATGTGTCGTCGTGCATTCAATATTTGGTACGTATCAGTCAATTTTTACACGTAATGACGAACCATCTAATTAAACTCTATGGTGTGGGGAGGCCAGGACAAACCGACATCTTCTCGTGCGTATCCGTACGGATAAATTAATTATGTGGAAAATGTATAACCAGTTTATAAATATTTATTCTTAAATCATCATATTAAGTTATTAACGTTACGAAATCTTAGCTTAGTTTCGTCGATATGTACGTACCAGTTCATTAATTTGCATTACAGTTAGAAAGTAACGGAACATTTTTGTTACGGAAAATAAAGTTTTAAACATTCTCCAAGTTTGCACGGTTTACTTATTAGATTAACGAGAAAAATGATGTTTGGTGTGTCTGCATTTCTCCATCACCAATTCGGGTAGATTATGATTTATGCATTAATTGCTTCACTTCTCATCTGCAAGCCATAATTAGTTATTATATATACTATATAGATGGAAGATAGATAGATGGTAAGTCTCTTAATGTGTTTTATTCAATTTGAATATGATATATTTAAATATTTGCGGGAACTATACCAACGACTACCAGAATCTCCGTAACTAATTATCATCCCAAAATTTCTATTTCAAATTCTTTTATTTACAAAAATATATATACTGTCACTCTCACTCTTCTTCTTCAAACCAAAATTGGTGAAGTGTTGACTCTCAAGGTTTTAGAACAAAAAGTTGGGTTTTAGGCTTTTAGCTGATTAAAAGTTAACCGGATAAAGACGATTGGTATAGCTCGGTTTAGAATTAAGAAGATTGGTTTAAACTTTAAAAATCTTTTAGAGAGGGCCTACTCTTGCAACAATATTGTCATGACTCATGGAGATATTTTCTTAAAGCCCATCGATATATTACTTAGGTATTGCTAAATGTTCCGACGTCGTTTTCAAAAACATCCTTTTCTTGCGTTTTAGTCCTTTCGGAAATTCCTTGCTTCGTAGTTGGAAGCATTCGAGAACAACACAGCTCCTGAATCCCTAAGCAGAAACCTCTCTCTCTCTCTCTCTCTCTCTCTCTCTCTCTCTCTCTCTCTCTCTTCGCCGAGCACTCATTTGATCAGGCGATGAGTATCCCAATGGAGTTGATGTCGATCAGAAACCCTAATTCGAGCTTTCTTCACCGAGCTCACTCTCGTCCACCGGTGACGCTGTGCGCTCCACCTTCTCTCCGTTTCCAACACCTTCCTACCCGACGCCATTTCAATGCTCCGAAGCTTGCTCCAGCTGTCGTTTCTTGTACTGGGCTACGTTTCGGATTTAGCTCAGAGGTCTTGCTTAATCGCTCCGTCGTTGCTTTCGCTGCTTCCCACGAGGAATCGGTGAGTAGTGTTTTTGCTATAAAAAAAACTTATCATTTCTGTGTTTGAATTTTCTTAGATGTTTTTGTCTTGTAAATTGCTTCAAGCTCGAGTTTCTGGATTACGATTTACCAATTAAGCTTTTAGGAAACGATAACCATGAAGACGGGTTCCTGAAAATCTATGAAATTCAAGTGAATTTCTCTTGATTAAGCAATAATATCTGTGAAATTCAAGGGAGCTGCAATTAGGGGTTTAAAGTCGGCATTTTTGATGCATGTTTCTGACTATCGAGTGACAATGTCTGTTATGATATAAGACCCTTTTTATCGCATTGTTCGTACAGGAACAATCAGGTGTTGAGGTGGGGAAGGAGAAGAGTGATATAGATGCTGAAGATGATGGTAAATCTCAGGAAGCATGGAAACAAACTCTTGCCTCCTTCAAGGAGCAGGTTTCGAAGATGCAGAGCGTGTCGTCGGAGGCTTACAACGTTAACTCCCAAAAAGCAATGACAATCTTGAAAGATACTTCTGAGCAACTCAGGATCCAAGCGGAAAAGGCGAAAGAAGAGTTGGGTACAAAGGCGAAAGAGGTTAGCGAGGAAGGTAGAGAATATATTTTGAAAGCAGCAGAAGAATCACCTTCAGATGTGAAAGAGATAGTCGAAGCATTCGCCTCCACCGAGGATCTGCAAGACGTATCAAGAACGCAAGATTTTCATGTTGGAATACCCTATGGTAAACACGTTATGTATCTTGTTCCCGTTTTAAGTTTTTATGGTGAGTGAAAATCGGATGATAAAAAGGTGTATACTTTACAGGTCTACTTCTGCTTGTGGGTGGTTTTATTTCCTTTATGGTATCTGGAAGCATTCCAGCCATTAGGTTTGGGGTTATTCTTGGTGGAGCTCTGTTTGCACTGAGCCTGGCAAGTCTAAAGTCTCAGAGGAAAGGAGAGTCATCTACTAACTTCTTAAAAGGACAGATGGGTGAGTAAAGTGTTTCAATCTTTATTGACTCTTTAATATGCTAAGTAGCTAATCATGAAGGGATTCGTTAAAGTTGCATTGTTGATTTGTATAGAACTGAGGCTCATTTGAAGAGATACTGGGACTTGTTCAATCATATATATTTGGATTTTAGTCAACAGATTATATTTTCACCAATGTGATTTGTCCAACATTCTTGGTTTGAAATTAGATGTAAAAACAAACTTGTTGACACTCGTTCGTCTGCATGTTCTTATGTTCAACAGCTATAGTGGCAATCATATTTTTGAGAGAGTTAAAGTTGGTACTATTTCAGGTAACGTGATTAAAAATTCAAATGGTTCGTTTATTTGAGCTATGTCTTTGAATGATACATAATCCACTCTCTGTCTTTCTCTTTCTAACAGAAATCTACGTTCCTGGGTTTTTTGACCACCCTAACGAGGTACATACTCTTAACGAATCTTCTTTTACATGTGCAATTTCATAAAAGCAACTCGACAGAGAGATGATTGCAAGAGGAGACTTAAACTAAACCCCAAAGAGATACTGTAATGATGATGTAGCCATACTTTACACATTTACATTCGTCCATCGACCGAAGTTCCTATATTCATATGTTCCATAGGGAAAAGAAAACAGAACTTTAGGATTAACATCAGAAAGAATGCTTAAAATGTGTTTGAATTGCTGTTGCAGTGGTGGTGTGTTGGCGTTTTACGTGTACAAGATGGTGAGCAAGAAAGAAAATGGACCAAACTTAGAAGATGGAGGAGAAGATGAATCAAGCGATGGGTTTGTAAAAACAGAAGGATAGAGAAATGGTAACATGAGCAAAATCATATTCTCTGTTACTTCGATGTCCAAAACACTTTGGTGTCTCTCTATGTCCTGTACCATTTCTTCCGATCAATCATCTTCTTAAATTTCGTGTATTTGGGATTGGTTAGTTCTTTTACGATATATCAAAGCTTCACTATCCTCAATAGTCTTGTTACATCCAAGACTAGTGGTTACTCTAATAGCCACCAAAATCATTTCAGATGAGAGACTTCGCATATTTTCTGTGTCAGGACATACAGCATGGCTTTGGGTGAAAACAACAGATGCAAACGAGTAATAAGACTTACTTTTGAGGGTTTCTAAGTTACATTTTATTAACCATTAACATCAAAGATCAAAGTTGGCAGAACTAAAAGATCCATCTATGAACTGATCATACATATCATGTGTCCATATGAGTTCCAGTAGTGTTTGGTTGGCTGTCCAAAGGCATGTACTGCGCCATGATAGTCCGAATCTCTGAGTCCATGTAACTCTGCAAATAATTATAGAATTATTGACATGAAGATGAATACAGAAACCAAAATCTTGAGATCTCAACGAAGCAAAAACGTTACCCTGATTCTGTACTTGTAGATTGCATATACTGAAAGACTCGCAGCAGCTAAAGCAAGTACAAGAATCCAAAGAAAGCTCCAGCTTAACTTCGCTCCAAATTTTCCTGATCATCAAAGAATTTCAGGGTAGATAAGTGGGGAGTTTTCTAAATGGAAACAATTTCGAGGTCGCGTTTTGAATATGGAAGATATGTTTGTTACCAATGCAAGCATCATGCTCACGCATGTAGAACCAACCCTTGCCGCAGCTGCATTCATAGCTTCCCCATGTGTTTTTGCATTTACACTCAGGGCACTGGCAAGCTAATTTCTCTTTGCACTCATCCACATCTGCCAATGCAAACAGAACAACAGAAAAAAGATGAACATGAAACCAATATCCAACACTACAGCTAATATGATTTAGAAGAAATTATTGAATTTATATCATATGGTCATATTTCTTCACAAGTACCTTCACAGTTATTTACTCCATCACCCTTGAACCCAGGGGGGCATTTGCAACCACTTGAATGATCATCCTAGAAACCCATTTTAAAAAAAGAGAGTTTTGTTTAATATTTAAGAAAAATGATTGTTAAGATATTAGTAGACGTTGGCATTGTGATAGATGTCAAATTACTTACAAGGCAAGCAGAGTATGTGTAGCCACCTCGAGTATCTCTCCAGCATCCTCCATTGTTGATTCCACAGCGCAAAGCTCCAGATGCTGTCCTCACATACGAATTGGAGTACATATATAAGTTCTATAAACTTTTTCTATTCTACTGAATCCCAAAATTAGGCTAACGTTACATATATCAGCAATGCCACAACAGATGTCTCAAACTTTACAGAGTAAAACAAGTTTACCTTTGCAATGAGTGTATCCGTCACCAACAAATTTGACACCTTGAACAGTAGGGCACTCACACAGTCTTCCCCTGAAAGTATCCTAAAATACCATTTTCAGAACAATGAGCAATCAGATTCAGAAGCAACAATAACACAAAATTTACAGCAAGAAAAAGAAGAAAAGATCAAGCACAGGTGGATACAAGGCATGCAGTAATATTAGCAGCTTTGTCTTGCCAGCAACCACCATTGTTTTCTAAACACTCGTTGGTGTTTTGATCTGCAAACACATAAACAAACAAACAAACAAACAAACAAAAACCAAAATTACTGAAAATCTAAAATAACAATGTTTCACGGTAATCTTTCAGAGAAATGTGACCTTCAGTTAAACATATTGCTGGTTCTGTTGCCTCTTGAAACCCTGCGCATAAAGCTTTGAGCACTGCTCCTTTTTCCAACTTACCTAGAACCGCCAAAAAAAAAATTGAATCAGAAACAGCAAAATAGATGAAAATGCTTATGTAATAACTCAAGATAGGCATGCGTACCTCTGTATTGCCTGTTGTTGACCACAAGTGTTGGGAGGATAGTCACGTCTCCACGGGAATCTTTGCCTATCTGAATTTAGACTCGTTTAAGAACACGAAATGAGTAGGCTAATATATTGCAAGTAACTAAATTGGCTCCAATAAATAAATAAAAAAGACAAACCTGTGACTCTTGTTCTGCTTTGAGAACTGGATTCTCCACATCTGCTTCAGGGTCTCCAATACACTTGTCTACCTTCTCAAGATCAATGCCTTAAACCACATCACAGAAACAAAACGTATAATTAGCTAATGACACAATAAAGGAGAGCTTCTATTAATGAAAGGCTTTGGTTCTTCAGACTTGTCTATAAAACTAACTCAATAATTTAACAGGAACAAAACTCATAAGCTAATTAATGAAGCCATTACACTCACCAAGTGACTTGATAACTTCGTCTGCACATTCCTTTGTATACATCTTATCTTTCATGGGACACCGAACAGAGAAGTCAGTCACATAGTCCCACCATACCCATGGCTTACCGGTCTCATTAGCCACTCTAAAGACACAAGCTTGTCGCAAATTCTGAACCACAACATCTTTTCCATCGTACCCTCTTGTAAAATCCTGCTCAGGATCAGGAGCACAGTACCTCCCATGGTTGATGCACTGAGACTTGCACTGTTTACTCACCCGAAATGCCTCGGGGCAATACCAAGTGATGAAATGTGGTGTGAACTGAGTATAACCACCCTTCTCAAGAATCTGAGCCGCTCCTTTGAAGCTCCTGAGAAACTCAATCTGCGTGTCGCATTTCGTCCCGCACTCGTCGTTGCTATCGGCCCAGAGCTCGTATTCCACACGCTCGTCGGGATGCGGAACCGACTCGGTCCAGTCTAGGTTCATGTTCACCATATTACCATCGGAGAGAGCAGACTTTACGCTGTCTCCCAAGGATTTGCTTACCAAAACAGAAGGAATGTTGATCTTCTCGAGATAGTCCGCATGAGCGTCGTCTTCTTCAGGTGTATCCATTGTGATCAATGGCTCGACTCTGTTATCAGCCACGAGAATCGCCGCCGCTCCGGCTTTCTGAGCGTTCCATGCTTTCAATGTGAAATAACAATCTGTTCATAGAGAACCAATTCAGTTTCAAGACAACAAAAAATGAAGCAACAAAAACAGTAGACATGATTTTGGACTAAACATATCACTGATTTGGGCAGAGATATACAAATACAAGACAAAAAAATTTCTCCTTTCCAAAAAGTTTTCTGATTTGTTAAGTTGAAACAGAGATACAAAACAGAGAAATTATTATTATACTAAGCTCATTAACAAAAAAACCTACAAAAGTTTTCTCCTTTCCAAAATGTTTTCTGATTTGTTAAGTTGAAACAGAGTTACAAAACAGAGATATTATTATTATACTATAAGCTCATTAACATAATAAACCTCTAACTAACTGTTTAACCGCTAGCAAAACTGCATGTATGAAACCTAAACACAGTGACTTGTTGGAGAATGAAGAAAGTTAGCAAATTTTAAGATGACTTGATAGAAAAGAAAACTTGAACCTCCTCGATCAATAAGAAGGAAAGTGGGTAATCTCCCAGGTCTGGATTTGAAGGAGACGCCGAACTCGCTGAAGCTCTTACATGCCTTATGGTTCGATGTTGGATGCACGACGGTTCCGACGAGTGTTCCACCGTATTTGGGAATCCCGAAATTCCCTATGGCGCATTCGTAAACACCTTTGATCGTCTCTGGTGACGTCACTTTCAGGTTGTTCTTCTCCACCAAAAATGTACTCCACGCCAGTTGCAAAATCAGAACAAACGAGAGCGTTATAACTCCAAACTTCATCTCCTTCATGATTTCCAATTAATCACTGTTGGATTTATTGGTGTTCTTCTGCTTAGCAGAAAGAAATTAAGTTTTATAAAAACAGAGGATGATTCGTTACTATCCGTTAACGATATGATCGAATCAAAGAGGAAGCTTGAGTTTTTAGCAAAGAATCAAGCAGGATTATAAATGTCAATGTGCTTTTAAAGTTGAGTGATTGATGCTTGGGAAAAAAAAGTTAGTACAGTAGAAGAGTATTCTAAAGCAAGGAAGATCGATCCTAAAAATCCATCTTTTATTTCATTTGTTTGCCAAACTACTTTCTCTTCTAGGAAAGATTAATGTATTTTTGAGACAGTCATCAAAATTTGAGGATGCATGGGAAGCACGTGTTTCACGTCGGTGCTTTAGCACGAGGACGTCGAAGAGTGGATCCTCTTGCCTTCATCTCTCACGTGTTGTCCATTTTTTTCAAAAGCTCACTCTCCTCTCTTTTTCAACGTCAACGTGATATGTGCTTAATTTCACGGTGGTCTATTGACACTCTAGCTGCAAAAATCCTTTCTAGATAACTTGTAGAAATTCAAAAACAGTTCCAAAACCACTTTGAACCAAATAAAGACTAACATCAAACTTCTAATAGTAAAGAAAAAAAGATGTTCGAAACATTAATCACTGTGTTCAGTTAGAAACAGAGTTACAAAGTACAAACACATATAGATAAATTATACTCCCTCCTTATTTTTATTAGATGATGTTTAAAATTCTTACACACAAATTAAGAAATTATTTAATTTTGTATTTTTTCAAAATAAAACATGTTTTATTATCAATTTAAAAATAATTTGACCAATAGAAAAAAAACATGCAGAATCTAAAAAGTTTAAATAATAAAAATACAATTAATTTTTGCATATAAATGTGAGAACATCAATTATTTAAAAAAATTAAAATTTCTAAAATATTTTATATTAAAAAATTGAGAGAGTACTATTTTTTGAGCTTTGGCTTTTTGGCTTTCAACTTTAATCGAGCACCTCACAATGTCTTTCCATATTATGCTTTAGATTTTAATTTAATTTATGTAAAAATGTTAAATTAACATTTATTTCGAGTTACTTGGGATACATTTTCCAAAGTTCTATGAATTGTCATTTTTGTTGCAATCAGCACAAAAGGAGAATTTTGTTTGTGTTTATAAAAAAAACCCATAACTAACTATAACGACTCTGGCCCAATGGGCCTCATTTAGCCCATGCTTGATGTAGTAATCTCGAAGCAGAAGCGTGAATCTAGTAGCATCCTTAGCCTCAGCCACGTGATCGAAACCGTTGATTCTCTAAGGTTTTAACTGAAACCGTTGATCGCTTCCTCTCGGTCATATGAATAAATAAGGAATACTGTTTCACTCCGTAATCTCTCTCTCTATCTTCTCCGTCGCTACCAAAACGAAGCTCCGCCGAACACATCTCGTAATCTTTTTTCTTTATCCTTCCTCGCATTCTTCTTCTTCTTCAATCGCTACTTGAGTTTTTTTTGGGTTGTTTTTGTTCTGAGTCGGCTTGGATCTGTCGGTGTTTTGCTCAGAAATTGGCGATTTGCTATTGGAGCTAGGGGTTCGAGGGACGATGGAAAGTGAATTGATTCAATTGTTCGATGGGGCGAAGAAGGCAGCCGATGCGGCGGCTCTCGACGGTGTTGCCTCCTCAGGTCCCGAGGTTTCTCAATGTCTCGATGCCCTGAAACAACTCAAGAAGTTTCCCGTCACATACGACACGCTCGTTTCGACTCAGGTGCGTTTTCGATTTACCTCTTTGATCCCAAAAGATTGATTATTTTTGAATTCAGGAAAACGTTATTTCATCTCTATTCCAATGATACGTTGATTTCTAATCTCGTCGCATTGACTTGTGTTATTAGGGTTATTTGGTTTCATCTGAAAAAAAATTATTAAAAATTTGAAAAGATTTGAACTTTTTATTAAGTGATGTAGAAGCTTGAACAATCTGCTTAGTGCTTTGTATGAGAAGAAAATTATTGGAACAAAACCTAATTTTAGACATTGAACTCAGCTCGATAAGCTAAGGCACATGCATTGTTTTACATTGGAGGTGATCAGTGGTTTCTCTTGTTTATAGAATGAATCATTTAGAAACACATATTCTATTTTTTTTTTCCCTGGTTAGGAGATTGTATACACATGTGCGCTAATTTTAGATTAAAGCTTATTCTTTGTTTATTGTGTTTGTATTGCTTTTGAGAAAGTTAAATCCTTTTTCTTGCATCCACAGGTAGGAAAGAAGCTGAGGTCACTTGCAAAACACCCTGTTGAGGAAATCAAAATCGTAGCTACTGATCTGCTTGAGATATGGAAGAAAGTTGTCATTGAAGAGACCGCCAGGGCTAAAAAAGCCGAAAGCACAAACGGTGTCAAAGCTGAAACTGCCAAAGAGGGTAGGATAGATAGGAGGGAGATTGAGAAGACTCCAAATCCCACGCCTGTGAAAGTCCAGAAACTTCAAAGGGGTGATTCAGCTAAGAGCATCAAGGTCGAGAGAAAGGAACCAGCCATTACAAGTCCGAAGGTAGAGAGAAAGGAACAGGACAACAAAGTTAATAATGGTGTAAAGATGGAGAGGAAGGAGCAAGACAGCAAAGTCTTTACCGCAGCCAAGATAGAACATCGTGTTCAGACTGTCAAGGATGAAAAGGTCTCAAAGGAGAACCAGTCAAGTATGAAAGCTCCAGCCAAGGCACCTAATGCTCCTCCGAAGCTAACTTCAATGCTCAAATGCAACGATCCTGTGCGTGACAAAATCCGTGAGATGCTTGCGGAGGCCTTGTCAAGGGTTCATGAAGAATCTGATGAGTACGATAGAGAGAAAGTAAATGGATGTGATCCACTCCGCGTTGCTGTATCAGTGGAATCTCATATGTTTGAGAAATTGGGCCGCTCGACCGGAGCTCAGAAGGTGAAGTACAGATCTATAATGTTCAACCTGAGGGACAGTAACAACCCGGACTTGAGAAGGAGAGTTCTCGCCGGGGAGGTGTCGCCGGAGAAGCTCATCACACTGTCTGCTGAAGAAATGGCAAGCGACAAGAGGAAACAAGAGAACAACCAGATCAAGGAGAAGTTTCTGTTTAATTGTGAGCAAGGTCCTGCACCAAAAGCAAGTACGGACCAGTTCAAGTGCGGGCGGTGTGGTCAGCGCAAATGCACCTACTACCAGATGCAAACGAGGAGTGCTGATGAGCCGATGACGACTTATGTTACGTGTGTGAATTGCAACAACCACTGGAAGTTCTGTTAAGGTGAGATCTCTGTGTGTTCTACATATTTCATGAGACCATGTTAAAGACATAGAGGCTCTGATTGATTTATCAAGAGCTTCATGTCCATCGCCGGCATTCTGAGAATGTTCTGGCTCTGATGTTTGTTTAAGGATGTCATGTCAGTGTCTTAGAGATTAGTAAGTAGGGGAGACTGCTAATTTAGGTGTCTGTAGCTTTTATTTAATTTGCTTCTCTGTTTCCAACAATGTCAAACTCTTTCAACTTTCTTGCAGATTTTATCAAAGTTTTGAAATTTATTTTAGTTTTAGAATTGTATGTGTATTTTTTTTTGTCTTTTCTTTTAATCATCTTAAACGGTTGAACCTTCACAGCCTTTAATGTATTGTGTATGTGATATGGATTGAAAAGTAGCATCAATTCAATCTGGTTCAGATCCAATTCCACTCTAAAGCAAGGGGACTGATGAAAACAGAGGATATTGTGGCATACACAGCCTAAAGCTCACATTGCACTAGACTATTTTGAACAAGATGGGCATTTACATGTTCTCTTTCAGACACAGCAGATGAATGGCAAATAATGAGTGCATGACTTCTAGCGGAATATGTCCCATTCTGCATCGTCTAAATCTCTCTTCTTTCGACTGGATCTATTGCTTCTCCTTTGCCTTCTTCTATCAGCTGAACTTTCAAGCTCTTCAACATCAGAGTATTCACTACCAAACTGAGCATCCCAGAGTCCCTGTGTTTCAAAAGTACTTCTTCAATCATCCATATAAGAGTAGATGCAAATCCCTACGCTAATGCCATTACAAGACAAAATACCTTTGTCAACCTCTGTTTTCTAGAAGCTGCAGCTTCGTGAACCACAACTATGTCTTCTAAGACCTCGATGATGTCCTCGATATCTAATCTGTATGTACTCACCTGCATCATCACAGACAGTTAGTTAATCATTCTATACCTTAGATTAGGAAGCTTTTGCTTGAATCTCACATTAACCGTATTTGGGATAAGTCAAGTTACACACCAAGCTTGATGGTATGATGGTTACCCCGAACGAATCAAGCTCGAGCGATTCAACTATACCCGAGTTAATGTTGAATGAGTAACCTCGAACCTGAGAATCAATCGTTTGCATTCAGCTAATAAACAAGATAAACAGAATCTCATCACACTGAATAAGATCTAGCAAGATTTTACAAAACACCTTTCCGATGCTTCGACCTTTTGGTGTCACTACTCTGTAACCAACCTAAACAAAAAGGTGAGAATCCAATCTTAGACTTGCTTAAAGGTGGGTGACTCACAAGACAGCGCATAGAGAGAGAGACAGAACCGATCTATACCAGTGTTTCAAGTCCAACCATCTTGAATTCAGTATCCAGTACAGCCTCATCTTCCACAAGCACAACATCACCCACCTACATTACATAAGATCTTTAACATAAACACATTTTGAGAAGAAACCAGTTTCAGTGTGTAGTAGAGAAAGAACCAAACATAGTACCCGGACAATGTCTTTGAGCAGGAATCTGTCAGATTCTCCAGATAGCAAGCTGGGTTTCACATCAATCACCAAAGCCAACCACTGAAAAATCGCCAACAAAGTGACAGACTTTAGTGGAATATTGCAATTCAAAAATGTGATTTGATTCAACAAGAACTACTTACAGAGGTAGTGTCAACCCACAGCTGAGAGATAAACCCTAAACTCAGAGCTGATTGTATGCTAATAACTTGCTTAGCAACAAGACTCGATCTCGTCGTCGTCTGTTTGAATCCTTTCGAGCGAGTGTTCATCAGAGCATTTTCTTCACCTCCTAGCTGAATCAAATCACCGTCTCGAGGAGACTCTGCACTATCGTTTTCCAGGAAACCCGAACGAGAAGAATCAATTACGTCTTCTCCATTCAAGCAAGAGACGAATTTGTCGCTCGATTTCTCTTTCTCTCTAAAGCTGAATTTCCGGAGAAAGGCAGAGTTTTGCGAACCAAGATGATAACATGGAGGTCTAGATTCATGGATGGAGACGTGATTCCTCCGATTCCGTCCACAATTGTCAGAGCTGGGTCGAGCATCGATGATGGGAAAAGAAAGGAAGAAGGAAGAGGAGCAATTGCACATAGCTACAGAAGAAGCCTACAAATCCAACTCTATATGAACAAAAGGAAGATGGGTTTTTGAGTGCTCTGATGTCATGTGAGTTGATTTTCAAAACCAAACATGTTGGATTTAGCTGGTCGGTAATGTGTTAGAGAGATCATCCAAAGGAATTGTGGTTTTGTTCAAATGAAAAATGTAATCTTTTGCTCAATGATACGAGTTAACACACTTAACACAAAAACAAAGACAACAAAAGAAATTGTTTGTATTACCAAAAAGTAAGAAATTAATTAGTATTATAAATTCCCTCGGACTAAAAAAATAGAACTTTCGTTTCTCTCATTCGGCGACCTTTTTTGTTTGTCTCTTTTGTCCCTTTCCTCAGAAATTCTCAAGCGCTAAGTTTCCGTGTCGAATTTGCATTTTCACCATCCTTTGTCCCAGAGAGTGAGCATTTCTCAAATTCGATTCCTTTCTCTCCTTTTTTTTCCCGCAAAAACCTTCCTTTCTCTATGTGCATTCAGATCTGACTTCGTTTATTTCCGGCGATTTTGTTTAGTTCGATAGAGAGGAAAACTTTAAGCGTCTCGTGATTATCTTATTCCAATCCGTAACTGATTACGTCTGGAAGCTGGATCAGGCATGGACGATGAGAAGAAGAAAAAGAGAAACAAGAAGAAGAAGAACAAGCAGAATAACAAACGTGCAGACGACGCTATACCCACCGGAGTCGCCACCTCCGAGGACGGGAGTCACATCGGAGACGGTGACATTGCTCAAGTTACCCAAGTCACAGACGCCAATGAGCTGCAACCATGTCACCAGATCAATGTAAGTCCGCAAATATTCAGATCCAAGGAACATCGATTGCTTCTCGTTTCATTACATTCTGTGATTATTGTCTTTTTGATTTGTTTTGGGTTGATACGAAGTTGGGTCATTTGATTAATTTCATGTCAATGCAGTTGGATACTGTTGACATTATTTATTGCTGCAACATTGTATGCTTTGATTTGATTGCAAGTCGTTTCCTTTTACTATTGTGGGTGTTTGCTTAGTGTAACCGATGTATCTACTTTGTAATCCATTTGATTAGTTTAGAGATGGTAAACAAAATGTTATTGGATAGTGCATGATCCTTCATGGTCTGATACTTTTAAAGTCTTCTTCTTTCAAGCAGGCAGATGAATCTGTTGTTGAGAACAAGTCTCAGCCAAGCGAGGTGAGATATTCCCGCTGTGTTTTGTATGTAAACTTGTGAGGCAGACCATGAAGAGTCTCTTGTGTTCTGTCTTTTCGCTTGAATCCCATAACGAGTTTGTAATGCTGTTGTAGGCGTTGTTGCTAGAAGAAACAATCAAACAGTTACGCGATGAGAATGGATCCTATCTTCAGAAAGAGGTGATTGTTCTCTTATTTAGCTTTTAATTTTGTTGGTTTGATAAACGAAAGCTATCAACCACCCAGTAATGGTTCTTTCCTTAGTTGAAATATGAATTGCCATGTCTTCATAGGCTGTTTTCGAAGATAATGTTAGACGCTTGGAATCTGAGAATGAAGCTCACTTACAGAAAGAGGTTAGTGAAGAATGACGATAAAGCCTTTTTCATTACTTTGTTATCTTGCTTCATCTGCAAGCTGAAAAGGTCATAATAACATGGTGTTTTACAGGCACTGTTAGAAGAAAGGATTGTGCATTTGAGAACAGAAAATGAAGCTCACATACAAAATGAGGTTGGTGAAGAAATAGCATAAAACCGTATCCACAGCTTTTTGCTGCATTATCTGCAAGCTGAAGGTCAAAATAACATGGTGCTTTTCAGGCACTATTGGAAGAAAAGCTCTTGAATCTGAGAACAGAGAATGAATCTCACATACAAAATGAGGTTAGTGAAGAATGGCATAAAGCTGTATCCATAGTTTTTTGCTATTTTGCTGCAACGTCTGTAAGCTGAAGGTCAATATAATATGGTGATTCATAGGCACTGTTAGAAGAAAGGCTCTTGCATTTGAGAATTGAGAATGACGCTCACAAACAAAACGAGGTTAGTGAAGAATTAGCATAAAGCCGTATCCGTAGTCTTGCTATTTTGCTGGATCATCTGCAAGCTGAAGGTCAAAATAACATTGTGTTCATACAGGAAAAGTTGGAGGAAAGACTTGTGCAATATAAAACAAAGAACGACGTTCTTGTTCATGAACTGGTGAGACATCTTCAAAAGCTATATAGCTTTCTTTCAATGCTATATAGTTTCTCCTTTGTGCAAGCATTACTTTTATTCCTTCCACTTGGTTTCCTTCCTAATTATCTCTCTGTATGTAAAATAGGACGATCGGTGTTTAGCATTAGATCAGGAGACCAGTATTTGATATTTTCATGTTGTCAGGACATATCAGACGGGCTGCTGTTAGATGTCACATTACATTTCATCTGCAGGAAGATGTTATCTGTAGTTCTGACATTTATATTCATTTTGGCAGTCTAGTACAGAAGTCAAGATGAGACAATTGCTAGATGAAAGATCTACCTTCTCCCAGAAAGAGGTATGCATCCATATATTGGAAGATAACGGTTGCTTCTTCGTCTGTTATGATGCATTCTTGTCGCATAATCTTAGTCAAAATTGCATGATTTCAATCAGGCCAGTCTAGAAGATAAAGTTCGACAACTTCAACATGATGAAGAATCCTCAGTGGCTGTGGAGGTAACTCTATCTTCCACTTGAAAGCTTCATACCAATATTTTAAGGTAAACTGTCTTGAGAGTTAGAATAAGATGGCCATGGTTTACTCATCATAGACATTCAATTCTGCAGAAGTCATCCAGAGAAATGATTTCTAGCCTAAACAATGAAATTGCAAGCCTGCGAGCAAAGGTATGTGTTTCATCTTTTAATTTGCACATTAAGTAATTTTCTCATTTCCATGAATGGTTCATTGAATTGCATCTGAACGTGTTACTGTAGCATCATAAGTAAATGTTTAGTGCTTTTACTCGTGTAGAACAGGACGCTTCTAAGCATAATACGGCATAGATTTAGTCTGATATGAAGATTAAAACAAAGTTTGGCAGGTTACGGAGTTGGAAGAATCTAGGAGTAATATTCTAGAGCAGAACCAGAGTCTGGTTGAAACTGTTTCCAATCTCCAGGCCCAGCATAAAACTCATGAGAGTAACCCGAAGGTTAGGCTTTGAATACTCCTAATATGCAAGATTCTCAATTATAAATCATTAATGTGAGACTATAATGCAATTCCAATGAAGTTCTCAGAAATGCATGAAAAGATTTGTGATGGTTGTTGATATAGGGTGATTCTGAGGCAGAATTAAACTCACAGATTGAAGCAGCTTGTACTCTAGTTGAAAAGCTTATCACTGAAAATGCTGAACTTGTCGAGAAGGTAAAGTGTACTGCAATAAATCTTATTTTGTTACTTTGTTGTGTTGGGTAATTGAAAATCTCACTAGAAGTTGTTATTACTAAATTGTTAGGTGAACGAGTTGTGTATTAAGCTAAACCAATCGCAGCATGCTTTTGCTTCATCCCCTGAGAGCATAGCAATTGAAGTACAGAAGTCTGAATCTTTAGAAGAAATACCCATACACGACGAGCTGATTAGAATTGATAACTCCAGAGACATGGAAACCGCAATGGTAGAGAAAAACTTGTCAGGAGACGAAACAGAAGAAACAGTGCCGGTTTCTATGAACCCGAATGGGGAAATAGATGTGGAATCACAGGTTGTAGTAGCTGGAGAAGAAGAAGCAAGTGTTGGTGTGCCTCTGGTGGACGCTCCACTCATTGGTGCTCCGTTCAGGCTCGTCTCGTTTGTAGCAAGATACGTGAGTGGTGCAGATTTGGCGGAAAAGAAATAGTTTTTTTGGTTGTAAAACCCAACAAACACATTTGGGGGCAGAGAGGATGCTTCAGTGCGCTATCTCTCTCACTCTCTCTCTCTTTCTTTAATTACATAGACTCGGTGAGGATCATTGATTAGCTTTTTGCTCAACCCTTACAGTACACAAAATGCTTATTGTAATTTTATCTTAGGATTAACGATGACGATTGAGTTGAGAACATCATGTACTTGTCTGTTGTAGTTTTGTTTTTTCCTTTCTCAGTATTCAAGAAAACAGGAGAGTTTTAACATAAGTCTTAAGCCAACTGAACAAAGACATGTAATCATGGAAACAGCAAACTCAATGATCCAAAACTAAAAGCACACAACTGGTTGAGAGAAACGTGGAAAAAGAGAACCTTAAGAGCAAGCCCAATAGAGACACTATTGGTGGGTGTTTTATTGATTAATTATTAATATTTTATGTATTTTTTGTATATAAGACACTTTGTAATATTTTGTTATTTTAGAGCATATAATAGAGATACTTTTGATGGATGTCTTAAAAAAAAAAATATATATATATATATATATTTTAATAAATTTAAGTAAAAATTTTTGATAACAACTTTTAAAACATATTACATTTTCAAAAATATAATACAGTAGAAATTTTTATATATTAATATTTAATAAATTAATAAATTCGATAAATCAATACTTTTATTCGGTCCCGAATTAGACCGATCCAAAATTTAATATAAATCAATAAATTAATAAGATAATATTTTTTGAAACTTTATGTAAAATATATTCATATTTATATCATAAATTAATAAATATCATATAAAATAATTTTATATAATTATATAATAATGATAATCTAGTAAATATAAGTATATTGTTGTTTTTTTTACTAAAGTTAAAATATTTTTATCATTTATCTCTAATTTTATAATAAAAATTTTGAAAAAATATTATAAATTTAAAAGAAAATATTATTTTAATTAATTATTAATAAACAATTTATTTTATCTAAAACTGATAAATTAATAACTCTATAGATTAATAAAATATCGAAGTCCCAACATTATTAATTTATAAAGTTTATACTGTATATGAAAACATATAAATTATAAATATGCAATTCAGAAACTGAAAATTTTCATCGTCCACTCACATCTTACCACGTGTGCGTTCTTAATTTAGACACTAGTGTCTTATTTTAGACATTGGTCTAAACACCATGAGCTATTTTTTTATTCAATTTTATTGTTAAGAATATTTGTTTAGACCCTTTAATATCTCTATTGGGATTGGTCTAACGTACTTAGTGATATGTGGTTACTTGTTATACTCGTCGTGAAAGAAAACAAAAAAACAATACTCTTGGGACTTGGCATATAACTATAGAAGTAATGTTTTAATTACAGAAAAAGAAGGTGTTGAGAGTGGCATTCAAATCTATGAAAATTCAAAGACATCAAAAGGAGCGTTCATGAGATGAGCTCACTGGCTATTTTCTTTTTAAATATAATTATTTGTGGATTAAAGCAGCAACTCTTAACGAAATTGTCCATTTAGTAGTAGTGTTGACAACTCTTAGGTCCATTAGTTGTTGTCCTTTACATTTTCCATTAGACTACTCCTTACGTGTCATCCACTTTTCTGTTGACAAAAAAAAACACTAACAACAATCCAAATGTTCCTCCTTGTCAGCATCCAGTCCATTATTTAGTCGGTCCTTTTTTTTTGTTGGTTTGACAAATCTGTTCCCAATATCCTTAATTTCTTGATAATCACGACTGCAAAAGCTTAGAAACTGTACGTGTTTAATTGGGAGACTTACAAGTTACAATTAGAAAACATGGAATGGAACACGTTAATCTAGTTGAACCAAAACTAGATGACCATTAAAAATATTATTGAGCTAATTATCTCAAGAAAGCCTCAAATATTGAAACCCTACAAGTTAATTTAATTGGTGTCATTGACCATGCATGGAAAGTGCTTTAATAAGTATCATAAATATAGAAATATCTATATATTAAAAATAAGACTAGTGAGCTAGCTCCTCCACCTAGTGTTTTGTATACTAACTAAATTAAGATTCCACTTAGTAAAATGCGAATGATGTATATTAGTAAAATATAGTAGGGGACGAATATAGAATATAGAATATAAATAGTATATGTGTGTTAGTGAATTTGTGCGCTTTGCTGGTTTTGACTCCATTTCCAAAATTCATATAATATTATCATTAGTATTACCTTTTTTCTTGTTAAAAAAAGTTGAAAATTACTTTTGCATATACCTCATAAGTTGGTCTTGAGAAAAATGGTGAGACACACATAGTGGATGAAACTAGTATCTTCTGCCGAACCAAACCTCTTTAAATACCACTCTTTAACTAACATCTCCTCTTACCACTACAATATTAATTAAACTGATCCACCATCACCACATCATAGGTATTTTTCCTCTTCTTCACTTGTTCAAGCATCGCTATTTTCTCCTCTTAGCATTCTTGTTTCATTATTGACTCCATACAACCACTCTTTCTCTCGATCTCTTTCTCTTTTTATGTCGAAAGAAGGTCCTCTAGTTGAAATGTCCACTGCTTTTTCTTTTGCTATTTCCATTGTTGTGAATGAAATTACGTGGTGAATCTTAAATGGTAACATAACATGGTTTAATCTCTACATCTATCTTTGCGTAAACCCTGAAGGATAAGAGAAAGCAATGGAGAATTCTACGAGAGGGACGTTGCTTCTCATCTTTCTAACAATCTCCACATCATTGGCAACGATCACAAGTCCTTGGATGCCGATGGACGGAAACAATCCGACGAATAGCTATTGCTTAAGCTGGAGACTAGCCATAGAAACCAACAATGTACGTGCGTGGCGCATCGTCCCCTTGCAATGTATGCGTTACGTTGAGGTATACATGCTTGCTGGTCAATACGACCGAGACGTACAGTTGATCGTGGAACACATTAACGTCTATCTCAATGAGATTGTCCTTCCTGGTGATGGCATGGATGCATGGATCTTGGATGTTGATGATACTTGCTTCTCTAACGTCTTTTACTATCGTCTCAAGAGATACGGGTACACTTTACTTTTTCATACCTAAAGGTTAGAAATAAAAAAAATGTGGCTAATGGTTATATTAATGGTCTCTTCTTTGTTAACATATTGTAGATGTGACCCTTATGATCCAACCGGATTTAGAACATGGGCGATGAAAGGAGGGTCTCCAGCAATACAGCCTGTTCTTGAGCTATTCAACAATCTGATAGAGACCGGTTTCAAAGTTTTCCTAGTGACCGGCAGAGATGAAGAGACCCTTCGAGAGGCGACAGAAGAGAATTTGAATGATCAAGGATTCACTGGTTATGAAAGGTTGATTATGAGGTAAAAAAAAAGAAGCTTGCTTGCTTATTTTACAGATTTTTTTTACCGAAGATCAAAGACTCTTTCACAGTGTGGTGGACAAATAAAATTATACTCGCAGGACAGTAGAGAACAAGAAACAAAGCGCAGCAACGTACAAAACAACAATAAGAAAGCAATTGATGGAAGAAGGTTACAGGATATGGGGCAATGTAGGCGACCAATGGAGTGACTTGCAAGGAGAATATACAGGGAATCGCACATTCAAGATTCCTAATCCTATGTACTTTGTTCCCTAATCATTTTACAGTAACCCTTAATTTCAACCGATCAAACACAAGAGGACTACGTACATACACATACACATGGGTATGTCTCAACTTGTACAATAGCCTTGTGGTCTATTACAATAACTTTCTTACAGAGCATGAGTAAAAAAAAATTACAAATCAGATTTTGAAGTTATGGACATGAAAAATGAGAAAAGGTATATATGAATATATTGTTTGAAAAAAAAAAGTGAAAAAAATATAACCAAACTTTTACATAAAAGTCTCTCCAAAATCAAACGATAAGAATCAATCCAATAAATGTATCTTTTTTTTTGGGTTTTTGTTTCTGCTTTTACAATAAGAATTCTAATCCACGCCCTTTACCCTCCCCAGCCACATCTTTTTCCCTCCATATATATTATCTCAAACCTTTTTTTTTTCCTTATATCTCTTCTTTTTCTGATTTTTTTTTTTTGTAATGAATCTCTGATAAAACAAACATAAATAAAAAATAAAGAAGGAAAGCCACAGGGTCGCTCACCGGAGAGAGACCAGGGAGGCCTTGACTTGACCACCACCAGTTGCAGCCACTTACTACTTGGCCAAAACCAAATATACACATGTGTGTTTCTGTGTAATGCAGACTTGTACTTCTTGGTTGAAGAAACCATCAAAACGCTCCCAACAAAACGCTCCTTAGCATCCTGTTTTGGGGCGTTTACCACTTGAATTGAAAGGCGAAACGCTCCCGCCGCCGCTTGGCCCTGGACTCTCTTCCCTCAGGTTGTTCGAGTTTAGCAACGCCAGTTCCCTCAGCTGTTGTCTCTTTATGAAATCTTGCGACTCGTCCTTCATTATAACCAAAACACAATGTTATATTACTGTCATGTTGATAACAAAGCATATAGGATCAAAGACAATACAAGACCAATAGACAAAACAATGAAGTATTTGGAAAAAAGATTGATTCTTTTTGGCGTTTGCGATTAAACCAATTGCTGCCTTGACTGTAATGAAGTGGTCACACATGTCTGCATTATTGAATACTAACCGCAAACTACAAAGAGTGGGTACTGAAATATAAACGTTGAGACAAGAAGAAGAGGCCCTACAGGTAATAAGTATAGAGACTCAAAGGGGCAAAACAACTAAGGAAGACTCTAAAATTAGAAAAACGTGGCCGTTCAATCTAATAAAGACGAGAGACTACTCTCTTTAATGCCTTGTACTGATGCTACCAAACACACAAAATAATAAAACAAGAGTTAGAATGTGCGTTACCACAGGCTTTAGTAACTCTTCTATAATTTCTTGAGCTTGTCGCAGACGTATCTCCACGATACTCGCTGGAAGATCTGCTTCTATCAAGATGTGAAGCTGCTCATTCAAGTGTTCATAGCCAGGCCTTCCCCTTAGCTTATCTTCCTGAAAAAAGGGATCAGAAAAACCAATAGAATCGTCATTCAAAGGCAAAACTAACAAGTACGAAATGTAATTTGGAGTCAACAAGTTGTTTAACAAAGCTCCCAAAATATTTCACAGGATCTCACCTTTTCGGGATCCTTGATTGACCCTTTCCCTCTGATGAACACACGGCAACCTGTGGTAGCTTCAACACGTTTCAACGAGTTGCCTCTAGGGCCGAGAAGTCGCCCAACAAAATTGAACTGATGAAACAGAGGGACAAAAGCATAAAATGTTCAAAACATGTTGCTGATTCCATTGCAAAAAAACACATATAAAACACTAGAAACCATGAGTACTCACATTAGGATAGCTATCTACTGGAATCTCCAGACGCAATATCCTTTTCACGGTGTACGAACTGGGGCTTCCTGGTGCTCCTTGCCAGTCCATAGTCATTCCAGGTGTTCCACTAAGCCTCTGTAAAAAAACTTAACTCTTTTAGCTTATCTCACAGTGATTAACAGAAGCACATAGTAAGATCAATCAGCACGTCTCACATTTTAGACAAGCTTGGTGAAGCATTGAAGCTAACATAAATGATTCTACTACTCTAGCCATAAACTAAGACGTTTGTGAATGAAAGCTACAACATTTAAACAGATAAACCAACTATAGAACTGCGTAACTGAAGAAGTCAGCATACATAAGTGTTTTGAACGAGGACGGGTTAATCAAAAGGTGATACCTCCTGAGTGAGGCCGTTCCAGCCGCCTAAGCCGGTATTAGACACATTAGACATAAGATTAGAGGAGGCCATAGGGCTGGGACTTCTGTGTCGGAGTCTATCAAAATCTCCAAATCCTTGGTTGTTCATCATTCCAGATACCCTGAACATCTCTGCACACCAACAACACAAGGCATTTGACACTCAGGCTAGTACTAAAGTAGGTAATGTTGGACACATTTTGATTCGATCAGAGCAATTTAAGAATCAAATCAGTGAAAGGCACAAGTCAATCTCCATAGACCAAAGCAATGATCTGAGCATTTAGCTTGATCTCACTCCCTTGAATTGATATAATAGATTTAACTGATTTGAACATTCTGTAAGAAAGTATATGACTATAAGTCATCTCAATCTGGTGGAAAAGAATATACGAGCTGAATATACACTTGAGTGGGTGAAAACAGAAACAGAGAGAACTTAGATCCGAATCAAATCAAGAGAAGAGTGAAAAAAAGACAAAACCTTGATTCAACAGGCGGCTGCATATCGGTAGGACCTGCATAAAAGGTGTAAGCTTTTGATGTTCGGCGAGAAGCTCCGTCAAGTACTGAGAGCTGTTGGAGAAAGAAGCGCAAAACAGATCGGTTTCAGCATAAAACAAGGCAAAAAAAAGAGTGTCTTTTTGAGAGGTAAAATCAGAGTTTTTGGACAAAACCTGTCGATCTCAGGAGTGTTTCTAATCTGAGGAGAAGCAGCTCTCGCCGGAGAGAAGTAAGAGGAGTTATTGTATAAACCAGACATGGGTCTTGTGCTCAATTTCTTCTTCTCTAGAAGCGTGTACAAGAGCGAGAACGATATGGAATCGCTGAAACGAAAAGTAGAGAGAGAGAGAGAGAGAGAGAGAGAGAGAGAGAGAAAGCCAGCAGACACCAAATGTGAATCCTGCAGAAAGACGCCTGACTTTTTTTATTTTTATTTTTGTTTTCTTCCTTTTTCCTCTCTCTGAAATTTCTTTTTAAAACATTTTCTTTTGATCTTTTGGGAAAAAAAAAAGAAACTTTTAACTCCGACAAAAATCAGCTAAAGAAATTTAGGTGACAGCGTGGATCTCTCTGTTACAGAGGTTGAAAAAAAAATTAGTGATTTTTGTGATTTTTTCAACCGTCGCCGTTTGATTATAAAAATAAATGAAGAAATGATTAAAGACAACAGAGGAACGTTGGTCTGTGGGCGTGACTACGTAGACCATATCTTTTAACGCCGCTAAAAGTGAACACGTGTCTGCCATGCAATCGCTCATCAGAGCTGTCTTTTGGGCTGGACATATATTTCCTTTTATATTAATTAAAAACAATAACTGCTGATAAATGTGTTCATCAATTTGTCCAAGTTTTTAAAGATTTTATTTTGTATAGTTGTTCAGACTTTAGAGTAATCTCTCTGTTTAAAAGAGTCTTCCAAGTCCCATTTTTTTATGGCTCTTTTGTAATAATTATTTAAAATTCAGTCAAAGCTGTTAAATTATCCCAGTATTGTTCTTTTTGACTGTTATAGATTTCAAGGTCAACTCATTTTCAAATAACTTTTTAAAAAATTCGTAGTTGGTGTAAAAAAAAAGGTTGTCTCTGCCAAATGTTACGGAAAACAATAAATATGTTGTTAATGTGTGTCACGTAGAAAATCAAATGTATTTAACAAATTGGTTATACTAGGTATTTATCCGCGCTATGCTGCAAGATATTTTTCTAGATTTGTATATATTTTTAATATAATAAAATTATTTATATATTTTAAATGAATATTATATTTATTTTTTATTAGCTTAAGTTATGTATTTATATGTTTTAAATCTGAATAAACATGATATCATTAAGTTTTTTATTTTTAAAAATTATAATCTACTATCAAATTTGTTTAGTTAACTATCTATAAATGTATATGTAAGAATAAAACAATACATTTTTAAGTACCTTCAAGCTAATGGTAGATGTAATTTATTTTCTCTACTAAATTGCTATTTGATCCTCCTTTGAACTTATATAAAGCAAATTGCCATTTAAAAAAATATTAATTAATATGATTATTTTAAATTATAAAATTTATTTATTTATCAAATATTTATTATAGACATATGTTTCTAAAACTACCAAACTATAATCAATAACATTCATATCAAAATCATTACTATTACTTTAGAACTAATTAGAAAGTTCTATTTGAACTGTTGAAATATTAATTTAGTTGAAGTTAAATAATTCAAATTTGGTTACTATAAACATATTATAACTTGAAAATATAACACACATAAATTTTACTTTTTTACAAAAATCGAGAAATTGTATTTTCCGATAAAACAAAAAAAATTATTTCCCACGAAACTGAGAAATCGCTTATTCCCGCCAAAACAAAAAAAAATTCATTTTCTCGTCAAACCTGAAATTTCATTTTCCTACCAAAACAAAGAAATTGCATTTTCCCTCAAAAACCAAAAAATCACATTTTCCCGCGAGAACCTGTGTTTTTCCGTCAAAACAGATAAATTAAATTTTTTCACCAAAACCAAAAAATTTCATCTTCCTGCAAAAACAAAAAAACAGTATTTTTCCGTCAAAACAAAAAAAATATTTTCCCGCAAAAATTAAGAAATCGTCTATTCCCATCAAAACAAGAAAAACATATTTTTCTCGTCAAATCAAGAATCACGCCTTCCTACTAAAACCTATAAACTACAATTTTCTGCAAAAACTAAAAATTGCATTATCTCCTGAGAAATTGTGTTTCCCACGAAAACTAAGAAATCATATTTTCCCTCGAAAACCAAAAATCAAATTATATGTCAAAAACTGAAAATTTGCATTTCCCATCAAAACCAAGAAATTGTTTATTCCCGCCAAAATCAAGAAATTTTACTTTTCTATCAACCCGAAAAATTGCATTTTCTGCCAAAATTGTCAAATTACAATTTTCCGCAAAATCAAGAAATTACATTATCCATCAAAAGCCGAAAAATTGTATTTTCTATCAAAACCGAGAAATCGTATTTTTTGTCAAAATTGAAAGTTGCATTTCCTTCACATTTTCTCGTCAAAATCAAATTTTTTATTTCTCACTAAAACCAAAAATTCATATTTTTCCACCAAACCCGGGAATTCATTTTTTTCCGCCATAACCGAGAAACTATGTTTTCCTACCAAAACTAAAAATCACATTTTTCTACCAAAACCAAGAAATTCTCTATTTCCGCCAAACCCAAGAAAATTTGTTCTCGGTAACCAGTGGAAATGCGAATCTCCAAGCTGTGGTGGTCTGAGTTTCTCCTCATTTGCTTTCGTCTTCCATTTTTTTTTGTAAACTTTGGGCTTTTTAATGGGTCAGCAAATTAGTAAATTGGTTTTATTAATATGTTAATAATATGTATTATTGTTATATTTTTATTGATTCAGTTTTTTGCTGATGTGTGAGCTTCTTATAACATAACGTTTTTTGCATTGTTGTTATGGAAACATAGTTGATGATGAGTCTACAGTTTCTTCAATCATATACATCTCTATCAAGCAAACACATAATTATAAATTTTACTTTTTTTGCTGTTATTTATTATTTGAGTTTCGGTTTGGCAAAAATATAAAACAAATATTTAATTTTATTAGTTGTTGTTATTTATTATTTGGGTTTGTTAAAAAAATAAAATAATTTTTTTTTATTTGTTGTTATTTATTATTTGGGCTTGGACTTGCCCAAAAAATAAAACTAAAATTAACAATAAAAAAAATAAATTGATGACTTGTATTAATGAAATGTTTTTATTGGTGTATTTTTTTGCTGAAGTGTCACCTCCTAAAAGCTTGAAAATGCTGATGTGTCAAGCCATGGAGAGATTTATGGGTTATTGTTGTGTTGATTTATGATTATATTTAAAGAAATGAAGTTTGTATAAAAAAAATTATAGAACTATTTAGTAGATATATATATACGACATTCAACATGTAGACCAAGTTAGCTAGTGGCATTTGTGAACTGTAACGGTCAAGCTAAATTGTCATAACTCATAACTTCGGAAAAGAAAAAGTTAATAGTTTCGTTACTGCCATCTTTTGTTTGCTAGCTAGTAGATATAAAACGGTGCATAATAAACATTTTCCAAAAGATTAATTAAACCATGTAGGGATGATGAGTTTTCTAGTTTGATCTCATATTACGCTCAGATATCTTCAGTAGGGTTAAGGAGTGATTATTTGATTTAAGACAATATGAGACAATTTAGAAAGCAACACAAACACCATTATTCGTCATTCTCTTCTGCAAATTCATCTCCTCTCTCTTTTTTTATTTGCTGCCTCCACAAATCCCTCTTTTTTTTACATTTTATCTTCCGTTTAGTTTTTTTTCTGGTAAAAAAAAAAAAACGAAACGGAAGACAAAATGTAGAACAAAAAAAGTCAATGAATCCAAAATGATACTGTCTATTTCATATCTGGGGTCGCAATTGTAAATTGCAAAAAATTAGGAAAGCCAATGACAAACGTCGAGATGCAGTATTTAGAAGCAAAGAGAGATGCTTACTTCCTATGCATTTTGAGATCCTCGATTAAAACTTCAAGGATTTGCCAATTAATATCGCATACTGTTTTGATGCGGTTGTTCTCAAGAACAAGCAATATCAACAAAAAGATAAAAAAACAATAGTGACGAACCACACAGAAACATAATTACAAGTTTTTTAATCAGTAATGGAAACTAAGAGAGCTCAAAAGCTATAGTAAAGATATGTAACTTTACAAGAAACACAATTACAGGTTTTTCAAAGCATGTAAAAACACGTTCATTTTGGCCCGCGGGCATGAGGCCCATCTTAACATCGCAATTCATACGATTATGGAACTCGAATCAAACTAAAAATTGACACAAACCTAAAACGAAAGCATAAAACTGTGGCTCATTTACATTGTTGTCAATTTTTCGTAATCAAAAGTGAAAAACAAGTAATCTCTTTCGAAATTGTGACAAAATACTGAATCATTTCTTTAAAAAGAAACTCTCTGCTAGGAGTTCAAAGTCCAAAGGAGCGGGAAACGAGAGGCCACGTGGACCTGTCTCGGTTAAGACAACGTTAACATTAACGCGAAGAGGCGCTTAATCAGATCTAATCCAAAAGGGGCTTTAGGGTTTATGAAAACCCAAAGAGCAACAAAAAAAATCATCATCTCTTTTACATTCTTTCATTTTTCCCGATTTTTTTTTTTAACAATCTCAGAAAGATCATCCCACATCAATGGAGAAGTACGAGAAGCTTGAGAAGGTTGGCGAAGGAACGTATGGGAAAGTGTACAAGGCCATGGAGAAAGGCACTGGGAAGCTTGTTGCCCTGAAGAAGACGAGACTCGAGATGGACGAAGAAGGCATACCACCGACCGCTCTTCGTGAGATTTCTCTTCTCCAGATGCTTTCTCAGTCTATCTACGTCGTTCGTCTCCTCTGCGTCGAACACGTTCTTCAATCCAAGGACTCAATCTCTCCACCTTCACCTGTTTCCCACACCTCAAAATCCAACCTTTATCTCGTTTTCGAGTATCTCGACACTGATCTAAAGAAATTCGTTGATTCGCATAGGAAAGGCTCCAACCCTAGACCCCTTGAGGCTTCCCTCGTGCAGAGATTCATGTTTCAGCTTTGTAAAGGCGTGGCTCATTGCCATAGCCACGGTGTGCTTCACCGTGATCTCAAACCGCAGAACCTTCTTCTGGATAAGGACAGAGGAATCCTAAAGATCGCTGATTTGGGTCTTGGCCGTGCCTTCACTGTCCCTCTCAAGTCTTACACTCACGAGATTGTTACTCTCTGGTATAGAGCTCCCGAGGTTCTTCTCGGATCTACTCATTACTCCACTGCGGTTGACATTTGGTCCGTTGGATGCATCTTTGGTTAGTAGTCTTCCTCACTCACTTTGAAATGTGTCTTTGTTCTTACTATTTGCCTTGTTGCTGTTTCTTACTTTTCACAAAAAAAAAACTTGCACAGCCGAGATGATTCGGAGGCAAGCTCTTTTCCCTGGTGATTCAGAGTTTCAGCAATTGCTTCACATTTTCAGGTATTTGCTTCTTGTTTCGATCCACCTTCCACCATTCTGAATATCAGTTTATTGATAGTTTTGATGCCAGTGTATTCACAGGAACTCAGACTGAATTAGGATCATACATATAGACTGTATCTCTTAATCATGGTTCCTTTTGGTTTTTGGGAGATTGCTAGGGACACCAACGGAGCAGCAATGGCCTGGTGTGATGGCTCTGCGTGACTGGCATGTGTATCCAAAGTGGGAGCCGCAAGACTTATCACGCGCTGTTCCATCTCTATCCCCTGAAGGAGTTGATCTTCTCACGGTATGCTCTTCCAAAATCTTCCCTGTGATCGCTGCACGAAGGCATAAGATCTAAAATAGAACATTCTCTTGCAAACTTGGTTCTCTTCTGTGGCTTTAAAGTCTGTTTGTTTCTCAGTTCTTTCTAGTTGGCTTTAATGATTGAACCTTTGAACGAATGCAGAATATGCTGAGGTACAATCCAGCTGAAAGAATTTCAGCAAAGACAGCTCTTGACCATCCCTACTTCGACAGCCTTGACAAATCTCAGTTCTGAAGCTGGCACTGTCTGCCCGAAACTCTCTCATCACCCTCTGGCAAATTGCAATCTTGTATTACTCATCAGGCTTCTGGTTGGAGTTTGGAAGTGGATTTGCTCATCATCTTGGTGATTTTGGCATTCTGTTATTTACTACCACACCAGTGTCTCCTGTATTGTCTCTTTTGAGAGGTTTGTACTTTTACAGAAGAAACTAAAAAGGCTTGTTTGTCTAACTGAAGAGAAATGCAATGTGTTCTGCAAAAGTGAAACGTTTTCTTCAAGTGGCCAAAATTGTTTTCCGGTATGATGTATCTTCTTGTGAAATTTTGGGGGGAAAAACTGAGTGAATCTTCAGAACTGCAGCAAATTAGATGACAAGACAAACTGCAGCAAAGTGACAAGAATCCATATGCTCTGATCACTTTTTGCAAGCAAACAATTCATATTAGTGTACATATATGGGAGTTGAATCCCCCACATAGTTCCTGACTCATTACAACCACAATTGCCGCTCAAAGACTAGAGAAAGTTACAAATCACATTACACACAGTTTTTAAGAAAAACCAAGACACAGAGAGATCCTCCATAGCTATTTAATCTACACAAACAAATGATGAGTAGAACCTTCAATTAGACCATACATGGAGAAAGCCATGCCTGTTTCCGGTGTAAATTTCGTTACGCTCTTCATCATAGAAGAGAGCGGTTATGTCTTCCAAAGCCTCAGCAACCGCACTTTTTCTCTGCTTGGACTTGCCCAAACTGCTACTGCTCTCTTCTTCCTTTGGAAGGCCATCGCTTGCTTTTATTTTAGCTAAGCATTTCCCAGTCAAGATATTGCTTATATTAATCGACCCCGCTGCATCAACCATAACCAGTCCACAACAATATCAGACTCTTTTTGATATAAGGTTTCTTGATTGAAAGTGTGTGGATGAGTCTGCTTACCATTTCCTTCCATCCACTGATCTTCGGTATCAGCCTTGCAATATGAGATGATCAGATCCTGGTCGCTTGTTATGTAGATGTTGTTTGTGTTACAGTCAGGATGCCAAAGAAGATGATCCTCAAAAGACGTCACAAGCTCTCCGCGGAAATTCCAGACAGAAACGTTTCGGTTCCTGAACGTTAGAAACAACTGGTTCTCGTACAGAAATATGAATGCTGACGGTGTCATGAATTCGGTTCTGCTAACTTCTATCAGCTCAGCGTTTCGGACCTATCAGAAAGAAGAAGAGAAAAACTCTATTAGAAACATAAACACACACACAAATATATAAAGCGGTTTGGACAAGAATCAAAAATGTATCACTCACGTCAAGAATTTGGAGGTTCTCATTCTCTTGCTTAACTAGCAGCTTCTCATTGAACTGTTCAATGAAATCAACTTTCTTGTTTCGGTGAAGCAAGTGATTGAAGGACTTGAGAACTGTGCCATCTTCGATTGACAGAATCTTCAAGGGAACATTACTTATAGCTCTCTTGAAAATCAATAACATTATCCCTGGACTGATGCAGATAAACAAACAAACACATGCACGAGTTAAAGAGGTAACACATAGCTAAGTTGACTGATCTTCCAATCCAACCCAAGTACACACAACACTTTCCAAGTTTTGCAAACAAGAAACATAGAAAGGGAAAGTCAAATGTAGAAAAAGGTCACCTGATCTTAATTTCCTGGACATTTTTGTCTGATATTGAATACAGCATGGCATAGTTTTTCAGATCAAACACCTTGTAAACACTGCAGAACAAGTCTATGGCTCAGTTGAGAAACTTCAAGTCAAACAAAACTTGGAATAACGAAGAACAGAAAAATACCTGTCCTGTGCAGAATATGTCAGCACCTTCCCATTAACATCATCAAACTCTACAAAACCTGGCCACTTCAGTGACTCAGACTCAAAAAGGGGAAATCCTGCGTCTGCTTGACCCCTCAGAATATATCTAACAATACCAAACAAACAAAAACAAAATTAGTTTTAAAGAGTCTGAGAACTAAACTTAAGAAAGACACAACACAACACAAAGAGTAAGCATACTCGATTCTAGTGGATCTGCATTTCAAAGAGCTGAAATTGTCGGAGGCGTAAACAGAAACCGTGATGAGTGAATCATTGTTCTTGTTGTAGAACAAGCTACGTATGACTTCATCAGGGGTAACATTTAAAAAGCAAACCCTTTTGTTCGTCTCTGCAATTTCAACATAGACAAATATCACAAAGGTTAATAAAAAAAAAACTCGCCATCAAAAGCACAGTGACAAAGAGAGAGAAAGACAAGCAAGTAGTAACCTCTGCTGAAAGATGCGCAAACACCAGAATGAGCAAGAGTAAAGACAATGTCCCGCGCAGCGACAATCTCGATAACTTTGGTTCGTTTCATCAAGAAGGGTAATGCAACTGAACAGTGTCCTTTAGGGTCGTGCGTATCGTATTGTTCCTAATTCAATATTTCAAACTCAGGTGAGCCAAAAAAAAAACAAAAAGAGCAGAAATTTTGAGGACCCAATTGAGGATTTTGAGAAAATCAGACATACCACAAGACGCATATTGCGGAATCTTTCTTGAGCGGTGCTTATGGAGAAGCCTCGATCCATACGAGACGAGATTTCTCTGCGTTGGAGCTTTTTGACGCTGTTGATGAATCCATCGGAACGAGACCTCTTTTTGGCTACGATTCTTCTGCCGCTGCAAGGTTTAGGGTTTGCTATGATCCTTCTTCCTTCCATCGTCAGCTTCCTTTGAGTTCAAGATTTAGGGCAGAAGAAGAATCATGGACTTGAAGATGAAGAAGGAGGAAGGTTGCGGAAGGAACGAGGACTGAAAGAAACAAACTTGGCGACTGAAACAGCTGCAGCAGGAGGTTCAATGGCTAAATCCAAATGTCTTTAAGCTCTCTCTCTTTCGAAATTTCAGTGTCAATCTGAATCTGTGGGCCTCTGGCACAAAAGAGAGAGAGGAGAGGAAACCGTAAGAAAAATATCATAAACTAAAGTTAGAGGGCTTGCTTTTGTTTCTGTAGTAAGATGTTAAAATCCGTATGTACGAGGTGTAATCACATTTTCGCTCTTTATAGATTCAGAGTTAAAAAAAAAAATACGGTACAATTTTTTGCTCTATTGTGTGATTTCGCAAAATTTGGTGCTAAAATAAGTAAATTTTGATTTCTACACAATAACAATGATTTTACTATCTCTAAATTTAGTATTAAATCTTAAATTTTAGTGTAAAAAATTATGGTTATGTAGTTTTACATTTTTCAATTTGAGATTGGCGCTAAATGTTAATTTACAACTTTGCATCAAAATTTAGTTTCATAGTTTTATAATTTTCAATTTGAATTTGATGCTAAATGTTAATTTACAGTTTCGCGCCTAAATTTTGACTCAAAATTTATTACCAAATTAAAATTATAAAATTATTATATCACATTATTATTATAAATATTTTATAAATTTAATGCATATAAAATTATTATATTGTTTTTCAAACTTATACATAACAAATTTTGAATTCTCAATCAATTATTTTATAATAAAACTTGATAAATTAAATATAGTTAAATATCAGCTTTGATGAAAATAATTTTTAATCAGTGTTGGTGTTAAATTTCATTTTCATATTAATTTTTTCCTTTTAATTCAAAATGTGTAAACATGATTTATTTTTCAACATATTTCTCTTAGCCAATAAAAATAAAACAAAATAAAAAACATCACTTTCAATTCTAAAATCAAAGTTCAATTTTATAGTTTTGATAAATCTATGTTATGTAATTTGATTTTAGAATTAAGGCGCAAAATATCAAAGTTGTATTTATTTTTATACCACATCACAACATGAATGAAACAAACTTAAAATAGCATTATGGTTCCATTTTGTAGTTTTGTAAAATGAAGAAGATGAAGTGAAACTTTTCTTCTTCACTTTCAATTCCAAAATCATGGTTCCATTTTGTAGTTTTGGTAAATTTATGTTATGCAGTTTGATTTTAGAGTTAAAGTATAAATATAAAAATTATATTTATTTTATGCCGCATCGAATTTCGACACAAAATATTTACCTGAGCTACAAAAGACAAAGAAATTATTCACTTGAGAAACAAAATCGTTACTCATGTGTGCAGAATCCATATCATTTATTTTGGACATAAAATATGATATTGAGTGACCCTAATTCACAATAGGAATTAGAAACATAACTCCTTTCAGCAAAAGCATGTTGAGAATTTCCAACATTTTGTAACGAAATATTTCATCATAAGTTTGCTATAATGTACGTAGTATCAAATTAAATGTATATAAACCTCTTTTTTTTTTCCTTCTTAACTCAAAATTCTTTTGTAGTATCAAGGCGAGAATCAAAGCGAAAAAAGTTGTCTATGTTCAATTACATAAGAACACATTCATAATTTCATACAATTACATAACAAAAAAAAAAGATACTAATATATATTATACTTACAAAGCTTAAAATGAAAAATCAATACGATCGAAACATTTGATCGAGGATTATGGTAAACGCCATGGCAACACGAGGATCCATCTCCGGTTCAACCACAAGTTTAAATATATCTTTTCCAAAGGCAACTCCTCCGACCATTGCCTCTTTCCTCTTGATCTCCGCCGTTTTCTTCTTATTCCTCCTCTCGTCCAATATCTTGCAGCTTCTTTGACTGTACGATCCTTCAACCTCGTATAACACCGTCTTCTTTGAGCTAATCCACGCCAAGCTTCTTCTGTTTGTTATTATGTTAACGTTCTTTCTCGCCGTAAATATTGGGTCTCTCTCTGTTTCTCCATCGCATACCATCCAACAATCTCCTAGGCTCAACTTCTGAACAAGTAAATTAAGAGGAAAAAAAAGAAAATTCAAGATTAGTTTCATTTTAACATAAAAGACCAATTCATGGTTGTCCAAAGAGAAAGAGAAAAAATAAATATTTGGTTCTTGAATTCAGATCTTTAGGTTATCAAAAAGAGGAAAGAAAAAGTACCTTGCGGCGGATGGAGAGGAGAGGTAAGCCAGAAGCATCCATAAGGACGATGTTATCTTTGGGACTGTTCATGTAGTTGTCGACCCTAAAGACAAGATCTCCATTGGAGTTGTAAACTGTGAATCCATCGCAGTTGAAGAGAAGTGACTTCTTCCACACCGTTAAAACGACGGCTGCTTTACTATCGCACAAGCTCTCCTCGCAAGTGTTTGGGAATTTTGGGTAAACTTTTGTCATATCCTTTTTTTTTTGTTTTGTTGATTCTCTGTTTCTATGTGTTTATGTCTTGTTTGTTTTTTGTGGGTTTTGATGATTGTTGTTGGAGAAGATGAGTTGATCTTTGTATATTGGACAAATGAGAAGAGGTGTTTGCGTGTTTATATATACAAAATGTAAGAAAGAGAGAATGTGGTTCTCAAATGAAAAGAATGGTCTCATCTTCTTGTTTTCCACTATAGAGATATCCTTTTCACTCTATTAGTATAAGATATCTAGTCTTTAATTTATCTTATTTTTTTTAATGCATCAATATATATTAAGTGATTCCTTTCTGTAATCAAATGTTATAGTACCGGTTTTTTATTTCACCTAAACTCCAACAAAATATTATATAGGAACCTTGCTTTTGATTTTTTGATCTGACCAATATTGGACGGTTGGACTTGGACCTACAAAATAGCTCATGGTCTCATGTTTTTTTTCAAAAAAATCTAACGATAACTCTAGTTATGTAACAACAAACTCCACACTAGCTCTAGTTCATAGGATAGATGTTTTAGAGAAATCTATAAAAAAAACAACACGATCATTATTTATTGTTGACAATTTTAACATTTTTAAACTTGATTAGCTAAGTATATTATTCAAGGCAAATTACAAAGATACATTTAAAATAGTTTTTTTTTAACATTAACGTTTTATTAACGCTCTCTTTTATCTATTTGATTTTCTTCTCTATCTATTTTCTCATACTATATAAGAAAAAATTTAGACTAAATAATATTTTTATTTACTTTCATCCACTTGTTTAGTCTTTCTCTCTTTATTTTCCTTTACAATCTTTTTTAGTTATTAATAGAGAAGAATATTACTGCCTCAAAAGTAAAAAAGAACAGAATCTATAGCAACGAAAACCTACGGGCCATAATCCATCGTCATTTCCAGTGTATCTTTTTATAATGGAAAAAAGTGGAGTTTCTATATGAAATATTCTTCATTTTCTTATATGATTATTTCTGCAGGGTTTTTCAAACTATTGTCCAAAATTGAAAACAAAGTAATATATATATATATATAACACATCCAGTGTATATTTTTATAGTGGAAAAAGTGGAGTTTTCTATATGAAATATTCTTTATTTTCTTATTTCTGCTGTGTTATCAAACTATTGTCCAAAATTGAAACCAAAGTAATATATATAATATGTATATTATTCCCAAATGTTCAAAATCACTTTGTGGATCAACTTCTTGCATGTCCTAAATCCAAGCCTAGTCATTGGCTATTTTGGACCAATAATGTTTAAGAAATCAGATAATATATAGTTATAAACATCAATCTTAGAATTATTTACCATGGACATTTATGAGCCAAGAAAACATAATCTAGTGGAGGATAAGAACGGGTGGAAAGCAAAGTTCAAATATATAAACTAAAAAAATGAAATCATTCAAAGTTTCAAACATGGACATGAAATAAAAACGAGTTAAGAAATCGAGTTTTGAACCAATCCTTGGTTTAAATATGATATGATGAAGGAGGACCACTACATCAATATCATCATTATAAATAATTAAGCTTAAGGAAAAAGTGTGTGGCGGAGAAGCAATTAGCGGTGTTAGGAAGAGAAAAGAAAAACCATCCCAAACAATTCCACTAATTTTTTTTTAAAATTAAAAGTTTAATATTAAATTCTTCTGATATTTTTCCACGTCCGTGGTAATAATGAATGTTCCACTTACGTTGACCTCTCTTTTATTTCTTTTATATTCCTCTCGTTATCTATCGTTTGTTTACAGACAAAAAGATTTGCGTTTCTGCGTCACATGTACAAGAAAGTGATTACGACCTTTGAGAGGTAAGACGCGTCCCACTTTCAGAAAGAAAAGTATGTAAATAATGGATTTAATAACAAAAAACGCTCTGCACTTTGAGGAATATGTTCTGTCTTTGCTCTGTTTACTGCAGTGCAGATGTAATACAACCTAACTTTGTCTGTCTTCCTACCAAATTCGATTCCTCACTCTATACCATCTTATTCCTCATTTAGCTTTTTAAAAATGCTCATTTTGCATCATATTACCTCGTATGTCATCATTAAATGTGAATAAATTTGTAACTAAATCCTTAGAAACTGAAATTCTATTTAATAACAAAAAAAATCACGTGAACTAGTTTATAGATAAAATCCTTATGGCTTCTATATTGATTTGGGTACGTGAAAAGTAAAATAATGAAAAAGAAACACATATGACAAATGGAAAATAACGCTAGGAAAAAGAATGGCACATCTCTTTGCCAAAAATCATATACAACATCATCAAAGTTTCTGTTCACATCCACTTTTTTTTTTTTTTCTTTCTCATTCATATAATAGCTTTTTCAAGCATCGTCATCACGTCTCTTAAAAATCAATTTGCTATCACCTTTTAACTCACTTCTGCTTTTGCTCTTTTTTCCCCTTCAGCATTTTCTCCTGCAAATGCATTCGGGTTTATTTACCCCCACCCAAAAAAATGAGATGTGCGCTTAACCACCACCACTCTAACTTTTTTTTTCTTTGCGTGTAGCTTCTTCTAAAGCATTGGCCACTGTAGTTTACTTACTCAATCATGGATTCACGTTACAGTCACTCAAGAACCGATCTTCCCGATTCAGATGCTTTCTCCAATAGTTTTTGTACTGTGGGATTCCCAGCTCAAGCCACGGCTTCATGTTCCCGTTATAGTGCAGTATGGCTGCGTTTCTTATGGTTTCGGTGTTGATATAGAAGTCATAGCCAAGTCCCGACAGAGCCCATTTGTCGTCAAGAGCGTAAACTTGGTCTTGAAACGTAAGCAAGCTTGCTTGCAACGCAATCGCTTCTCTTGACTCATCTCCACCACTCATCTGCTGGCACAAAACACACAAGAAAGTCAGACAGAGATCACTGAGAGTTTCTCTATTAAGTTTTTTCAGAAAACTGACCTCTTTATAAAATTTCTGGTAGGTTTCTGAAACACCCAATTCCCTCCATCTAGCAAGATCGATGACATTCAATCCAGACATCCAGAGACATGCATTAGCATCAAAGCTTCCTCTCTTGAGACTCTTTAGCTGACCCAACCTCACAGAGCATGACTTCACAGCGCCGTTCACTTTCCCTTCCATGTCAAGGTCCCAAAGGGGAGACAAGTCTCGCTGGACTACTACGTCATCATCTAGAATCACAACCTTTTCCAACTTGTGAAATAATTTGGGAAGAATGTAGTGAGACTGAGAGAAAATGGATAAGTAGTGTGTTGTATTCTGTTGTGACACACGGAACTCCGCAGGCAACGACAGTTTCATATCAGAATTGTCCAGCTCGAGTTTTTCAATGTTCAGTACTTGAATAGCTGCTTGTTTGCAGGGATTCCTGATGAACCATTGTTTCATCGCAAAGTAATTCTGCTCGTCTGTCAGAACGTGGAAAACAAAGTTTTTACTTTCCTGAAACGTCAACAAACAAACAAACAAGAATTAGAAATAAGGGTTTTCTGACTGCATGAAAAAAAAAACTCAAAGTAAAGAAAACTGGATTTAATACATACCTTTGCGTGTACAACCGTTGAGTTGATCACAACGGAAGATGCTAGAATATTGTCAGAGATGATAACAAAGTGAAGCAATGACGGATCTGAAATTTTTTCACTATCCTCGATATCAACTGAATCTGACTTGAAATATTCCACAGTTAGTCTCATTGACAAGCAATGAAGACTCTTAGGCATTGTCTGTACTGCAAGCTGGTAGAGGAACACACTCTGTTTCATGTGGAAACTAGCTTCATCCTCAGTCAAATCCAGGATCTGCCTCAACTTCTTGTCAACATTGTTACAGTCAACTGGAAAAGACTTTGCCTTTGAAATTACAGCTTCCATCTTCTGAAACTTTTTATCAACCCTGACAGAACAGTGGAAAGAAGTACACAATAAGTACGATTAAAGGAAATTAACAGAGGATTCTACACATAAAAAGCTTCTCCCTGAAACCGAACAAACAACAACCATGGCACCCATCGTATCATCTAACATCCATGGTTTAAGATATTGGCACAGATAAGGCTTCAAAATAGAACTACTTCTGGGTGTGCTGCCCATTGAATAGATGAAGAGAGAATATTATGATTTTCTATAACATAAAACGTTTGGAAGCAAGTAAACCACTAGAAAGACAGGAGTCCCAGGCAAGGTTAACTGCAAACTAGGAAATACTGGCGTGACCAGTATCCTACAAGACCTTAACTAACTTTCAGTACAAACATGCTTAAACCCAAACTGATAAAGAACTTACTGTGGTGGAAGGTCGGCATCTGCTGAACTTTCACTAAGAATACGCTCAAAGTCTTGGATATTCTGTTTCATATCCCGAGTCAACTTGCTTTGAGAAGGCATTTTAGCAATACTTGGATAGTATGCCCTAGCCACAAATAGCAGGTCCTTCATGTGCTTCACCTTAGCATCTTTCAACGGTTCCTTATTTTCCTCCCTCCAGAGGCAGTAGCTCCCATATTTCACTTCACAAGTTCTGCGAGTTTCATCAGCACCTACTATTGCCCCCTGAACAACTTTATTCGAGGCTACGGTTTTTGTTTTCTGTTCACAAAACAAGGCAGGGTAAGGTTAACTTAAAAGACAACTGGTGAGAGATACACAAATTGACTTCTACAGAAACCACTTAATCCAGTTGTACATTTGCAGGGCTTGGGTTGGCAACAACAGCTGGGGACACTGGTGTTCCTGCAGATTAATTGAGGATCATATGTAAAGTTGTAGACAAGAATCAAAAAAAATCAATCACGGGAGAGGAATTTCAAGAAAGTGGAACTTAAAAAGCAAACCTCTTCTTTTAGAATCACTGATGCTTGTCCTATTCATATCTCTGGAACCCATGTTTATGTCGCTTTTCTAGCATGTGAATCAAGAAAACAAAAAACGTTAGTATTGAAAATTTTGTTACAAACAGTGGGGAACCTGATACAAACCACAAAGCCTACATCTTTACGTCACTGGAATGACAAGATGGGAAACATGAATGCCAAGAACTATGACTGAATACATTTTCCAATGGTAGAAAATCAAACATGTATAAACCAGATCTGAATTGTTGTATGTGAATTGAGAGCAGTGTGTAAGATAACGAAGGTTTCTAACTCCACGGGAAAGGAAGAGATCTACTAATCTATATATCACAGAAATGGAACAAGTCGATGCCTTGAATCTACACTGAAACAAGTGGAATCCACATAACTGTAGGACTAACCTTGGGAAGAACTGGATTGATTTTCTGGAGAACCTCATCGACTCGGTCAGATAGATCTCTCTGCAAAATCGAGGAAAAAAGATGACAAAAGCAGCAAAACGATTTGGTATTAGATGGGAATCGAATTCATCATACGAGAGTTACAATACCTGGGGATGTTTGGTAGCATTGATCCTGCTGTAGCTCTCGAACTGATTCCAAAGAAAGATCGTTCAGAACAAAATCGAAACATCAACCATTTACCAAATAAATAAAAAATGGAAGAAACGGGATGCTTACAGGAGTAGCCGGTTGGACAGTGACATATCCTGAAGAGAAATAGAGTGAGGAAGAAGGGAGATGAGATAGATCTGAATTAAGAGATCGAAGAAAAGAGAGTGTGAGGGAGAGAATAAGGGAGAGATAGAAAAATACATACCAGGAGAGTGAAAGCCGTTGTGAAGGCCGAGCAAGAAAGCAAGAGGAACAAGCATAGAGAGGATAACGAGAACCAATACTCCAATAACCAGAACTTTCCACCGGCGTTTCCCGCCGCCTCCTCCACCACCTACTCCACCTCCTCCGCCTTTCATATTTCCGATTAAGATTGAATCAATGCCTTCGAATTACGAACGCATTGGATCCCAAAAACCGTCGGCAACGATTGTTTCTCTGTTATCTCCTCGATTACACTCAATCCACACTCTCGTTAACGACGCCAAATTATCTCTCCGCTTCAATCTCTCTCTCTGACTCTCTCTCTCTCTCTCTCTCCCTCTCTCTCTTTCACTGCCTCGCTCTGTGATGTGTGTTGCGGAATGCAGAACTATAAGTGCTGCACTTTGCCCGATCGCATCGTCCCTTTCCTTTCCTTTTGCTACTTGAATGGGAGAAGGAAGAGAGATACACCCAACTCTTTTTTTTTCGCACGTGCGAAACTGTCTCTGCCGTTTGATTATCCAGCCCACTTGCAAGATCTATCTCTAGATCGTAACACGTGTCTTTTTCACACGGTGGTTACTTTTTATTTATTTATTTAAATTTTTTACATCATTTATCGTCCTCCGATAAAACCAAAACTCCGGGATGCCTAGCGATATTCGTCATCGTCAACGCCATTGACGCTTGTACACTGGTAATCTCTCTTCCTACTCCTCCGTGTTTTCCTGTTTTCCGATTTAGTTTTCAGATTTTTTGTTGTTGTTTAGAAGCTATGTACAAAGAATTTCGCTAAGTAAAGAAGATGATTGTGAAAGCAAATGACGAAGTCTCGCAAAATCTTTGTTCCACTTTTTAGGTTTATAATCTGGTGCATTATTTGTCTGTGTGGATGTAATGAATGAGATTAGTTAAAGGGATCAAATTATGGAAGATTAAGCTTTTATTTTTTATCACTCTCATATGCATTGTTTAAGCTTACCTGTATAAGGTTCTCTCTTGTCTGGTCTCTGCTTTTTACATTGACTGAGTAAGTTTCTTTCAATGAATTTTCTGTGTTTCAGCGACGGCTACTTTTTTTTTCGAGCATGTTATTGCTTGCGAGGAAAGCTTTGGCCTTGGCGCATAATAAGGCTAATCGTTTGACCACAAGGGAAGTGCATTGCTTAAGCTCCATTTTGTTGTCTCCTCCTCTCGTGTCTCTTGACTTGCCCGAAAATTGGGTTCCTTACTCTGCTCCTCCATCTCCTGTTCCCTTTGGTAACTGTTTGTTGCATTTACATGGCTTTATCTTCTCTTCATGCATTACATTGAAAGTTCTCTAATTGTCTGACTTAACTTTTAACCTTTTAGATTATTCATTTTTGTGTGTATGCGTTCATACAGATAGCGAACAGAAGACTGTGGTAATAGATGGTAAAGTTATCGCCGAGGAAATCAGAACAAAGATTGTTAGTGAAGTGTGCAAGATGAAAAGGGATGTTGGAAGAGTCCCCGGTCTCGCGGTTGTTTTGGTTGGACAACAAAGAGACTCGCAAACTTATGTTCGTAACAAAATTAAAGCTTGTGAAGAAACTGGTATTAAATCTGTTTTGGCTGAATTACCTGAGGATTGTACTGAAGGACAGATAATTAGTGTATTGAAAAAGTTCAATGAAGACACCTCCATTCACGGGGTTCTTGTGCAGCTTCCTTTGCCACAGGTATGCTTCACATACTTTGTGTGATAAGAATTTGCTTTTTTAATTTGTTTTTGAGTCAACTTTCTCAGTTTCTATTGGCTCAAGGCTCTTAATTTTTTGTTATGTTAGTGTTGGTGGTGTCAAAGATGTATCTATGTTAGGAGGTGAATCTTCTATGTTTACTTTGTTTTCAAACTTTTTTTGTGGAAGTGCTTGATTCTTTCTTTTTTTCTCATTTAGAGTTTCCATATTAATGCTTGTGACTCTTTAAACTGAACTGTCTCCTTAAAGTTGTTGTCCTCTCTTGTGTCCCGTGTTGAAACCAACCCCATTGAAAATAAAATTCCTTTTGAGGTTTCCTCTATCGTAGGTAGGTGGAGCATCTAACTCACATATTACGTGATAGAGCATCTGAATCATCTTACTAGTGGTTTTTTTTTCAGGAGAAAACTTTCTTTGTGTTAACTGTTTAATGGTTTTTTCATTTATTTATGAGTACCATCATGTAATGGAAGATATCTTGTGCAGCATCTTGATGAAGCAAAGATCTTGAACATGGTGAGATTAGAGAAAGATGTTGATGGGTTTCATCCATTAAACATGGGGAATCTTGCAATGAGAGGAAGGGAGCCGCTATTCGTATCTTGTACCCCAAAGGGATGTGTGGAGTTGTTGATCAGAGCAGGTGTTGAAATAGCAGGCAAAAATGCTGTGGTGATTGGAAGAAGCAACATTGTTGGTCTGCCGATGTCTTTATTGTTGCAGGTATTAGTTTATTTTATATTGTAGTTAGTGCAATATGGATTCTTACGCTTGAGCATTTCGGTTTGGGTATAATAACTATGCATCCATATGTCTTTGCTGACATTCTTGGGTAGAGGTATGACGCAACAGTAAGCACGGTGCATGCATTTTCGAAGGATCCAGAGCACATTACAAGGGAGGCTGATATTGTGGTTGCAGCCGCGGGTATACCTAATCTTGTTCGTGGAAGTTGGCTGAAGCCTGGAGCAGTTGTCATTGATGTAGGAACATGTCCCGTTGAGGTATTCTTGAACTGATTGAGAATAGTCTTATATAAATCCATCCCAGTGAAGAAAGACTCATACAATAGCATGGATTACATTATGATACAGAGAGCCTTAAACTGAATGAATCTTACGGCCCTCTAGTGTTAATGTTAGAGACTAAGAAGGAAGAGATCAAATGGTTTTTTCCTTTGGATTTTTGTGTTGTTTGTTTCTGGTTAGACATTGGAGCATGTTGTGATATGTCAAAATGATTACGCAGGATAGTGGTTGTGAGCATGGTTATCGTCTTGTTGGGGATGTATGTTACGAGGAAGCGTTAGGTGTTGCCTCGGCTATCACCCCTGTCCCTGGAGGAGTCGGACCAATGACGATCGCCATGCTACTATGCAATACTTTGGATGCTGCTAAGCGGATATTCATCTGATTATGGTACATCTTTGTCTATTTACTGAAATGATGTGAGATTTCATGTTGTTAGAGTTGATCACAAATTCACAATCCCTTTTAATTTGAATTTTTGTTTTACGTTTCTTTCTTATAGACCATGTAATGTTATCCCTACTCTTGAACATCTTAACAGCAAGTTCAAACCGCGGCGAGGAGTTTTGACGCTTGTTTTAGTAGCTGGTCTCAGCCTTTCAGATACAGACTGTATCATACAGTCAGTCCAATGTTTTTAATCTACATATGGGTAATTTATAAATAAAATGCAATTATTTAATGATTTTCAGACTTTGTATGTAAAAGTTTATCTACAACCACATAAAAATATAGCGAAATGGAACAAATCAAAGGAGGAAAATAGGGGTACTCTTTTCTTCGTTATTTTACTGCCTCTATTATATATTCAATATTTGCAAAAAAAAAAAATGAAATAATACAAAAGGAAAACCATGGTCAACTCAAAATCATGGTCGCTTTGGGTTGTGGGGCTTCCTTAGCCCCAGTGGGAACAGTGGGCCTAGTGGCTAGCGTTATAAGTCGTTGGACGGCCCGAATGTTGCCACGAAAAAGTTAGTTTGGAGGACCGAAAGCATTTTTCTGCTTACTGACTCAGTTGTGACACCTATGGTCTATGAAAATGCATTCTGTAAAAAAAAAAAAGTGTTTTAACCATCTAAATCTGATCACTGTTTGATCTATTACTGTTGGAAGAAACGCTGTATTGTATTGAGTGAGTTGCTGTTATAAGAAAATGAAAATCCTTTTAAAATGTAGAATGTGAACCTGTAAATGTGTATATACACCCATGGGGTTAAGGGTGTACCGTTACTATTCAACAACCTTTCATCACCTTTTTGACGTTTAAAAAACTCCCATCACGTTGTGTCACAAATTAGACCTTACATTTTTACTTGTAAATACTGGTGAAAATATAAGTCTTCGCAAAAAACTTGGGATAATATGTCAAGTTGACGAAGACTTTAGGGAAATGAAAGGTGGAAGATATATATTATGTGGTTGCAAGTTGATTTTTGGTAAAAATGGAGGCAAAGAGGGACACGGGTCTTCAATCTTTCATATAATACGAATCCCTCTACACAGCTACAGCATACTAAGGAGAGTTTTGTACTTGAGACCATTGCAAGCGTAAGAAGATGAACAGGTCCGGCATCTCCAGCGCGGCTGTCCATAACGGAGGTAAGAAGAGATGAATTACGTAGCCTTAATGCAAATTTGTTTGAACTGAGTATAAAATTAATACTTGGTCTTTAACTCCAATAAATGTTTTTTTGCAGAACCTCCTCAGGTGATGATGTTTCTGGAGGTCTCTATGCTGGAGAATGAAGGATTAGTGAAGGCAGTGAAAAAGTGGGGTCAGCCCAAGTCGAGGCTGACCCACCTCGTTTTCTACGCTATCTCCAATACCCATAGCAACAAGCCCGGCCCTGACTGCTATCTCACCGAGCTCCTTGACTGTCCCACCTCCGTCCAGCATTTCCCGTACGAGGAAGGCAACTATCACGAGGGCACTGTCATGGATCATTTCAGGGTCTTCGCCCGTGGAAACCGCAACAGCACCCTTGCCCTCTTTGTCTGCTCCGAGTACAAGTCCAACCCGGCGATGAGCGGTTCCTCAGGAACCCGTCTCTTATGGTATTGATATAGTTTTTTATTTAAGTCTATCTATACATGTTCGATTGAGTTTGGTTTGATCCCTATTAATTTTCCTCTACTTGAGGTTTGCTTATGTTGTTTTTAGTCGTTCATTTTATTTTCTAAACAGGAGTGTCTATACTTTGTGTTTTGTGTATTACCTTTGTTTTTGATGTAAACAAAGAAAAAAAAGGAATAGTTCCCATGAATTCTGAGCGTTCTTTAATAATTTAACAGATTTATGAGAGTTTAGCTAACAAGTATTCTAAAATTCCAACGTTAATGGTTGTTGTAGTGACTGGTTTCCTGATACAAACATATAGTCAATGCTTTTGATTCATTGGCTACGTGAAGCTATTTAGTTATGCATGTGAGAGTATATTGCTGTTGGATCATAAGATCATTGGCAGTTGCATGTGACATCAAGGATGAAGGATGATGAGTCAAACAAGATGTGTCACATCACATGAAGGATCACGAAACAAATGCTTTCTCCAATCTTTAAACTTGTTCTTTCAAGTGTGGCATGGGAAAGCTTGATAAACAACGACGAGGAATTTTAATTGTGGTTTCAGATACAATCCAATGTTTTTTGTTTACTGGTGTATTTTTTTATAAGCTTGTAAAAGATGGGAAGCCACATGGTTATGCATGTGAGACTATGGTAGTTTGATCATTTGTAGTTGCATCTTTACATGATTACATCAAAGGATGGAGGATGAGTCAAGCAAGAGATGTCACATGAAGGATCACGAAACAAATGCTTCCTCCGGTCTTTACACGAATTTCACCTTGGGGATAAGTGTGAGGAAAGTATTGATTTTAGTTCAGTTTGGTTTGCGGTTTCGAGTTTGAAATCAAATGAACCTTCTTTGTAATTCACTTTAGTTAACGTTTGGTTTTTATATTTCTTTTTGTTTTGAAAATATCAAAACCAAATAAAATAAAACAAATTTGATTACACATCTCGAGAAACGTCTGTTTCTTGATTATTTTCCACATTCTTCTTTCTTTCTTTTTCCCTTTAATTCATTCTTATTTTAGGTTTTTATTTCTTCTTCTTTATGGTCTAATTTATTTGCATCTTTGGATACTTTATACGCTCATGTAACTATTTTTTTCATAGATTCAAACAAACTGAGGAAACTTTTTCTCCAACAATTGCACTGCATTTATGCTCAGTGAATTTTTGGTATCAATGACGAGTTTATGTACCACCAAAGTCATGCTCAAAAGAGAACGGTTAGTTTCTTTCTTCGATCAGATCTATATTTCGTATCTGAGGTTTGTTCCAATCCGATCTAGGAATCACTCTGGTTTACCTTTTGCAGCTGCTTCAAAGAAAACTTTTAGCTTCGTGAGCTACAAAGGTGTCACCAAACACATTCACAACACCATTGCTGAACAGGGTAGGATTCGGGTAACACATGGAGACCTGGGCGACGTAATTGTGGAGACACTCAGGCATGCTGGTGTTCACGTAATTGTGAAGACGGTGAAGAAAAAATCCAGGTTATTCAGTAGTATGATAAGCATCAAATTATGTGGGTGAGATAGAGTCATAGATGTGTTTGTTAGGCAATGCCTCGAGGCATTTGCTTGTTTGGGCTATTTCTTTTTTAGATTTTTAATTTGGTAATGAACAAGACACAAACTTTAACATTTCGACACATAATTTAACCATTTAATTAGATGTCTTGAGAACAAAAAAAAAAAAATTAGATGATCTAAGATAATTAAAGTACATTAAATCAGTAGTGATCATAGTGAATATTGATGCATGAAACAGTACAAAGATACTATAGTCTTAATGAATGTGGAAATGGAAGAATCAAACCTTTTCAGTTTTTTTATGATTCAAGGAGATGTTCCTGTATTAACATTTGTCTATAATTTGAGGTGAAATGGTATCATGGAGCTTTATGAAGAATTCTGAACATATTATTTGTTGAATTTCCCGGAGTACACGTATAAATTTGAACCAAACATAAAACAAATGTAATCTCTAAAGCAGTTGTCTAGCTTTCTTGGCTTCTTCTTTTGTGTGACTCCTTAGCCATTTGGATCCAATAGTAGAATATTACTTTGATAATCCAAGAAACTGAGCAAAGCTTGGATACTTGGGCTCCCATCCTATTTCCGCTCGTGTCCGTGAGTTGTTCAGCCTCTTCCCTAAAGGACCACTGGAGCCTACAAAAAAAAAACCCAAAGTTGTCAGACTCTAAGAAGATTATAAGGTTTTTAAAGACAGACTCATGACAAAGTGTGAAGAAACTCACTCGTGAAACCTTTGAATTTCTTATCAGGACGATCAGGACGAGCATCGACTGTCTCCTTGCTCAACCAGTAAGTATGTGCACCTCTAGTCTCTGTGTATAAAAAGTTCAGGAGAAACATAATGCTCAAATCTGCTAGAGACCAAAAAAAGAAGCCTTTCATTGTTTGGTCATTCAGTTTCAGTAATATCGAAATCCAAAAGGATATGTAAAGCCCTGCCAGTCTAAGGACAGTCCCTCCACATTCCAACACTACTTTTTCAGCTCTCAAAAGCACATCGGTCCCAGTGGCACTATTGGAGAATCCTGCAGTGAAGGGTAACAAACTTGAGAAAGTCTTACTGAATAGCGCATACATATATATTCACAATGAACAAGAATTTGCAGGATGATCGCTAATATCAAATGTTTGTTTCATAGCACACTTGATTTTCATAGATTTCAAATGACTCAGACACTCTCTGCCCCCATATTATGTCCGCAAACCCAACCCTTCAGATGGTATTAAGTTTAACAAAACCTGAAGCTAGGAAGGAAAATATATATATCCAGGTACTGAGATGAACCTCGTTGCATCCTCCGTTATCAAAGCAGTCATAAGGTGCAGAAGTAGATGTGAATAAGAATGATCCTTCGCCGTTCCATTTTGATGCTGCCGTCCTGATCCGTTTGTAAGCGCAAACACAGGCCCGATATTAGACATGCTTGAATCAAGGCAAAAGAAAATTACCTTTCTGGTCTCATAAGGGGAGCCATTAGACACCAATAGACGTTAGGTTTCATCTTCTTCCATAGCTAATAAAATTAACAGCACCACTAACGCACGGTGGTACACAATTCATAGACTCTCTAGCTGTTGAAACAAATGATGTCTTGTCATTTACCTGACCTCACCGGCCTAGTCTGGGCTTTGTGATGGAGCACAAAAGATCACATAAGAGAAGTTGCCCTCAAATTCAATTCCTTTTAAGTGATGGTTTGATACCCAACTTCTCCAACTCGTCGTGATGGGTTGTTGATACGGTAATGTTTTCATTAGAATCGACAGACCATTTTTAGATGACATATCGATTATAAATCAGATTAGATTGGATTGTTTGGATCAGATTCTGATACTAGGTTAAAAGTGAAAAGAATTACTTATGTCTAATGAAGAGAATATATATAGTACAAAGGTTTTATGTTTTTCCTTTTAAGATCTCAAAAATATGGGAATGCAATATTATCTAAGTATGGAATATTTCCGAATATGAAGAAAGACAAAGACTCATACAATAGCATAAAGATACATTCTGATACAGAATCTTAAACTGAATGAATTAGCCGAATTTCTTGAAAAGGAGATATAGGAGTTTCCATGTTGTTGGAGTTGATCAGAAATTCACAATCCCTTTTGATTTTAACTGTTATGTTTCTTTCTTAAAATAGACGGCGGTTGATTATGAGAAAAGCTCTTTATCAAACTCATGAACATCAAGTTCAACCAAACCGCGACGAGGATAATGTTTTTGTTTGTAGTGACTGGTTTCCTGATACAGTCAATGTTTTTGATTCATTGGCTTTTACAAGACGTGAAGCCATTTTAGTTTATGCATGTTAGAGTTTACAGTAATATGGTTGTTGGATCATTAGATCATTTGGTAGTAGTTGCATGGTACATCAAGTATGAAGGATGATGAGTCAAGCAAGATGTGTCACATGAAGGATCACGAAACAAATGCTTTCTCCAATCTTTACACGTGTTCTTTCAAGTGTGGCATGGGAAACTTGATAGACATTCTTTCCTTTTTAATATTCGGTTTGCCCGTTTTCGGTTTTATCACCCTGTGTTGAAGTTGAAATCTAATACTATATTAATTGTTTGCAATTCACTTTGACCAAGTGCGGTTTTTAATTTATTTTACTTTTGATTTTGAAAATATCAAAACCCGATTAAAAAAAAGACCACAACATATTTTATTTAACGGTTTTACATAATTTAGAAACACCCTTATTACTTTATTTTCTCTTAAATCATTCTTATTTAAGTTTATATATTTCGTCTTCTTCATCTTCATGTACAACATCTTCAAGTTAGTCTCAGTTAATTAAAACAAAATAATAATCTCATGTTAGAATTTTCATAAAAAAACTTTATGATAAACGGAATCTTACAGAGAGAAAACGAAATAGTAATACGAAACAAATGTTTTCTTGACCGAACCAAACTAAAACCAAATAATTTGGCTTTTACGTCTAACTAAACCAAACCGATTTCGATTCGGTTATAATAAGATGAATTTTTTTGTCCCGGCTCAAGAAAAAATATCAAAAATACGAAACAAAAAATAAATAAAAGAAAAGGAAAAATAGGATTCCGATTCCGAGTCTCTTGTTCCAAAGAGAAGAGAACGTCTGAGAGAGATCTGGGACGTCTGGAAATGTGAAGGAGAGAAAACGAGAAAGGATCTGAGAGTGAAAAATTCTTGTAAACAAAATGGTTTGGGAGAAAGAGAAGATCGTCGGAAGTTGTTTGGTCGGAGGAGCTGCGTTCGCCGTCGGAGCTTCATTCCTCCATCTTTTCCTCAAAGGTGAGCTTCCGTTAGGCTTAGGGTTAGGCGGTATAGGTCTGGTTTCGCCATGGAACAGCTTCAGAAAACGAAAGCCCGTCCGCGTCTACATGGATGGTTGCTTCGACATGATGCACTACGGCCACTGCAACGCCCTGCGGCAAGCTCGTGCTCTCGGCGACCAATTGGTGGTCGGCGTCGTCAGCGACGAAGAAATCATAGCTAACAAGGGACCTCCCGTTACGCCTCTTCACGAGAGGTCTCTCTCTCTCTCTCTCTCTCTCTCTCTCGATCCCAAATTCGTTTTTGTTCGTCGTTTATCCAATTCCGTGTGTGTTTTATTAAGATTTCGTTGTTTCTCAGAATGACAATGGTGAAGGCTGTCAAGTGGGTGGATGAAGTGATATCGGACGCACCTTACGCCATCACGGAGGATTTCATGAAGAGATTGTTCGATGAGTATCAGATCGATTACATCATCCATGGGGACGATCCTTGCGTTCTTCCAGATGGAACCGATGCTTATGAACTCGCTAAAAGGGCTGGTCGTTACAAGCAGATTAAGCGCACGGAAGGAGTTTCCAGCACCGATATCGTTGGTAAACTCACATCGTCCCTTCCGATTCACTTTAGTCTCTCTTGTTCTCTGTTAAAGGGAGACACGAGCTGCATCATTTCTATTGTTTCCACTTTCCAGTAATCTCTAGTCACATCGTGTTTCTGAAGTTTTCGATTTGTAAAATTGTAATCCATCCTCAGGTCGCATGCTTCTCTGTGTAAGAGAAAGATCGGTCAGTGACAGTCATAGTCATTCCTCTCTGCAGAGGCAATTCAGTCATGGGCATAACAGCCCGAAGTTTGAGGACGGAGGTTCTTCTGCTGGTACTCGCGTCTCGCATTTTCTTCCTACTTCCCGCAGGATTGTTCAGTTCTCTAATGGCAAGGTATGCGAGTCCTGAAGACTGAGTGTCCTCTCCTCAAGTTTATGTATTGCGTATTTGTGTTTCTATCAGTTATCTTTCTCAGGCACATAACTTAGTATCGTTGGAGGTTTGTAGATATCTATATGTTGCTTAATGATCTAGTAGGTTGAACAAGTACATGACCCTTGATTTCCAATAGCTATGCAAGTGGCTCTGAGCTTAGTTTTTTTGAAGTATATTCACTTTTCCCCACGTTCTTTCCTCTTGGTGTACTTTTTCGTTCTTTCTTCATTTCATATCTCTGGAATTGATAACAGTACATGATTATGGTGACAGGGGCCAGGACCTGATGCACGCATTATTTACATAGATGGGGCTTTTGATCTTTTCCATGCTGGCCATGTTGAGGTATAGTAAGTTAATTGGTGCAAACAAAATAAGAATTTCAAGTCTTTATGTTTTCCATATAAGATTGAATTTGTGTTTTTTTGTCAACAATTTGGATGCTAATATATATTTAACTACATATATCTACATATCTTGTATATATGCCGACTAGTCCAACTAGTATTGCCAAAGTGTTATTAAGCGACCATCCAGATTTATTCTGCCAATGTTGATTATTGTTCTTGATTTACTCAATTCGTACAGATTCTTAGGCGTGCTCGAGAGCTTGGAGACTTCCTTCTTGTTGGAATACATAATGACCAGACTGTCAGGTTGAAAAAAGCTCCATTTTAGCCGCTTGCTTTGTTGTGATTTTCTCAGTTTTTATTACGTTATCTTTGATATATCACGTGCTGGCAAGTGTTTTGGGGACTGATCAATTCATTTAGTGATGTTAGTTTTAGGCATATATAAATAGTATCTTCCTTAATTCTTGGTGTTATTGGGGAGTTTAGATGTGCATAACTGCATCTCCGCTTAAATTCGTCTGACCAAATTGTGCTTGCTATCCATTGCTGTGCAGTGCTAAAAGAGGAGCGCATCGTCCAATCATGAATCTGCATGAAAGGAGCTTAAGTGTTCTGGCATGCCGCTATGTAGATGAGGTCATAATTGGTGCTCCATGGGAAGTGTCGAAAGATACGGTGAGCTTATGTGTTCTTTTACTTAATAATTAATACCCTAATGGCTTTCATGAAAATCTATATATTGACAATAATTTGGATATTGCAGATCACGACATTTGACATTTCGTTGGTGGTTCATGGGACAGTAGCCGAGAGCGATGATTTTCAAAAGGTAAAACGTGATTCAGATATGAGTAAATGTGTACATATTAAGGTAAAAAGACAAAGAGCTGAATTAACTCAGAATCTGGTTTGATGATTTGACAGGAGGAAGATAATCCGTATGCTGTACCAATAAGCATGGGGATATTCCAAATTCTGGAAAGCCCTCTTGATATCACAACTTCCACCATAATCAGGAGGATTGTAGCGAACCATGAAGCTTATCAGGCAAGTTACTTTTTCTTGCTCATTCATTCTTCTTGATGGTTTCTTTATTTTGACCAGTGTGTCTCACTCAAGATCTTTGTGTACTCTGTAGAAACGTAATGCGAAAAAGGAAGCTAGTGAGAAAAAGTACTACGAGCAGAAGTCTTTTGTGTCGGGCGACTGAAATTGAAACAAAAGCTATATATGCTTTAGAGCTTTTAAAGTCCATCATCTTCAGGATGTGAATCGGTTACTCGCTTATATCTTATATCTGTGTACTGACTATATGGTAGGGGTGTTTCTATATGAGACTCCAATGCTACATATTACATTTTGCTCCCTAGTTTACACTTTTACATAAAGAAGGTATTGATGGTTTTAGTGCCATTTGCTTCTTTTATTTTCTTCACTTTTGGGGATGTTTCATTTTACTTTTTTACCATCGTTTATTCGTACTTGCATATATTTCAGGATTGTATATTTTTACTATCTCAAAATAAAGCGATGAAATCCATTAAAAGATAACACAATTCGTAAAAAATTCTCTAACTAAAATATTTTTTCCGCCGACTGAAGAAAGAGCCTTGCACTTATCGTGGCTTCACACTCTAACTCGCTTTGGTTGAGAATAATTGAGAAACAAGTTCCGGAGCTCCCCACATAGGTGCATCATTCTTTTTTAGACCCACGAAACATAGAATGCATATGTGACTTACAAGATAAAGAAGATCAAAGGCTTTACGGTTCAATACTCTTCTCAAATCTCAATGTTGTCATTCTTGGAGAAGTAAGAATATGGAAGAGGAGATCATAAACAGAGCAGGAGAAGATAGAAGAAGAAGAAAGAAAGAAGACCACTCACAGAAATCCAATATATATTCGAGTCTCGTAACTCAAACCATCAGACATGCTCAGATTCCCCAAATGATATGCCAGAAGCAAAACGTTCGTTCGTTGTCTCACGTATGCATTTTCTTCGTTTTCCTCACCAATGTCAACACAAAGTTGATCGTGAAGTGGAGTCGCCATGTCTAAAGCATATTCCTTCGTGTTAAGCACGTGAAATAGCTTTCCTGTATCGTAAGAGGTAAAAGAGACTTGCAGAATATGATTGCAAGATATATAAATCAAGATATTTAAAAGACACAAGCCGTTCATCATTATCGAACACCATCCTCATCCTGTTGGATACAATCTTTACATTCTTGAATGTTCTGCCTCAAAACCTGTTCAAAAGTGGGAAAATATAGCAAAAGCATATTCACTGTATAGAGGAGACAAATCTCATGCCTAGTGTTTAATTCCGAGGTTATCTCTGTGTGTAGTGTAGTTCATGAGGTCCGTCTAGGGAAAACGATCGGGATGTTGAGAATAGTCTGTTTGGTTTGATATTTTCTGTTAAAAAGGATTTTTGGGATGAGATCAATTCTAACGGCTATTTTATGAATCGTTGCATTGCTTATTTTCAGGAGGTTGGAGATACCATGGAGTCTTCTGGACCCAGACATTATATGTATCAATCATGCATAGGGTTTCTTCTTCTTTCACAAGTTTTTTATTGTGATATTTTGTCCCTTTTTTTGTGTGTGATTATGAGATGTTTTGGGTCGGTAAACGTAGGCTGGGAGATCATTTATCATGCGGCACTACCACATTTATTATGCCGGTTCTATCAAGGCGACTTCTCCACATTACAAGTAATTTTTGTGATACATATGATATGATGAGATTATATTATATTGATGAAAGTACGAAAGAGAAACAAAAGAGAAATTCATCTCATTCTTTTTATTTTTATTTTAAATGATATGGTTTTGTATATTGTGTATTAACTGACACAACCGTATGTTTATTCATTTTTTCTTTCTTTTTTCTTCTCTGCATATGTTTCTCATTTTTGTTAATTTTATTTGCATTCAATATTGATATAATTTGCAGTTTTACCGAAAAAAAAATCTAAATGGTAACCAGTAAAAAAAAATAATAATAATAAATTGAAACAATCAATAATTTTAAAAAAAAAAATCTAAATGGTAATAAGCAAATTATTTCAGATTTTCACTGAATCTTTTGATTGTTTCAGATATTTTGAGATCATGTTCTTCAAGATGAAGTTGCTCGCCCTCCGTCAAAACTAAAGAAAGAAAGAAAAAATAGTCAAAAAGAAATCAAACAAGAAGGCTCCTCCACCAAAACTAAAGAAGAAAGAATAATGATCTCTTTGATTCTGTTTTAAAAGAGAGTGAAATTAAGTTTTTTTCCACTAGTTTCGTACCTTTTGTGTTTATGAATGGAAAGAATAATTTATAGGTGGAAATGATTCATAAAAAAATATCATTCGCCTAAATCTTTTCAATCCTATCATTCAAACATATATTAGTAGCCTAATATTATGACTTTTAAGTATTATAAAATATTGAAAATAAAAAAAGTTTCTCAAATGCTGCAAAAAAAGTATGATTTTATAAAGATTCTAGTGTTATTCAATTAATACTTTTCAAAAATATTTAAAAATCTGGTGTTATTAGTTTATGAATTTGTAACAAGTAGTTTTTTTTGTCAAATTAAAATCTTTAAAAATCAGAGCTATTAGATTCATAATTTTGTAGAGTCAATAAAAGTCTTGTGTTATTCAAAAACACTTGAATACTCTCATTTTGTCATTGCTTTAAAATCTGATGTTATTTGGTTTATTGATTTTATACATTTTTAAAAATTTACTTTCCAAGGTATTGCAAGTTGGTCATGTATTCTCATTTTTCAAAGTTTGTCAATAATTAAAAAAAATGGATTAATGCAAATAATATTCACAAACAAAAAGAAAAGTCACGATTGATAAATTCAAACATGAACATGAACGCTAATATTACCCAACACAATATAAACGTAACATGAACATAAACTCAGCCACGTTTGATATAATGAAATATTATTGTGTTCTTTTTGTCAGGTATTCCAACTAAAACATTATTGTTTCCAATTTTCCATCAAATTACTGAAGAAAGAGTCTTGCTCTTAGCGTGGCTGCTCACTCAGTCACAGGCATTGCAGCTGACTTGCTTCGGCTGAGAATAACTGAGAAACAAGTTCCAGAGCTCCCCACATAGATGCATCATTCTTTTTTAGACCAACAAAACATAAACTCTCTATTAGCAATCTTATTTTCTCTAGGCGATTCAGATCATCTATATATGTTCAACACAGAATGCATAAGTGACTTACAAGATAAACAAGATCAAAGGCCTTACGGTAGCTTTCAAGACTCTTCTCAATGTTGTCATTCCTGGAGAAGTAAATATAGTGAAGAGGAGTGAGGAGATCATAAACAGAGCAGAAGGAGATAGAAGAAGAAGAAGAAGAAGAAAGAAAAACTCACAGAAATCCAACAGATATTCGAGTCTCGTAATTCAAACCATCAGACATCCTCAGATCTCCCAAATGATCTCCCAAAAGCAAAACGTTCGTTCGTTGTTTCACATACGCATTTCCTTCGTTTTCCTCATTACCGTCAACACCAAGTTGATCGTGAAGTGGAGCAGCCATGTCTAAAGCGTGTTCGTTCTTGTTTAGCACGTGAATCAGCTTTCCTGTATTGTAAGAGGTAAAGACACTTTACCGTTTATGATTGCAAGATATATAAATCAAATGCTTAGTAATTTCCCAACAACAAAGTAGAAGAAAAATGAACCATGAAGGAGAGGACACTGGCTAAATAACATACACAAAATGTTTACCTTTAAACGACACAAGCCGTCCATCATCATCGAACACCATCCTGTTCGATACAATCTTTACGTTCTTGAATGTTCTGTGAAGGTTCTGCCTCAAAACCTGTTGAAAAATTTGGAAACTATAGCAAAAGAGGAGACAAATCTCATCTACTAATAGTCTCTAGAGTCACCTCTTCAATAACATCAGCAAGTCCTGCTGAAAAAATCAAAACTGGGATCTCCTTTTTCTGATTCAGATGGAAAATAAGGTGGATTACAAATACAATAACAGCTGTTTCATTCACCATATACAATAAGTAACTGCAACCATGATTTTTGATCCTTTTACCTCCAAAAATTCAAACAATTCAGTCACACCTTCTCTAAAAGCTATGGAGGAATCTGCAACAGATTTCTTGATTGCATCATATGTTAGACCTCCCTCAATGAGAAGATCATGAGTTTTACCCCACCTGGTACCAAAAAAAAGTTGTTAGATAATTTCTCCCAATTAGAGAACATCAAAAGACAAAGCAAATGTCAAAATATACATAAGAGTACCATTCTTCCATGAGTTTGGTTTTTTCTTCAATGGGAATCACAGGAGAAATCTCCAGAGGACGGTAGTGTTCATATAATGCTTGCCTCTTAGCATCATAATCTGCATTTCCTTGCTGCAAGAGTCCATGACTTGCTATAATACAGATAATGCATCAGCAAAAAGTTGTTTCAGCTCGACTGATTTGGTTAAAGTGAGAAGATAAGGTAACGATTGATAAATGTGTATGAACCAACATACTCTGGCCTCGAACTCCATTGACTCGGTATTTCGTTAAAGTCGCATCAAAATCTGCTATTACCTTCAAAACTCGCAGAGAGAGAGACCCAAACAACAAAAATTAAAGCTTTGTGAAAGAACTAAACTTCGACCTAGATTCCGAGAGAGAGAGAGAGAGTGAAAGACCTGGAATTTGGAAGGACCCGCGTCACGAATCAGGGCTATTTTATCGGTGAGAGCTCGAGGATGGTCAATCACAGTGTTGGCAGAGAGATCAGGCATTTCCATTTGAATTTTGGACAGAGAGCAATCCTGAGAGACAAAAGGGAAAAGTTTGTACGGATAATGCTGATTAACTCCAACAACTGGTAGTGAAAGAGAAAGACTGACGTCGTGGCCGAAGCAGCAAGATGAATGTGTGAGCTGGTGATTACGGCGGAAGAGAGAAAGACTAATTGACGACGGCGCGTGAAAACGCGTGCCGCAGCTGATAACGCGCATCAGAGTTAAGCCATTTTATTCTTTCTTTATTGGGGAATAACATTTGTTTGGTCGTTTCTTATTCAGAGGAGGATATTAACAAGTTTTGACGTCGACCCCAAATAACAATCTCGTATAAAGTTTTAACCTTTTGTATTCCATCTTCAAATACAACACACAAGACGAGTTCTTGCTCTAAGCATCATCTCTCATTTCACAAATTCGTAAATCTTTCTTTGGTTTCCTTACTCTCAACAGAAGTTTCCATAGTCCAAACCAAACAAAAACAAAAAGGAAAAGCAAAAAAAGCGTTACAAGAAGTGTGAGTGAGCAGATTCTAAATCACACACCCGAGTGAAGCTTTAGAGAGGCTTGAAGTAGAGGTGGTTATCAGAGAAAAGAACCCTAAAAGCTAGCTTGCATCTACACTTCAATCTAATTACAAATCCATCTCCAGATCTTTCTATCCTCATCCCTTCTCCACAATCTCCCTTTTCTTCCTCCTCTTGCTGCGTTGTCTGCAAATTTCGTGATGAAAACTCACCACTCCGCATCAAGATCACTTGAAATCACTAACAGGAAAAAGCGTTAGATACAAAGAAATCAAACCTCATCAGCATCATAGTTAGTCTCTTCGCGATTGATCTCCTCATAAGCATCATAGTTAGTCTCTTCGCGATTGATCTCCTCCACGTGATTGTTAAGCATCTTCATCGTCTGTCGTTTTTTTAGTAAACAAGCAGACGGCGACGTTTCTTGCTTCTCGGGAACAGAGCTTGCGTGGGAGCAACGGATTTGGCCGGCGGTGAGATTCGGGAACCGGGTCGGGTCGTCGACTGAGGAAGATTGGGTTTCCGGGTAAGTGAAGCGAAGAGGAGAGTTGATCAAGATTGGGTTTTGGGGGGAGATTTTCCTGCGTTTGGGCTGATCGGATTCGGCGGAAACAGGGGAGGAGCGTTTCAAGGGGCTGATTTTTTCAGGGGAAGCGGCGGAGAGGAAGGAGGAGGGAGAGTAGTCGTAGGGTGGTGAGGAGAGGCTGAGGAGAGAAAGATCAATGTCGTCGAGGCTCAGATTGTCACGGTCTTGAAATTCGTCTTCCACCACCATCATCATCTTCAATCTTCTTGCTTCCTTCTTTCTCTGTCTTTATTTGGAAACGAAATGAAGTTTTTGATTGAGAGACAGAGTAATAAAATATCTCGAGGAATGAAAAAAGGCGCGTGTTTGAAGAGAATCTATCCGAGTCGGTTTAAAATTTCCGGTTCAGGTGATCGTAATTCCAATTAGCAAAACAACATTTAAAAAAAAACCTTATTAGTTGCAAAAGAAAACATCAATTAATGCAAAACAAAGATGACAATATATAATACAAGCTACATTAAGATCCAAAACAGAGTTTCTATTATGTATTTTGTATATCACCAAGCAATTACATTATGTTTTGAAAAATACTTGTTAAGGTTTGATAAACTGCACGATGTAATTAGTTCTTTTTGGTATTTTAGATTAAATAAAAATATGTTAGCAAACTACATGAGCATGCTCACATAAATGATTTAACATACATTTTGTATAAAAGAGTTGTTACACGAACAGGAGAATTCAGGCTCGGCCCAAGGGGATGGACAGAGGTGCGTCCGCTCAAAGGCCCAATTCATTTGTTGAAAAAATGCTATGTACAAAAGGGCCCGTTTTAATAAGAAAAAGCCCATAAGATTTAAACTATTACTTTTTACTGAAATTTATTAGATACAGACCCAAAAAATTATTTAATGGTAAATTTATTATATATTGGAATACTCAAAAAGTTTTTTGCCCAAGGGCTTCAAAAATCATTGGACCTGTGCTGAGGAGGAATACTCTGGAGAAATTCTCAGGATCAGACTCGACTTTAACTTCCATCAATCTTTTCAAATTCAGTAAGAAAAACTTTGATCCATAGATCTTAGCTTCATCAACGCTCGTCTCATCACTCGGATTGCTTTCAATCTCTGTAATTCAAGTACGCCTCTCTCGGGTTACTTGACACGTACGGCTCCGTCATTTGGTAAAACTCTTTCATCAAATTGAGGTTCGCGTCTGTGGCGTTTACGTCAGACCATGTAGTAAAGTAGAGAATCTTGAACAAATTTCCTCTCCAGTGAGAAAACGCGGTCGCATTCTCGGAAATCTGGTCCATAACTCCCCTATAAGGGTTCCACTGCATCCACACATCGTTGAATTTCAACATTGTCTTAATACATTTGTGATTGTCTGATTTTCAGTGTGCATAAATTGGTTGTCAAGTAGGACTGGGAACGCTGGATACTGTTGGATTGACAAAGTCAATCAATTTCTTAGCTTGTACAGTACAGTAAGAGATCAAACAATGTCAGAGAAAGCCATATGAAAGCTCAGATTTGAAGTGAAGATTTTGAATGAGGTAAGAACGCGCCGAACCATTAGCTACTAAATAAGTTTTTTTCCCTAATTTTGTATCTTTTATTTTTAATGAATGAAAAGAATAATCTGTAGGTGGAAATGGTTGATAAGAAAATCTCATTTGCCTAAATCTTTAATTCCTATAGTTCAAACATATACTAGTAGTCTAGAATTATAACTTTTATATATCATAAAAATACAATAAAACAGATTGGCTCAGCATTCTTCAACTGGACATAGTCACATAGATGTTATTCATTAAGTTTGACAAGATATCCCATGGATGTTAATTTCTTTGTTATGAAATGCATTTTCAATCTGATCCCGACCAAACATTGACTCCTCCGCCAAAACTAAAGAAATAGCGATCTCTTTGGATTCTGCTCCTCTTGCTGTAATTAGTTCTTTTTGGTATTTTAGATTAAATAAAAATATGTTAGCAAACTACATGAGCTATATAGTGCATGCTCATACATTTTTGTATAAAAGAGTTGTTACATTGCACGAACAGGAGGAATACTCTGTTCGTACCTGAAGAAATTCTCAGGATCAGACTTGGCTTTAACTTCCATCAATCTTTTCAAATTCCCTAAAAAAAACTTTTATCCATAGATCTGAGCCTCATCAACGCTCGTCTCATCACTCCGATTGCTTCCAACATCAATGTCTCTGTAATTCAAGTACGCCTCTCTCGGGTTACTTGTCACGTACGGCTCCGTCACTTGGTAAAGCTCTTTCATCAAACTGAGGTTCGCGTCTGTGGCGTGGCGTTTACACCATGTCGCAAAGTAGAGAATCTTGAACAAGTTTCCTCTCCGGTGAGGAAACGCGGTTGCGTTCTCGGGAATCTGGTCCATAACTCCACCATAAGGGTTCCACTGCATCCACACATCGTTGAATTTCAACATTGTTTCCCAAATATTCTCGATTCCTTCTTTGGGGATCGGTTTCTTGACGTAATCCGATTTGTTCTTGAGGAATCCTACTAGCGGAGTCGATGGCCTCTCCAGAAGAACAATCGTTGATGCCCCAACCGGATAATCCTCCCAGAACATCGTCGTATTAAGCCAGCTCATTTCGTAGCAATCTTCACGTTTTAGCCCTAATTCAAGCAAGTTCTTGTTTATAATCTCCATTAGGTTATTTACTGAGCCTAAAAATTGAGCGTAGAACTTAACCGCGATGGTTTTATCTCCCGGTTTTGCTCCATATGTGATTTGAGGCATTGCTCTCACGAAAAGCTCTTGAGGCAGTTTGCTAGACACAAGCTGCCACTTGTAGAGAACATCAGCAGCTCCTTGTTCCAATGTTTTGCTAACCTTAAACACTGTCATGGTCTCTGGAACATCGACGAGGTTTATTGTCCAAGAGAGAATAACTCCGAAGCTCGCGCCGCCGCCTCCACGAATCGCCCAAAACAGATCTTCTCCCATAGAGGCTCTGTTCAAGATCTTCCCACTGGCATCAACTAATTGAGCATCAACAACATGATCGACCGAGATTCCGTACTTTCTAATCAGATTCCCGTACCCTCCGCCGCTGATGTGTCCTCCCACTCCAACCGTAGGGCAAACTCCGGCTGGAAACGCAAGGGCTTTGCTGCCTTCAGCGATCTTGGTGTAAAGCTCTCCCAAAGTCGCACCAGCTTGAACCCAAGCTTTCTTGTTGGACACGTCAACGGTTATAGATCGGAGATCGTGCATATCGAGAACAACAAACGGCACGGAGGAGGTGTAGGAGAGGCCTTCGAAGTCGTGACCACCGCTTCTGATACGGATCTGGATTCCGTTTGACTTTGAGCAGATCACTGTTGCCTGAACATGAGATTCGTGTTTTGCAGCAACAATGGCTATTGGTTTTGTGACGTTAGGGTTAGATGAGTACGTTTTCTTTTTCGTGTAGGACTCGTAAAACGAGACGAAGGTGGACTTGTCGGGAGTAGAGAGGGCTTCGGTGATCGGATTCTCTGGATTAGTGAGATTAGTAAGACATTCAAGGAAGTTTCCAATATTTGGTTTCGTTACTTGTGCATCTGAAACAGAGACAAGAAGAACAAGAAACAAAACTACCTCTTTCATTTTTGTTTGTCTCAATTCTCAAACAAAGAAAGGAAAAAAAGGTGTCCTTAGTAATTTCTTTAATGTATAATTGGGATTTTATGCGAAGAAGCTGCAATTAGAAAGAGAAAGCTGAATACGTAGCTAGATTTTTTTTATTAATGGAAACGTAACGGGCTAAATGGAGGTGAGACTTCGTTCGTATATTCAAGAAACCTATTTTTTTTTTTTTGTAGCAAGAGTTTTTTTGTTTCAATCAATATAGGGTTAATTTGTAATCTAACCATATTGGTAAAAGTATCAAAAAATATAGCCATGAAATTTAAATAATAAAACAACTAATCATGAGAGTGTGTAAAATGTCGGAACAAACCTTTTCTCTTAGATATGAAATGCAAATTTCATATATATTACTCAATAACATACTACACCAACTGAGTATAGTATAGTAGTGTACTCCATTTAAAATACTATGACCAGTTTACTTTTCGGGTACCTATAGATGTGGAGTTTGTGCTGGAAGATGTCCTATATGAAAGTGAATTCTCGAGATGGTAATATTGGTAAGGATGAGAAGCTAATAGATACTCATACAATGTGGAGTCAATTCTCATAATGATAATATAGTACAGTATAAAAACAGTATATTTGTATAACTATTAATAACATACTACACCAACTGAATATAATATAGTAATACAATCTATTTGATAATTTAAACGAAAAGTTTTTTGGTATATATTATAAAATATATAAGGAATATAATAACACCTATTTTGATATAGTTACTTTCTGAATTTTAGACATTTATATAGTTATATCAACCAATTTCCCATCAATATACTATTTTCTTACTAAGAAATCAGTTATACTTGAGTTTTATTGTTTTTAAAATTTTTAGAATACACTAAATTCAGTTATGATTGAATTTTGTTGATTTTTTTCATTAAAATATTGACTCTAGGATAACACTGAATTTCCTTCTCTCATTTTTCTCTTTTCAATTATTGTTTTCTTAGTTATATTTTAAAAAATAATTATAGAGTACACTAAACATTCCTCTTTTTCTTTCATGAGTGTTACGGAAGATTGAAAAGAAGTGAAAAACCTGACAGCTATTTCTACAATGCTTTAGGCGAAGAAATTACTTTAAACCACTTTTTATTTAATTTTTCTTAATTTAAAATTTTCAGTTTTGCTCTCTCTTCCGTCTCTCCGGTCAATCGTTCAGCTTCTCATCTTTTCTCATCTATTCTACAAATGTTTTCATCGTCTTCACTCTCGACCACTCTTCTTTCAATTACTGTTTTTCTTTTCCATTGAAGTCAACTTTCAAAGGTTTGTATTTTCCACTCTCTTTTGTGGGTATAAACTCATATTTGGTTTCTATAATTTTACGGCATTTTTTTTTTGTATCAACTATAACAGTTGATCTTTTTGAACTGATCAATAGAACCGCTTAAGAAAAAGAAAATGTTATGACTTAACCTTTGAAAGCCAATCTCAATTGTTTGTTTAAGTTTACGTTTAGATTAATTGTATGCTTTTTCCAAATAAATTCATAATCTTAAATCATAAACAAAAAAAATTATTTGGCAGTTGTAAATGTAAAAGCCAAACACCAAGAAAAACTTTTGTTTGGGTCTCATTTCAGATTTGAATTTGAAGGTTGCAAAATTTGTCACTGAAAAATAAAAACTTTAGAGAAATACCTATTAGTTAAAAAAAAATACCACAAATTTTAGGTTTACAAACCCTCCTAAATATTTTTCAAATATACCATTAAAATTTGTGGCATTGATAAAAAGAAAAAGAAAGAAATTTGTGTTGATTTTTTCTTTTTAGAATTTTGGGATTTTAATGGTATTTTTGAAAAATAAAAGGGTATTTTATTGAGTATAAGTCAAATTCAATCACTAAACCCACTCCAGTGGAATCAACTCCGGCAATATTTGCGACATCCTAATTTTTCGACGCCACCGGATGAGTGTCGCCGGCATCCATCGTTTAGCTCTTTCTTTACTTCCGGTACCTTTTTTCTCTGGCTCTCACCAACTCTAATTTTCCGAGCTGATTGCTAATCACTCTCCTCTGCTCCGACCAGTTTTCTCTCCGTACTCCAGACGCATCCGTCGGTTTCTCCTCTCTCAGCATCCCCGCCAATCGCAGTCGCAATCAATCCGTTATCCACCATTCTCACCGATTGGTTACGTGTTGTAGTCACAATGTTAGTCTTTTCGTTTCCCTTAATGGTTTTGCTTTGATTGATCTTCTATTATTGTAGTTTATCTATTCATACGAATTCGAGCTGCGTGCTAGCTCTTTTACTTAAACTACTTTTGAATCCTTTTTGTTTTGTTTTGTTTTGTATGTGTGCACATTTAGGCTTCCCATAAATCTGATGATGCTGAAGCTGAGCCTTCCTTTGGTGAAGGTATTCGTATATCAACGACTTCATTTGTGTGTGGACTATAAAAGTCTCACACTTTTATGTCTTCTCTGCTCTCTAGTTGATACATACAGTCAGGCTTACACAAAGGCTTTTCCTTTTTTTTTAGCTGTCTTCTCGTATTTGTTGTTAACTTGAGTTTGACACTAATATCGACTCCTTTCTCTTCCCTTTTTCTAGGAGAAATGTTGGATAAGAATGGGACAAGCAGGAGAAACCCGTTTGCTTCTAAAGAGTATGTGATATATACTAAATCCTTGATTTGGTTTACTTTTCTATGCTTTTATGGCGCTTATGAGTAAAAGAATGTGGCTGTGTGTACCATGTGATACTACTACTTTGCTTCATAACTTTTGTTCAATACTCAAGAGAGGACTCAATGTTATAGTGTTATGTTATCTGTTTTTCTGCCCCTTGTTTAGCAGTTTGCTCCTATTAGGTTAACAGTGATTATTAAAAAAAAAACATTGCAGCTTTGGTATTTCTAGTAGGCTTTGGTTCAAGCTCTTTGCTTTTCCACTTTTGTAATGATCAGACAATGCCATTTGTATTTCTGATATGGTCTGTCCAATTGTTAGCTAAGATTATTTCGATTCTGCTCGATTAAAATCTACATTGCACAGCAGGAACTATTATAAGCTTAACCTATATTTCTTCCTTTTAATAATCTTGTGCTGCGACATTGTAGGCTTCTCGAGAAACTGAAGAGATATGGAGTCTCTGGAGTATTGTCTTATGGTTTACTTAATACAGTCTATTACACCATAGCTTTCCTCTTGGTGTGGTAAGTAGAGTACAACTTTGAGCGTATGCTTTGGATAAAGCTACAAGAAACATCGTTATCTACCATGGAACCTTACTCTGATTATGTAGTTATATCTCTCTTTCTAAGAAAGCAGTCTTTAGATTTCTAGATTATATGTGTATTTTGCTTCATCAATCATCATAGCATACTTGAGCTAGAGCACTGACAATATGTATGTATATATAGGTTTTATGTGGCCCCAGCACCCGGAAAAATGGGTTATCTCGCTGCGGCTGAGAGGTATGGAACATTGTTCAGCATTTCCTTAGCGTTATAGGGACGTGAAAGATTCGTGTTGCATACAGATTTCTTAAAGTGATGGCCATGGTCTGGGCTGGAAGCCAAGTTACTAAGCTCATCAGGATAGGAGGGTAAGTTGCTGATATTGTTGATTTTGTAATCAGTTACTTCTCCATAGCTTAATGGATGATTGTGGTTCTGCAGGGCAGTCGCACTTGCACCTATTGTTGATAGAGGCTTGTCTTGGTTTACAGTCAAATGCAAGTTTGAAAGCCAGGGGAAAGTGAGGCTCCCAAAATTGCTCTGACTAATACATATATAGATGATGATGAAGAGTGAACTAATCTGTGGATGCATTGCTTTTGACAGGCTTTTGGCGCGTTGGTTGGGATATGTCTTGGTCTGGCGTTGATGCTGTTTCTCGTTGTGACACTGCTCTGGGCATAAGCACAGTATAATATAGCTGTATTTGGTAGTTTCTGCTTTTACGACAATTGTAGTTTTGGTTACAACAGTGTGGACTTGAGAGGCATTGTGGAGATGATCTGTTTCCCTATCTTTTGTAAGATTCTGTCTTGATTTTGATATTTTAGTACTGATTGTCCAGTTTCCTTAGCCGCAATACCATTCTCCGAAGTGAAAGTACGGATGAAGAACAAGTGTATGTAAACTCAAATGATTAAGAAAAGATTCAAATGTGTACTCTCTTAGGACAAGAGTTGGAGCCGGCTTAGCAAGAAAAATAAAACAGCTGTTGCAAATCTCAGAGTTTTAGTAATAATAACACATAGAACTTTGGTTATTTCGGGAGGCCAGTTTCGGGATGGAGAAGAGCCTGAGTTTGATCTTGAAGCACCACAGGACCTTTTCCAGGTCTGCTGCATATAAAATAGCTCACTTCACCTTTTTGATCCTGACTTCCAATTTTGTCTTTAATTTCTTGTGGTGCCTCTCCTCCTCTTTCCAAGCCTGCCTCTTTCACAATTGATGTGTCTCCCAGTACGTAACTATACAAAAGCACCAAACAACATTTGTTTCAGTCAGAGGTTTTAATCAATCAATCAATCTATCAATCACACTTTCTTATCTCACCTCTTCATGTCTGTGTCAGGCTTAGGAGGGAAGCAATAGAGTAGCCCCTGCAGCAATTCAACTGCTACCTTTCTGCTTCGTGCAATCAAGACCGCGTTTGGGCCAGCATCAAATGTGTAAGCAATCTGTCCCCACAACACCAGTCTCAAATGTCAATACTTGGAAGAAACCCATTTTGAAATTGCTTTTGAGCAATGGAAGTAAGCGTACATACCTCTGGTGTCCCGACAGTGCGGTTCCACTTTTCAACTAAGCTTATTATCCTGGCATTCTCAGTAAGCGTGTTGCGATCAGAACCACGGCATTGATAGCTAAAGCAGGCCAAAAGAAACAAAAGAAGAGAAATAGATACCTGTGGGAGGTGTCGTTCATGTAAAATATGGGTGGAGATGTATCCATACAAACAGCATGAAACTGATTGCTGTCTGAACAAGTCAATTTTGTAAAAGATGTGAAATCTCGATTCTTTATAGCTTCTTCCATTTGCAACATCCGTACTGGCACAACTTCCTGAGGAGATATCAAAGCAGCGCACGAAATTGGGGGAAATAATCATCTTTGAAGTTAAGCAAGCACAACGAAAACCACTCTGCATACTTTGTTCAGCAACCCATAGGGTATTTAGGTGATATACAGACCTTTGCTCTGTGCTGTAGAAGCAAACTTGTCTCAACACTCTCACGCATTCCTGAGGTGCTACTTGTTTCCTTCTCTCGTGAACTCACCTGTGTGTAACACAAGCTATAACGAGTTGAAAAAGGGGAAAAAAACAAATTTTAAACCAAGAAGCTTTTGCAGGTTATTATGGAAATGATAAGAATGCAATGAATTATTATTCAAGCTTGTCTTAGCCATCCTATGATGCGGAAGTGGCTGCCTATGTTGTCTGCTTATACTCGATGTTGTAAAAAAAGCAGCGGAAATAGACTTTATTCATATAGCTCACCACACATCATTAGACGAGAGAGATTGTAACAAAAAGTTAACTAGAAACATACATGATATGGAAGATGAAGAATGGGACTAATTCTTTTAAAATGCACAAGACTAAAAATACTTAAAATTCATACCACAGCGATGATAATCACAAGATCATCCCAGTGTTTTTCATCTGCCAGTTGAACTGCAACACTGTCACTTCCATCTTCTTTGTTTCCCATGTTCCACTTGACAAATCCCCCAAATAAACTACGACAAGCACTTCCTGAACCTTGCCTGTATGAATAAATGAAAATCTAACCATATAAACCGGTAGCATTTGACTTCTAGAGGAATGTCTGACTACACATAATTCAATTTAAAAAGCACATAGCAACATGGGAACTTTTAGAATGACAATGGATGCACAAACAACAGTCACTCTGAGAAAACCAAAAAAAGAGGAAAATAGTAGCTTTACAATAAATACCAACGATTCTATAACGTTACTCGTACCTGGCTATAGCAGAAAGTTGGCTTGGATCTTCATGTACATTCATCAACTTTGCAAGAGCAAAAACTGTCCACAAAGAGCAGTTATCATATATATATTGAGTTGGAATTTTTCATGTCTCAAAGCTAAAGAAACATCAAAAAATGAGAGTACCTAAGCAAGCAAAACCAGCTGCTGAAGATGCTAAGCCAGCAGCAGTGGGGAAGTTGTTATAGGAAGCAATGTGTAGATGCAACTTCTCCCAGTCTTTCTTGGCTATTTTGATACCCTTTGCTTCGTCTTCAACATCATCACCACGACTCCTAATCTCCCTCAAGCTATTTTGGTACCTACTTCCAGAAAGGGAGATTTCCTACACTAGGACGAAACAACAACAACAACAACAAATGAAACACCATGAACAAAACCAATCATTATTATACATCAAAAACGAAAATTACTTTGAATTTCACTGTTGTCCAGCTGAATATCATAATCCAATAGAATTTTTTGCGAGCTATGAGAGTGGGGAAATGGAGCCAAGTACCTTGCCATTGAGCCACATTCGATCCCGATCAAAGGCGGGACTAACAGCGACGGTGGTGAGAGTGCAGAGGTGATCGGGATCAAGCGTGACGCTAATGCTGTCGTTGATTGGGAGAATCCGAACCTCGTCCCTCTTTCCCCAGTACTTGATCACGGCGATGTTCGTCGGCGTCTGCGCCGTCACCATCAACACCCATTTCTCCTCCGCCATACCGCACCACTCAAAAGAACTAAACTCTCTCACAGTCTCAGCTTATCGTCTCCAGAGATCTGTCGATTCGGAAGATTCCAAATAGAATGAAATGAAAGTGACGGAGAGTTCGAAAGAAAAAAAAAGAGCTTGTCACATGTTTCCTCCAAGTGAGGTGGGAGAAGAAAACAAGGATCTGATTGGTTGATAAATAAAATATTGTAAGTGCGGTTGCGTTTGCAAACTCGAATTTATTTTTATTAGATTTTTAATAAGGGAGTCAACAAACTAAAACCGAATCAACAAATGATCAAAAACTCTTCTTCTTTCAAGAGATTAGATTAGACTGAGAGGATCAAAGTGGGTTCCTTTGATTTAATTAATTGTTGATACAAAATGTGAAACAGCCCAAATCAGAGGCAGACATTTTTTCGAATCACATAAACAACGATAAATTAGGATGAGTTTTGCCCAAACAGAATCAATGGCAATGGTTTCACACGGTGCAAATGAATCAGGACAAGGACGTGACGGGCTTGATGGTCCCGTTAATAGCAGGGACAAGGCCTCTCGTGGCCTTAACGTAAGAAAGGTACTCGCTGTAATGCATGGTGAATAACGTACTCTGGTATCGTGTTAGATGGATCCGCCTACGCACTGATTCCGTTATCTCACCGTTGTATCCTGCTTTACGCACCAGCGAATCTATCGCCTCTATCTTTGTCCACCCTGCGGGAAAACACAAAAAGAGAGAACTAATCATAAGATTAGCAAACCAAGTAGATCCAACATTATATGATTGTATATATCAAAATGGTACGTACCTTCTTGAGATGGCACCTCAGGCAAATATGTGGCGCTTCGCTTTGCATTAGTCACGGGGTCAGTGAACTCAATGATGATACCATGCTTTCCGACCTTTTATAGAACCAAATCAGGGAAGATAAATCGACATAAATGGACTTTTTAAGACGGTGAATGACATATCGTGTAACAGGAGAGTGAAGAGAATAACCTCCCAATCAAGATAATCCTCTGCAGTTTCATAATTAGTCAGGACAGACACTGTACATTGCAGAAATGGCAGTTCTTTGGGTTGTATCGGTGGGAACCTACGATCTCTCAAGGCACTGTAATATTACATCAAACAAAATACGTTTCATTTACAACCAATGACATCGAAAAACAAAAGGCAAATGAGCTATGGCGAAACAGCAAGGAATAGAAAAAAATACACCTACGTATAAAGGTGCTTCAAGCTCAAAGTTTCCAATAGGACGTTGGAGTCTTATTTGTGTGCATTGTATTTCTATTGCTATTCATGTTTATTATACACACAGTTCGAAGACAGATACAAAAAAAAAGGATAGTTTGAATCTTGAGTGCAAAAGATTTGGGTTGCAACAAAAAAAGGTACAAAAACAGCAGAGAAACATGACACTTCAAAATATGAAATCTTTTAGCTCGCACCGTTTATTTGTAACTAGACAAAGTATTCATATACAAAGTTGCTAATAGATAATATCTAAAGGCAAACTCAATCAAAGCGAATTCATTTAAAAGGCAAAACAGATCAAAACAACACACATCATGGTTGCACTTGGCTACGGTAACATGAGAACTGAAAGTGAGAGGAATCGTAAGTACCTCGTCAAGGCGTAATCCTTGAAGCCACTGATCAAGCGGCGTGCTTCCAGTGTACCAATACATCCACGCAATCGAGGCTCCCCACCATTCACTATCTTCTTCCACGTCACAAACAATGGACTACAAGATAAACACTTGGACTATGAGTAACACAAGATTCTACCAACCATCCATATATTTCTACTACTGAACATAAATACCGACAACAAAAGGTTTCACTATAGAACATCACTAGCTGCATGCAAGGGCCGGAGATGGCGAGCGTTTATGCCTTAGCCAAATCCAAACCAAGAGAAGATATAAAAAAATTCAAATTTCATGTGGTAAAGGGATCTGCTTTTGAGTGTAAACAACTAAGATAATCATGACCAAGAGTCTTCAGAAACAGAACTGGGAGCTAGTCAAGTGTGAAAGGGAGAAATCTCAGTAAATACATACTTGAGAGAGATTCAGAACTTGCATGTCATAACAAACAAGTAAAAGGAGTTTAATTGGCAAAACAAAAATGGAATGGTTCATGGAAACGTACTGATTGGCCTCGTCAAAGGCAGGTGGTGGAGTCTCTTCGTTGTTGTAGTGAGAGACCAAAGTGTCGAAGCAGTAAACAGCCATCTCTCTGTTCGCCGACGCCATTTTTTCCTTTGAAGATAGAAACCACAGAAAACCCCAAATTAGCAAGTAATGAAATATTCAGAATCCTTTAAGGCTTATAAAAGCAACTCTTGAAGAAAGAGTAAAGAATACAACTTCGCGTGGAGGCTAAATAACTGGATTATCCCGCAATTTCGTGTGACCCGAAAGATATAGAATTTATGCTAAACACTACCCAGAGCCCAAAAATCGAAAGCAACTCGAAAATCAAAAAGCGAATTACAGAAAGCATAGCATTCTCAGAAAAAAAAAAAAAAAAGAACAAAAAGCTGAAAATTTAATAGCAGTGTTAGACGATGATGTAGATCGGAGAAGAAAAATTGATCGCTTTTCTATGTGGGGATTAAATTAAAAAAAAAAAGCCACAAAATATAGATCTGTAAGAACAATTGCAATCAAACAGTGAAGGAATCAATTTTGAGCATAAAACACAAGAGAGCGGAGAAAACGAAAACCTGAGAAAAGCGGAAAAGGATCCAAGACGAGTGAAGTGTGCACGTTTAAGCAAAGAAAGCTTTTGAGCACACTGACGACAAATTTTGGTTGGTGTGTCTTTTTCTCTCAAGGACTTTTGGCTATTTCATCCACGGCTCTGCTTTCGTTTTTGTCCTAATATATATATACAGTGCGACGCCCTTCTCGATTAAATAAAAAAACCTTTTGCTTAAAAAGAGATAATATAAAATTTGTTGATATACTACGATTATCCTAAAACATCCAACCCCGAAAATTATGAAGGTGGAACAAAATAAAACCTAAAAGGAGTATTAATCTCGCATCACATAAAACCGAGTGTACATTTATTACCTAAAAGGCTAAAACCCCTTTAAGTATTTTGTTTTCAGTAAACATACAAATGCTGTTTTAAACATAGTTTTTAATTTAAATGTAAATAAATATTTCTTCTGTTCGAGAATATATACTGTTTTAGATGTTTCATAGATATTAAAAAAGTAATGATTATTTATTTTTTTAAAATATTTTTTGTTTATTTATTAATTTAATATTAATTTTTTATCTAAAAAATTGTCTTGACAAAAGAAATATATTAAATATAATATAGAAAATCAATCTTTTTAGAACAAAATAAAAATTCAAAACATCATTAAAACGGAAGGAGTATATTTTTATTTTTTAAACTAAATCACTTTTGGATTCTTCTTTTAAAATGTTAGATTTTTTTTTTGAAAAATAGATAATCTCTAAATTTTTAACAAGGAAGATACAAATCATTTGGACTTCCCCGTGCACACAAATTCCGAGAGGGACACAAAAATTCTAGTTTACCGCCAAAAACATTCTTTCCAAAATCGACATTTGCTCTCCTCCTCTAAACGATATCTCTCGGGATCTTCACGCTTAAATCAGATAGGGCCTAGGGTTTCCGACTTCCGAGCATCGTCAACTTTGTTACTCACCGCCGGCGGACGGAGAAAATGTCTCCTTCTTCAGCCACCACTTGCACTTCCCTTCTTCAAGAGTTGCAGGTTCTCAGTTTTCCTCGCTTTTTTTTCTCCCTAGCTTCTTCATTTTTCTCCCGACTTTTTCGAGATTTCGCGCCGAGTGCGATTATCTCTTTCTCCTTTGGTCTGCTTTTCTGATGATTCATTGATTAGTTCGGTAACACGATTGGATATCAATTTTGTTTTCCTAGGGTTCATGCTTCTTATCACTCTCTGTTAGATTCATTTCGAAGCCATTATTTCAATTCGTTCTCGGTTCTATCTTATTTAAATTTTCGTTCGGCTTTGAATTGCCGAATTTGTGCCTCGGCAATTACATTTGCTTGTAGTTTTTAAGTTTCGCTGTGAAGGATTCGTGCCGTGATTTGTCTTAGGTTGGCTTTTAATATGATGGTAGTTAACTTCGTTCTCGTTACTACTTTCTGAATCGATTCTCATGCTATAGCTCATAATCTGATCAATAATTGAAATCGGTATCAAGATGCTGCTACTGGTTAGTGCTGTGACTGGTGCGGATGTCTTGTTTTTTGTGGAATTGAGCATGTATATGCGTCCACTGTACTTGAGGAGAAATGCCTTTGAGTCTTACCACAATGTTTATTCTGGTGTAGATAATATGGGATGAGATTGGTGAAAGTTACAATGAGAGAGACACGATGCTGCTTGAACTTGAGCAGGAATGTCTGGATATATACAACAAAAAGGTTGAGAAGACTCGCAAGCACAGAGCTGAGTTACAACGATCGTTAGCTCAAGCTGAAGCTGAAATTGCCAGCCTCATGTCTGCACTTGATGAACAAGTCTCGTTTTCAAGGGTATGGTACTCTTTTAGCATCACTACAATGTCTGTTTCATGGATAGAGAAAATTTTCTTATCTATGTTATTATTTTTATTTGAGAAGAAAGAAGGCTCTTTGAAGGAGCAGATCTCTTCTGTAAAGCCTGTACTGGATGATCTGATGATGAAAAAGGATCAGAGATGCAAAGAACTCTCCGAGACTCTTACACAAATTGCAGAGATCTCGTCTAACATTGCGGGGAATGATTATCCTGTTGGCTCTGGTCCAGAAATTGATGAAAGTGACTTAACACAAAGAAAGTTGGATGAACAAAGAGCACATCTGCAGGATCTTCGCAAAGAAAAGGTATTCTTTGTTCTTATTTTTATATATACACGTTCAGTATTTGTTTCAAAATGTTTGTGTTTATGTGCTAATCATCTTTATTTGAATTTCAGGCTGTTCGACTGCAGAAAGTAGATTCTTATATCAGTGCTGTCCATGAGTTGTCAGAGATTATGTCATTTGATTTCTCTAAAGCCTTGAATAATGTCCATAAAAGCTTGACCGAGTTTTCGAAGACTCACTCGAAAAGCATTAGTAATGATACTCTTGCTAGATTAACAGAACTTGTAGAGTCTCTGAAGAATGAGAAACGCCAGAGGCTGTTTAAGGTGAGCAAAGAACACTTTCGAACTGTTTGGACAACCCATAGCTAATGCGGACTGATACCTTGAGATTTTTATTTATTTCAGCTACAAGGTTTGGGAATAACCATGCAAGAGCTGTGGAATTTAATGGAAACACCTATGGATGAGAGAAGAAGATTTGAAAGTTTAAGTAGTTTACTTTCTGTTCCAGCTGATGATGCCTTAGGAAAAGGATGCCTCGGTCTGAACATTCTCCGAGAGGTAATGTTATCATATTTTCTCTTTAAATACATATCATATTCATTTATTGTGATATGTCTAAGCCAGCGAGTGTCACTTTTCTTAAGTCTAATATTTTGGTCATAGGCTGAAGATGAAGTGAAAAGACTGAACGCCCTGAAGTCCAGCAAAATGAAGGAATTGGTGTTGAAGAGGCAGTGTGAACTAGAAGAAATCTGCAGAGAGGTTCATATGGATGTCAATAGCGATGCTGCAAGGCAGAGTCTTCTCGACCTCATTGATTCTGGTACCATACAAATTCTTCTTGAGTAGGTCAACTAATTAATTAAGTACTTCGGTTTTGCAGTGCATTTTTGTGCTTTTACTTTCGAAGGTATAATACTCGTACGCCTTAGTAGTAGCATTATGGAAAGCCTATTAAATATATATGAAAGTTGGAATCTAATCGTTTTGTCTCTTACCTTTTATTTCCTTGCAAATTGTTTTCTGCTTGCAAACTGGTAGCCACTCTACTTTCTCATACCAAATAAGAAGTTGTTACTCCTCTCTTTGACTAACTTTAAAATGTTCATCTCCATTTCCTGTTTGTTCTGTTCTGAGTCAACTTTGCCCCAATTTGACAAAACTGTGCAATAACTTAATATGAAAATACGATGGACATGTTTTCACATTTTGTTAAGTTACTGACCGCAAACAACCTATGGTTTAAAAATTACCTTTCATCTGGTGTGCAGTGACGAAATTTTCCTTTGCAGGTGATTGTGATCTGTCTGATATTCTGGCAAGCATAGATGGCCAAATCGAGAAGGCAAAAGAGGAAGCTATAAGCAGAAAGGAAATTTTAGACAAAGTTGAAAAGTTGAGGCACGCAAAGGAAGAAGAAAAATGGCTTGATGATTATGAAAAGGTGAATACCACATTGTGTTTTAAATTTCTCTTTTATGTAGATATTTTAAGAGAAGACCTGTGAACCTTGGAGCTAATTGTCAGCTTTTTTTTTCTGATGAAGATATAGAGTTATCAAGTCTTAAGGTTAACTGCAGGCTGCAGCTATTAGAGAGCATCACTCTTATCTGCATAGAGTTATTCTTTTATAGTTTAAATGTTAAGAGAGTTATTAATTATTATGGGAATTTCTTACAGACTAGCTTTGTATACGTATGCCATATTGATTGTCTCTTCGATTTTGCTTTCTTAACAGGATGAAAATCGATTCAGTGCTGTAAGAGGAGCGCACAAAAATTTAAAACGGGCAGAGAAAGCTAGGAGCCTGATCAGCAAAATTCCTGGTGAGTCTTTATACATGCAAGTAAGTCTGACTTCAATATGATGCTTTCTGGAAACAATCCATGTTAATTAGATACCCCTTTGGATTAGTTTTCAATAATCTACTTTTCTTTTCATTCGAAAATTCTTATTTTCTATTCTATCGCATACCATGTTTTAGCAGTTCAACAAGAGGATTTAGGGTTTTTGACTCTCTAATTCGATCATTGGTTCCAGCAAAAACTCGAAAACTCATTGTTAGATGATTTTCCTTGCACTTGTTAGGGTGTGAACTTAGTTATAGTGCCTGATTCAGATCAAGTGAAGTTTTTTTAGACTTTTTTAGCTGTTTATACAAAATCTGTTGTAAAACTGATGGGTCATAAGATGACACTAACCTCTTGTGTTTGTTCTTTAAGCAATGATCGACGGTCTGGCCACCAAAGTGAAGGCCTGGGAACAAGAAAGAGGAGTCCCCTTCTTATGTGATAAGGTAATTAACCGTACCTTTACTCAATTCTCTTTTAATGGTTTGATTCAGCTTATATGATTTATGCCTTTTCGATCCAGTACCCGTTATTACAAACACTGGAAGAAGAAATTGTTCTGCGAGCTGAAAGAGAGGAGGAAAAGCGTCTACTCCGGGTATGTGTGTTGGTGAAAAAAAACATGGATTTGTAAACAATATCACTGTGTTGTTGTTGAGCTAACAACGCAAAGCTCTTTGTTTGCGTTTTCTTTTTGTTGTGGTCGCATCAACAGGAGCAGAAACGAGTACAAGGTCACCTTGCTACAGAGAAAGAAGCAAAGTATGGTTCAAAGTCTGCAAAGAAGAAGCCATTGGGACAGAGCCTTAACACAGACAATGTGACCAAAACTCCAATCGGTCGACGGATTGGGAATACACCGGGACGTCCTGCTGTTTCTGGTGGCAAAGATTTTAGAGGCAATGCCGCAATACCATTGAACTATGTTGCTCTTCAGAAAGATGATTAACCATAGATACTCAGAAAGTGAGGGTTTTAGATAAGCACAGCCGACATTACATGTTCATGAGCTGAGACTTAAGCTTCTATTTTGTTTTATGCTTCCTTCGCTATTCAAGTTTTACAAATATTGGTAAAGCTATGAATATAAAGTTGCTCATTTCACTCACAAAGTTATTGATCTACAAACCGAAGTTTACAACGAGCCGTAATGATTGGCAACCAAGTGAAAAAAAACTAAATGACAATGTTCTCCAAAAACCCATATTGGGATTAAGTTTCTGTCACAATGCGTAAGTTCATTAGTTGTAGAAGTTACTATCCTAATGCGTAAGTTAATTATCAGATAATTACTGAAATAAACAAAAAAAATAATAATCTCCTAAGCCTCTACCTCGGCTAGAAGGTCCTATTATTCCTTCCCAAATGTTTTCAGTTCCACACACACACTCCTCTGAAGAAAAGAAGAAAAAAAAAACACAGATGAGGTTGACCAAAACAATCCCTAGCTCCTCCCAAATCGCCGTGGCCAATTCTTTCACGCCGTCATGATCCGAGCATCCTTCGCCACCACCATTGGCCTTATCCACACACACACTCATGGAGGAGCTCAAGCTCGTCCTCTACAAAGCAATACCCGAGAGGTAATCCATTGCCCCGAAGCGTGGCTAATCAAAATCGTCTCTACTCTGTTCGTCTACAGGGTTCCGGATTCCGATCTCTGTTTCTGCTACCTGAGCAAGAATCTGAACCCCTTCATCGCATTTGAGGTCGTGAAGAAACTCGACAATCCTCACACAGGGTTTCGGTTTTGGGAGTTTAGTAGATTCAAGCTCAACATCCGCCATTCTTTCTGGACTTATAACCTTCTCACGAGATCTCTTTGTAAAGCCGGGTTGCACGATTTGGCCGGGAAGGTATTCGAGTGCATGAAGAGTGACGGCGTTTCTCCGAATAGTCGACTGTTAGGGTTTTTGGTGTCTTCTTTCGCTGAAAAGGGTAAGCTTCAGTTCGCTACTGCTTTGCTTCTTCAGTCTTATGAGGTTGAAGGATGTTCTATGGTGGTTAACAGTTTGCTGAACACGTTAGTGAGGTTGGACCGTGTTGAAGATGCGATGAAGCTATTCAATACGCATCTGAAGTTTCAGTCTTGTAATGATACATGGACGTTTAACATTCTGATTCGAGGTTTATGTGGAATAGGAAAAGCTGATAAAGCGTTAGAGCTTTTGTGCGAGATGAGTAGTTTTGGTTGTTCGCCTGATATCGTCACGTATAACACTCTGATCAAAGGGTTTTGCAAGAGTAATGAGCTTAACAAAGCGTATGAGATGTTCAACGAGGCCAAGTCGAGAAGCGGGTGTTGCTCTCCGGATGTTGTTACTTATACCTCTATGATGTCAGGGTACTGTAAAGCCGGGAAGACGCGAGAAGCATCTCTTCTGCTAGATGAAATGGTTGATTTGGGAATGTATCCGACTAACGTAACGTTTAATGTTCTCGTGGACGGTTATGCGAAAGCTGGCGAGATGCTTTCCGCGGAAGCCATCCGCGAGAAGATGGACTCTTTCGGCTGTTTTCCGGATGTTGTGACCTTCACTTCGTTGATCGATGGATACTGCAGAGTGGGACAAGTGAACAAAGGGTTTAGTCTTTGGGAAGAGATGAATGCTAAAGGAATGTTCCCCAATGCGTTTACTTATTCGATTCTTATCAACGCGCTCTGTAAAGAGAATCGGCTGCTCAAGGCTCGCGAGCTTTTGGCGCAGTTAGCTGTTAAGGACGTTGTTCCGAAACCGTTCTTGTACAACCCTGTGATCGACGGGTTTTGTAAAGCCGGGAAGCTCAACGAGGCGAATGTTATCGTGGCTGAGATGGAGAGGAAGAAATGCAAACCGGATAAGATCACGTTTACGATTCTTATAATTGGTCATTGCATGAAAGGAAGGATGTGTGAAGCAATCAGCATTTTCCACAAAATGGTGGCGATAGGTTGTTCACCGGATAAGATTACAGTGAGTTCTTTGTTATCTTGTCTTCTTAAGGCCGGAATGGCTAAAGAGGCCTATCAACTAAACCAGATTGCAGTAAAAGGACAGAGTAATGGTATAGCAACTTTAGATACAAAAGCGGGAAATGTAACTGTTGCTGCCTGCTAGTGTTTTTATTCAATATCGCCTGCTAGAGGAATCCCCTTCTTATGTGATAAGGTAACTAACTGTACATTTTACTCGATTCTCTTATATGGTTTGATTTTAGCTTATATGATATTTTATGCATTTTCGATCCAGCACCCATTATTACAAACACTGAAAGAAGAAATTGTTGTGCGAGCTGAAAGAGAGGAGGAAAAGCGTCTACTCCGGGTATGTTCGTTAGTGAAAAAACATGGATTTGTAGACAATATCACTGTGTTGTTGTTAAGCTAACAACAGAAAGCTCTTTGTTTGCGTTTTCTTTTTGTGGTGGTTGCATAAACAGTAGCAGAAACGACTACAAGGTCACCTTGCTACAGACAAAAAAAGCAAAGTATGGCTCAAAGTCTGCAAAGAAGAAGCCATTGGGACAGAGCCTTAACACAGACAGTGTGACCAAAACTCCAATTGGTCGACGGATTGGGAATACACCGCGACGTCCTGCTGTTTCTGGTGGCAAAGATTTTAGAGGCTATTCCTCAATACCATTGAACGATGTTGCTCTTCAGAAAGATGATTAACCATAGATACTTCCATAGCTATTCAAGTTTTACAGATATTAGTAAGAAGCTATGAATATAAAGTTGCTCGTTTCACTCACAGAGTTATTGATCTTCAAACCAAAGTTTACAAAGAGCCTTAATGATTGACAACCAAGTGAAAAAAACTTACTGACAATGTTCTCCAAAAACCCATATTGGGATTAAGCTTCTGTCACAATGCGTAAGTTCTATAACTAACGAACTTTGGGCTCTCACTACATTCCTCCTTTAGCAGACATGTTCTTTAAAGAGTGAGAAAAATATATGGTTGAACATCTCATATCTCACATCTCCCCACACTCTGTAATTACAACGGCAAGTTTTGGCTGGTTTTTGACTCCGACAGCGACGTTCTCAATCTTTCGCACAACCAATAAGCCATCTCCAATCACTCTCTGTACATCAAAAGTAGAATTTGCAATTAGTCATAGCAACACTAATACTGATTATGTGCTTAAGGGTTTCACGACTCAATGTCTGTTCCTCAAAGTATTATGGATTTTAAGGTTTTCTTTTGATATTAGACAATCTCAATTATAAACACAAAGGGAGAAGTAAGAATTTAATCGAAGAAAATTGAAAAGGTTCATGTTCCAATCATGCAATACGCGTATATGTGAAAAGAGGACATACCCCAAAGACAACATGCACGTTGTCAAGCCAGTCGCATTTTGCACAGCTGATGAAGAACTGCAATGGAAAGAGCACAAAGGTCATTATAGTCTAAAAATGATAACATATTATGCATAACCCTTACTTTCTTTTTTAGCCCTTTAAGATTATCTATTAGTTTAGCATCATAGTCAAAACACAAGGCTTCACACGCTACTGCTTATCCACATTTTTGTTTACAAATATTGTCTCGTTTCACAAGTAAAAATAAGGCCATTATATTGATTGAGACGGAAATTACCTGGCACCCATTTGTGTTTGGCCCACTATTTGCCTACAACAAAAGAAGGAGAGTCATGAGTATTACATCAAAGACAAGAGCATGACTCTGAATCAATAACAGGTAGACAAAATTCGTATTCCATGTTCTTAAACACGTTCAGAAGGCACAAATTGCATACCATCGAGAGCAGTCCTGGCCCTGTATGTTTGGCAGTAAAATTTTCATCATCGAACTTGTGGCCATAGATTGACGTGCATCCACTACCATCATTCTGCAGAGTTTAGCATATTGGACACATCCAGGATAAGGAGAAGGAAACAAAAGATTACCAATTCAGAAAACTATAATGAAGAAGAGAAGCTTTTTTATCAGATGAAAAGGGCACTAACCTTTAGAAAATCACCACTCTGAATCATAAAATCCTTGATGACCCTGTGAAACTGACACTCTTTGTAACCAAGAGGCTTCCCAGCCTTTCTGCATTTACCAAGCAAATGCCAATAAAGAAGATTTAAGTAAGTAGCAAAAAACAATTGCAGAGCTCTCCACTCATCTCTCTCATATAGTCTTAAACAATTTGATCTACGCTTAGCTAAAGCAAGGTGCAAGATATATGCATCAAACAAAAAAAAACTGACGCAGCAAGTGCAAGACTATATGGATATTTGCTAATCTTTCTAAATCCAAAAAGCTCTAAAACCCTCATAAATCTCTTGTGGAGAAGTAAAAAGAATTAAAGTTTAGCCGAACAAGATGCAGGAGGGAAGGTAAAAGATCGAATATACCTGTGTTCACCAGTACAGAACTGCCTGAAAGTTGAAAAGAAGAGAAGGATTTACATACGAATCAGAATCAGCTAAGAAGAAAAGGAGAAGTATAGAAGAAGAAGAGGGAGAGGAGGCAGGACCTGAAGTTTTCAGCGGTTTTGGGGGCAATGTCTGCGAAGAGCTCCATCTTGATACGACCGGCGGGGATGCCACCAATAGAGACGTCGAAGAAGACAACTGGGTTTTTAGGGTTCGGTGGTCGGACGTGCCACTCCACGTTTCCACCGCCGCTTGAAGGAGCTGCTGCTGTTGCTGCAGCTACGATTCCTCCTCCGGAACTCATCGGAACTCAGATGCTTGATCTCTCAACTTCTGGGGAGAAAACAAACCTTCTTCCTCTTTCTCTCTGTCTCCGGCTTTGTGATCGGATTCTTTGCTCGATCAGTTTTTCCGACGCCTAAAAACATTGGTGAAAACAACAACACTGTTCTACGTTTTTGGGCTTAGATTCGTACCTACTTGGGCCTTAAATTCAAGAAATTTCGAAAATACCCTTGATCTTTCTATTTTTTTTCAAATCTACCATCTACATCCGAAAAATGCAAGGCAAACCATCATCGACTCACACTAACAGTGTTTTTCCAAACTATTGAAAGAGAGACTCAAAACACTTGACTACGACTACTTCATCACTTAGCTGTGTCTTTGGATTAGATAAGTCTTAATGTCAAAATAAGAAAGATCATAGCTTTATTGATCATATACATCTTAATACCTCTATTGATCTTAATTCTCTAGAATGTCAAAATTTTACATTTTCTTACCACTAAATATATAAACATAAAACCTATATAAAACATGTTAATAGCTCTACTGATCATACATCTTGAATTGTCTCGTACCAAAAAAAAGATAAAGGTCTTACTTTCTGCAGTGGACAAAATGTATTCACCATACAACACAATAAGATCATTAGCCACAGTAAAACTACAATCTGACCATATAATCAGAACAACACAAACCAATAGACTTTATGGTCAGATTATAGTTTTAGTTTATTTGAAAGAATTTATTTGATAGATCCCATTGTCATAAATTCCCAAAGAATATTCAACAATAATCAACCAAGATATATAAAGGTACACACTTGAGAGGCTGCTCATGCAAGTGTAGGCTCCATGAGCCACACAAGTGAGAGACAACGACAAGCCTCCTCTCACTTCATTTACTTCTTTTCAGAACTCGCCTTGTTATCAAGCTCTTCCAACACATCCCACAGTTTTGGATCAGCGTAGTTCTCGATGAGAAAAGCCGGTTTGGCTTGCATAAGCAGGCTTGGTGGATTACCTGTAGTTAGTCCAACCACAGGCATTCCAGCAGCAACTCCAGCTTTGATCCCAGAGACGGAGTCCTCGAACACTAACGCGTGCTCCTTTGACACGTTAAGCACTTCAAGAGCCTTCAAGTAAGCCGCAGGGTGTGGTTTTGGATACTCACATTCAGACCCAATAATCACTGCCTGAAAGAAATCACTCAGGCCAAGTTTCGATATCATGAGCTCTGCGTTTTCTTTCGGAGCGTTTGTTACTGCAGCTCGTTTCAATCCACGCTCCTCGATCCATTTTGTCAGTTTGATAAGCCCGTCAAGCGGCTTTATCTTTTCTGCAACAAGCCTAATATCAATAAGAACGAAGAATCAAAACAGAGTTACTTCAAATATAACTCAAAACCTGAATCAAATGTAAGAAAGTATACACTTACTTGCGGAAAAGAGCTTCCTTTTCCTCACAGAATTTTAAACCTCTTGAAACATCGTCAGGGAAGAGAGCAAGAGCAATTTCGGAATTGTGTTTTCCAGCAATGTTTGCAATGAAGAATTCCTCGTCGATTGGGACACCATTGTTAAAACCAATCTGCAAATGATTACAAGATGCGAAATTTGACACAAGAACTTGAAAGTGAGGTTACAATTCACAGTTTTTTTATGAGTAATGAAGAGATTAAATTTAACCTCTTGAAGTAGTTCCTGAAAGGCAATAAGGTGGATGGGATCTGAATCACAGAGTGTTCCATCAACATCAAACAGAATGGCTTCTAAAGGAGCTAGATGTGAAAGCGAAGGTTTGCTGCTTCACAACAAATGTAAAAAAAAAGACAGAGAGATCAGAATCCTGAGAATTTCGCGGTGAGATTGCATCAAAAAGATCAAACTTTGGGTGCGATAATCGAAAGGGAGTAAGCAATCGATAAAGTTGCAAAAAGATCATTTCATGACTATCAATTAGCTTCAGTTTTGTTTTTAAATAGCTACGAGTTCCATTGATCTTGGAGACCCGAACACACTTGCAAGAAATCGCAGTGTTATTACAAAAAAGTCTACACATACATACACGCGAATGATTTACAAAATCATACATGATACATAACAGAGATTATAAGTATCATTGGATGAAAAGACGATCAGCAAAATTAAAAAGCGTACCTCTCGGAAGGATTAAGATCGGAGAAGCCATTCATTGTGATGAGAAATGGAGAAAGACAAAGAAATGGATCTGTGATTTGCAAAACGAACGAATGGTTTTGATAGATTTTGTCAAAAAGGTACAAACGAGAGAAATGGAATCTAATGGTGCGTCAGAGGAAGATTCGGGGGACTCTTCTTCACCACGTGGCGGGCTTTTGTTGCTTTAAACGCAAAATGCTAAAACTCTAAACCGGAAATCATATCTCCATCCGGTTTAGAGCTGAAATTGGTCGGAGATAAAAGGTACTCAAACTCATGGACCTAAAAATGACTAAAGCTGTAAACCGGGAATCATATCTCCATCCGGTTTAGAGCTGAAATTGGTCGGAGATAACATCTCGAACCAAATTAGTCATTTATCAACACTGTTCGAATATTGGAAATGATCTGTTAGTCATGGACCTACAAAATGATCTGTTTTCTTATATTGGAAATGTGACCATAAGACACCAAATTGAGTTTAATATGAAACTCTCTTTGTCAAAAAAAAAGAGAGAAAAATGAAACTCTCTTCTCTTTTTTGAATCATGTCACCAACGACATAAACTCTTTATTACAAGATCAAACAAAATGGTAAAGAAAAATGCAAATCTTGGTGTTGAAACATAACATCAAAGTAAATCAAATCTTCAATAAAGAAAAGTCTTGTGAATATTTTCTCAACCGAAATCAGTTCGATTTAGATAGTAGTGTGAGCAAGAAATCTCTGTAGTTCCCTTTAATCTTCTCTTGGATTGTTTGGGCCAAAGTCTCACCATAGAGCTGATTATACGTTTCTGCGATCTCCTTCATCTCATCAATATGATCCGCTCTCGTAACTAACACTCTTGTCAACCATTTCTTGGTACCCTTGTCCGCTTCGTTGTTCAAAGACGCATTCAAAATCTATAACCAAAGAAGAGAGACTTAATGTTAACTCTTGCATCGTTATCAAAAAGAAAATGCTTAAATCTTCCTAGATATTGTTCATTTGCATTTGAATTTACATATTTCTAATTAACAAGGTATAACTTAACTGAAGAATGAAACCAAAATTTCTTTATAAATTTATTTGGTGGAATACCGAACTGTAATCAATTTTTGTATAACCAAACCAAACCAAAACCATTCTGAAATAAACAGAAATTATTAAATGTTATGAAGAGTAGATGTGATCATACCTTGCTGAAATACACAGAGTGCTTGAGCAAACAAAGCAATGCGTCATTGAGAAGGGAAGACTCAGATACACCCTGATGATCAAACCACAAGATTTTCTTGATCCATTAGAAAAAGTATACATATGAATCAAAACATGGCATTATATATATATATATATATATATATTATAAGAATTGGGTTGCATATGTTACCCCAAGAAGATCAGAGCCTTTGATCTGATTATAGTGTTTGTAGAGATGTTGGAGATGCAGCTTACTTCTTGTGCTCAAAATCCTAACAACTTCATCATTCTCTATGGCTTTCTCTCCGGAAGAAGCCACCGCCTCTGCCAAAATCTTAGCCTCGGATTTGGCGGAATCGTCCTTCACCTTAGTCCCTTCATATCTGTAAGCACTCACGAGCCCCACAAGAAGCTGCACAAAACAGAAACAGTGAGTGAGCAAAAAGATCGTGTGTGGGAGGCTGTAGGGTAAGGAAGAATGTACTGACCTTGCGATGAGAGCCATGGATGTGAGAGGCAATGTCTTCTTCCATGGATTGGTCGAAGAGAGAGTGATAAGCTTTGCGTGCGCCTAGGAGATCCTCAGAGGAGCGCGTGCATGAGACCTCCACGATGAGGTTGTACGACTCATCTCCTTTCTTCAATGCTTTCTTCACCAACCTTGCGTCTCTCTCCCATGGATGCATCGACCACATCACGACCGCGTTCTATACATCATAGACCAAACTTTCATCATTTTCAGCCAGGAGGAAATCGCTGGTTTACTTTTTCTCGTTCTTAAGGAGTACTGTATTAGAATCATCGGATATGTGAAAAGACCAACACTACTATGACTTCATCACATAACATTTGATCAAAGCCAATGAAACTTCACATATCAAAGTTCTTGACAGTATTAGGACTGAATTATTCATCAATCAACAAAGAACTACATCTCTTAACCAATAACACACTAGATAATTAGGGGAATTATTATTACATAGCAGAAAATCAATCAATAAAAAGGGATATTAATAACTAATAAGTAATAACTCAATTGTTAACTAAATTTATGTCTTTTTTTTTTACTTTAGAATTTAGGCAAATTCAGCTATTTCAGATTTTTTAGGTTTTTAATTAAAATGAAATAAATGGTAAATAATCGATTTGTTATTGGGTAAAACTGACAAGTGTAAATGGTGGGGGAGAAATATGGAAGTTTTGCCAAAATAAAAAAAAAAGGTAGTAATAAAATTTCAGAAAAATAATAAATAGAAAAGCCAGGAATCAAAAGAAGGAAATTAGATGAATGAAGAAACTGACATTGAAGCGAGAGAACTCAAGCTTGAGATGTTTGACAAAGGTATCATGGCATTTCTCAAAAGCTCTTTCCTCATCTTCCACAAAGAAATTTTTGCTTGCTTTCCTAAACAATCTTCGGTGATCCTTGTGTGAATTCCCCAGTGTACTTATCAATGCTTTCTCATCAACTCCCATTCCTACAATTTTGTTTTTGTTTTTGTTTTTAATCAAATCCTAAATCATTTTTACCGTCTTCGTAATAAAACAACTGATTTTCAATGATAGTATCATTATACAAATATTACCTGAGATTGCTTGAGTGATGCCTTCGAAATCGAGAGTGTGAGCCATTTTTCTTGCAGCTTTAGCTTCTTTTTTTTTTTTTTTTTTTTTTTTCTGCTTTACTTTGGTTTATGCGGAAAGCTATAGAAGAGACAGTTCGTTTTATATGATGAGGATTATTCAGGGCAATATTGTGGTTTATGGAGGGAGACAAGGGTGTTTTCGGTACATCAATATATTATTTATTTTGTTCCCATAATTCGTGTTCAGATGTAGGACTAACGCTATAGTCATTGTTGTAATAAGGTGTAACGCCCCATAAATTTATTGCATCTTTAAACAACTGTTCATATAAAGGAATTACAGTAGTCCAAAACATATTAAATCTTTACTGTTTTTTGTTTAACTGGAATTTATTAAGTTTGACCATTATATAGACTGCACTTTAAATTTTAAGAGTATTTTTATTAGTGAGATACTCTTTTTAAATAATCTATATAATATTAATTTTTAATATAATTTTATGATATAATAAAAAAATATTTATAAAAGAGAGTTAAATCAATTATATAATGATATGTGTAAAATGAGTATGTCTAAGTATCTCAAAGTTTCTTAAATGAAATACTTTAATGAGATACTCTTTCTTACCTAAAAAAAAAAATATTATTAGTGAGATATCTTGTTTCTAAATGAATATGCTCTTACAATGCACAGTGATGACTCATCAATAATCTCTTATCAATTTTATAATAATAATTTTAATATAATTTAACTTTATTATTTAATTTTAAATGAAAATGAAATTTAAACCAATGATATAAAGATACATATGAAATAATTCTTTTATGTGTCTCTCATTTGAAAAACTGTTTCTATTATCTCTTTTTTCAAATTCTAATTTTATTAATATTTTATTATGAGAAACTGAAGTTAAAAATTATTGGGCGTGGTCCTTTCCGATTTTTATTTTATTCTTTATTTATGACAACATGTATTATACCAAATTTGAGTTCATGTGATAACACTAACACAAAACACTAATAAGCTACAAAATTCTGATCGACGTAGTCTAAATTTGTATTAGGAAACTTGCAACAGAAGCAAACCGAAGTGACACATGCACCGCTACTCTGGCAGATCTGATTTAAGATATGGTACACATAAGATCTAAGATCCATGTGGTTCTGAATAGGTCGAATCTCAGACAATCAATAGAAGACTAGTGAAAGTCAACTAGTTCAACTAGTTGCGATCTCACTCAATCATAAAGTTAAACGAATACTAGTATTAGATAATAATTACAATGAAAAACATACGACACACGATAATCCCCGTAGCATAACCACCAATATTGTTCAACCGTTTTTACAAAAGAGTGGTTGATGAGCTTATTTTATCCTCCATAATGAAGTTGTAAATATTTTGATGTGTAACGGTGTTGAATACTAAATCAGAAAAACCTGTTACAAAAAAAAATAAAAGGTTCAAAGATCATGGCAAAGCAGATAGCATATTTTGTTCTGTTAAAATAATGCATTCTTTAACAAAGTTTTAATGCATTGTCATTATGTACAGACTGTCCCTTTAAACAAAATAATGCACCGCGTAATCGATTAAAAAGAGTAGATGAGATGCCTTAATCACGTTTCCTTCGCGAGATGGTAAGACTAATAATATATAAGTGATAAGTTTATTAATAGGGGTGGGCAAAATATCCGTTATATTTGTTTCGAACCGATATTTGCTTCGATCTGATTCGAAAAATCCGGATATCCGTAAGGTTTCGGAGCAAAGCAAAATAGCAAATTGTAGTATCCGTACAAAACAAGCAAATCACAAATATATTTTTAGATAATGTCGGATATTCGATCCGATCTGTATCTTTATAAATTTATTATATATTATCATGTATATATCAATTATATTATAAATTTTTATTAATATATTCTCAATTTTCTTCCTAAATTTTCAATTATTCTTTTATTATATAAAATAAATGACTAAATAACTAATTATAAAAAAATAAATAATATGTTTAAACTTAAAATATGTTAATAAATAATATTTTATTTTATATTAGTAAATAAATATCAACAAAAGTTTTTTAGTAAAGTTTAATATTAAAGTTTCAAATAGTTAATATTATTTTTAAATATAAAATATCATTTTTTCTCATCTTAATTTTGTAGGTTTATTTTTTATAGATTTTTTTATAAAATAAAATATTTTCTTTTAGTTATTTTCACTTAATATTTTAGATGAAAAATATTTTTTTTATAATAAAAATTGATGTACTTTCAGTTTTGTGTATATTAAACGGATCAAACTAAATATTCATAAATATTTGTAAATATCCGCAAATACTTGTAAATTTTCCGGATATCCGAAAATCCGGATATCCGTATATTTTCAGAGCAAATCAAATCACAAAATTAAATATCCGTTAAAAACTGAGCAAACCACAAATACTAAAAAATTTCTGGATATCCGATCCGCGGTCACCCCTATTTATTAATACACTCCAACAAGCATCGATCACATGGTGTTTTTTAAAAAGCTATTACTGAACATCTGTCATTGAGGGGTTGTACAACCACGTTTTTTTTTTGGGTCATACCTGCATGAGTCCCATTCACAACCAAAATATTTGGTCAACAATTAATATCTAATTAAAGAGCTGTGCAATTATTGTATGACAGGGTGTTTCTTCTATATGAGAAAAAATGACAAATTTGCAGACGTGCCCATAAACAAGATCACGTTTTACACGAAGAGACGACTTATAATAATTTAGAGGGGACAGCTGTATCTTTTGAGCATTATGATTTGCAGCATTTCGCTATTTCATTTATTTGATTTGGTTAAACTCATTTGTCACTCATTCAAAAGATCTCGTCATTCTCGACTCTATTAAAATCTATTTAATTTATAAACGCATGTGTCACACAGACAGACATGTTGACTATAACATTGTTTATAACGCACACAGTAAATCCCTATTTTCTTTTCTCAAACACAATATGTAAGTAACACCGCAGAATAAGCTGTTAACGTTTAAATATTTATTTTTATAAATCTGCAAACACATTCATTTAAAATTTCGGAAATATAGAAAATTTGGACATGGTTTCTTTAGAAGATGATCGAGTTTAATATTTCAAACTGATAATTATCATTTAAAAAAAAAAACGAAACATCAATACTAGAGATGCAATTATACTATTAAATTTGAAATCTCCGTCATGCACACAGCACACATTTTACTAATTTCCTAGTCTTTTGATCAAAAAAGTATACCAGCTTGTTAGACTTAAAGTCAAAACTTAATCTTAAGGAGATCTTGGATTTATTGGTAAGTATTGGATAGATTGTGAAAATAGTTATAGAAAGAGGAACTGGTCAGCAAATATATAACTAATATCGGACCCTCCTATCCAATGTCCGTCCTTGAAACCAAAAAATTCGACACTGGATAAGACTCTTTAGGTATCTAAACAATACAATAATATTATTTTTGTTACATTTTATTTTGAGAAATCCATCACAAATTTTTATTACCATTAGTGAGATACTTTCCAAAGTATCTAAAAATATAATATTTTTAAGTAATTTAATAATGTTGATATAACTTATTTTTTTAGCATAACTTAAATTAATAATATATGTTAAATTTTATCTTAAATTAAATAATTTTCTGTCATTTATAAGAATTATTTATAATTTTAATATGTAAAAATAAAATTGTTAATTTTAATATGTAAAAATATAACATTTTTTATAATTTTAATATGTAACAAAATTTTAAGTTTATATTTATTTTGTATGATTTTATATTTTGTATTAATTAGATTATTAATTTAAATAAATTTATTAATTAATTTAGCTAAATGAATTAAAAATAATATTATATAATTAAAAATTATACAAAATGGAACTTGATAGATAGCTAATTTTATTATAAGATTTTTAAAAAGTAATTAGAATTAAAAAAAGAACTTACAAACTATTTAATTCATATAATCAATTATAGTATAGTAGAGTATCTCAAGGTATCTAAACATTTCTTGTTTGAGAATTGGTTCTAAGATTTTTTCTTTTTATAATTATTTTTTCTTTATTTTTTTGTTGTAATAAATTGTTAAATACCCAATGAGATCCCCTTGATGGAGATGGTGTAAGGTTAAGTCATTACAGTTCCGAGTTCCTGACAAAAAAAAAGTCATTACAGTTACGTCTTCGGGGGTATTTGCGTCAAATAAAGATTCTCCTGCAACATAATTACACCTAAGTACTGTAAATTGAAACGGATTGAAACAAAAACAAGAGAGAGAAAGAAATTAAAAGGGAGAGAACACAGAGAGAAGCACACGCTTCGGAGAAACAGAGGAATATCTCAAATGGCCACCATTAGAGTACCAGACGAAGTTCCTTCCCCAGCTCAGGATTCTGAAACCCTCAATCACGCTTTTCGCGGTACGTTTACAATCAATCTCTGCATTCACGTAACGCAATCGTTCGTATGTTTCTCAAAAATCAGATTTCTGGGTTTATATTTCGAGATTGGGTTTGGAATGTGTTTTCTTTTATTCTATAGGTTGGGGAACAGATGAGAAGGCGATTATACGCGTTTTAGGAAAAAGAAACGAGATCCAAAGAAGGAGAATCAGGGAAAGCTACAAAGAAATATACGGCAAAGATCTTATCGATGTTCTCTCCTCTGAATTGTCTGGTGATTTCATGGTACTCACATTTTTTTTCTAAATCCCTAACTCAAAACATTGATATAAAGAAGATATTTTCTTCTCCGTTTACATGAAAAACACAAATCTTGTTACTTGCAGAAAGCTGTGATTCTGTGGACTTACGATCCAGCAGAGAGAGACGCAAGGCTTGCGAACAAGGTTTTGAAAGAGAAAAAGAAAGGGTTAGAGAAGCTAAAGATCATAGTAGAGATCTCTTGCACAGCTTCTCCAAGCCATTTAATTGCTGTGAGGAAAGCTTACTGTTCTCTCTTCGACTTATCACTCGAAGAACACATTGCTTCCTCTGTCCCCTTTCCTCTTGCAAAGGTCTTTCTTCCTTCTCATAACATTCATTCTTTTCAAATTTTTGTAAAAAAAAAGCTTTGGACTTTTGAATTTGATGCCTTAATGGTATGAAAATGCACAGTTGCTGGTGACGTTAGCAAGCTCATTCAGATATGACAAGGACAAGGTTGATGCAGAAGTAGCTACAATCGAAGCAGCTATGCTACGCGAAGCGATAACAAAGAAGCAGCTGGACCATGATCATGTCCTGTACATACTAGGAACTCGCAGTATCTTCCAGCTCAGACAAACTTTTGTCGCTTACAAGCAGAGTTATGGTAACACATTAGATAAGGTTAAGATCGTATCTTGGCTTTCATGGCTTTTGTTTTTTTCTATTTTCCTGGATATAGACTTCAATGTTTGTTGTTATTATGGTCAGGATGTTGATGAATGTCCAGGAGATGCTGATCTGAGAAGTCTACTGAAGATGGTGATCTTGTGTATTGATTTCCCTGAGAAACACTTTGCAAAGGTACTTAAAACATTGAGCAGACTCTGTTTGGTTATGATCTTATACTCAACTTTGTGTTTGGTTACTTCATTTTACAGGTTGTAAGTGAATCGATTGAAGGTTTTGGAACTGATGAAGATTCGTTGACGAGAGCGATCGTGACGCGTGCAGAGATCGATTTGATGAAAGTAAGAGGAGAGTACTTCAATATGTACAACTCAAGCATGGATAACGCTATTGTTGGTGATGTTTCCGGAGACTACAGGGACTTCCTCATCACCTTGCTTGGTTCCAAAATCTAATCTTTTGTTTTTCAATTTCATTTTCTTAGCTTTGCTCTTGTGTGACTTTTGTATCAAAAACTTCATTTTCCAACTCCGATTTGAAACCAATTGTTATAAAAATAATCAACCAGTTTGGGCTCTTGAATTTGTTGTAAGATAAAAATGTTTTATCAAGTGGGCCGTTAAAAAAACTGGTAATGGAGCCCAAAATGCAACAAAATACAATTCAGAGAAAAGCCACAGCCCGAAGCTTAAATAGTGGGCCGCAAAAAAACAATTCAAGCCCACTAATTTAGATAAGCTAGGATGGCACGTGGAAGGAGACTCTGCCGAAAGGCACGTGTGAACTGATCGTATCTTCGTGTGAGAGAAATGATAAGCGACGCTTGGCCAAAACTCCGGCGAGCGGCGAGGCAGGCAAATTCCGATTTCAGTGAAAAGCAGAGTTATGCGAGGAGCTCATGTAAGCAAGTCTCAGCTCAACGACGGGTGAAAAAAAACAACGATAATCCGTTAAAGCTCCGAATCAATTTCCGGCGAAAGGCAGAAGACTCAGTTGCTACTCCCCGGCTTGCGTTGAACAAAACCAGAGCAAACTGTTTAAACCGGACTTAAGCCGGATTGTTGTTTATCGCACGTCGGCGAAATCTCTAACCCGAATATCTTCGGGAGAGGTATTTTATATGTAACGGTTTAATTTTCTTAATCAAAGTATGATCGATAAATATAATTAGATGTGAAATCAGTCTTGTAATGAATTTTCAGCATATGGCTTTGATTCTGGTTGCCTTCCTTATTATGACATGTTTTGATTATTTCCCCTTTTATTTGTTTGTTTGCTTTGTTTTTAGCTGTTTAGTGTTAATGTGAAGTAGAAGTATGAACTCATATTTTGTTTTATTGTCGGTTGAATAAAATTATATATATATTAATGATTTAATGTGTGATTAAAAACCATAGGAGTTGCAACTCTAAACTGATCCATTTTGAGATTTCTTGAGATATTTTTCAGATAGGATTGTTGATAAAAAGAGACAGGAGAAATGTGTGGCTCTCCTCTCCCACCACAAAACCCTTTCCTCCTCCTTCTTTGGAAGAGTCGTCTTCTCTAATTTATATTGTCAAGGCTCTCTCTGTGATCCTAAAACCCTTTCGCTTAAAAAAAAAAAAAAAAAAACATGGCCTCCATTTCTAGAGTTTTGCCTACAGACGTCAGATTAAGTCAATGCAGTGGCATCGGAACTTCCTTGTTTCCTGCGACAAGGAGAGCTCAAACTCAAACTCAATCAGGTATGCAAATCAGAGATCCTTCAAAACTCCCTGATTCTTTTTTTACACAAGAGTCTCTTTTTGCTGAATCATCATCATTTTGGTGTTTTTTCAGTTTCTCCCAGGTTGTTTTCGGTTAGTAACGCTGGAGTAAGTTTGAGGATTCAGAACAGTAAACCATTACGCTCTGTCTTTGCTCTTGAATCTGCCTCCACTGTTATACATTCCTCCAGGTATCTTTAGGACTATAGATAGAGTGATCTGTTGATCTAATTTGCTCTAGTTTTTGCTAGTTTATTTTAGATGTTCGTTATAATTTTTACAGGAGCAGCCGAGTTGCTTGCAAGGCTGCTGCAGATTTTTCAGGTGATGTACCTGAAACCGCTCCTAAGGAACTTAGCCAGTACGAGAAGATTATTGAGCTTTTAACGACCCTTTTTCCTCTTTGGGTACCTTTTCCACTCTTCTTTGATGAACTCTATATGCCTATGATGTCCCAAATGGTGAATGTGATGACTCCTTTCTGCAGGTTGTTTTGGGAACACTCGTTGGCATCTTCAAGCCATCTTTGGTATGCGTTTTCATGCTTCTTGTTTGTTTTTCTTTTAAAATCTATAGCAAGCTGTGTTTCTCGCGCTGAAGGATTAAAGTCTTTGTAGGTTACATGGTTGGAAACAGACCTCTTCACCCTTGGTCTGGGATTTCTCATGCTCTCCATGGGATTAACACTTACGTTTGAGGATTTCAGAAGATGTTTACGTAATCCATGGACGGTGAGAGCCAATGTGCCCTGGTGTATGTATTCTCTCTGCTAGATGTGTTACTCGTTTTAACATGTAGAGTCCTCCTGCAGGTGGGTGTTGGTTTTCTTGCTCAGTATATGATCAAGCCAATTCTAGGCTTTCTCATCGCAATGGTATGTTTTCCTTTTGTGTCTATCACATCAACTTCTCTTTTCTTTTCTGAAATGGATGCGGACGCAGTTTTATGGATGATTCCTTTATTTCGTTCTGTGTTCTTCAAATTGGTTCCATTGGATTTTACTTGTATAGGTTGTTATACGCTTTAACTAAGTTAGATGTTTATTTATTGATATTTTCTTTGATTATTGCTTGATTAACTTAGATCCAAGTGTTGTTCCACGTCCAAACCTCACTTTTTTTAGCTTTGAAAGTTTGAGTCGACATTTCCTCTTGTACTATACTATTTGGTGGTTGATGATTTTCGAAGAGCCTACTAATACAAACCTGTTCCGTATTTTTTTTATTTTAGACTCTTAAGCTTTCGGCACCTCTTGCGACTGGTCTTATCCTGGTCTCATGCTGCCCTGGAGGACAAGCTTCGAACGTTGCAACCTATATTTCCAAGGGGAACGTGGCGCTCTCTGTACTCATGACAACGTATACTTCTATTTTCACTTGTTTTTCTTTTTCGTTGTTGAATGTCGTTGCAGGCCACAGTTTTTCTTTTCTAATACAGTATATAATCCGTTCTCTAACTTCTAGGTGTTCAACAATCGGGGCTATTATAATGACTCCTCTTCTCACTAAGCTTCTTGCTGGCCAGCTTGTTCCCGTCGATGCTGCTGTGAGTTTTCTTTGTAACTATTTTGAATACATTCTTGTAGTAACTGTAGCCTATAAGATACATTTCATTGAGACAAAATATGTCATCTTGATTCAGTAAAAGTTATTGAATGATAAAGTTGAAAGATGCAAAATAGAAAATCTAAAATAAGATAGTTGCTGCCCGCCATAAACGAATGCTTAAGAATCCATTGTTTTTGTACATCAGGGACTTGCTGTTAGCACTTTCCAAGTAGTGTTGGTGCCTACTATAGTTGGAGGTAAGTATGGTTACAAAGTGTTTCTAGATCAATGAATATGCCTATGATTCCTCAAGGAGTAAAGTCTTTTTCTGCATTGTGTGACAGTTCTGGCCAATGAGTTCTTTCCTAAATTTACGTCCAAGATCATAACAGTGACACCTCTAATCGGAGTCATTCTGACCACTCTTCTCTGTGCCAGCCCTGTGAGTGTTTCACATAACCAGAAACTTTTCTCTATTGGATCTTCATAAAAGTGAAAGTAGTATTTGATTATGAAAATTTGCTCTTGTGAAAAGATTGGACAAGTCGCAGAGGTTTTGAAAACACAAGGAGCTCAACTTATACTTCCGGTGGCACTCCTTCACGCTGCAGCATTCGCTATTGGCTATTGGATTTCAAAGTTCTCTTTCGGCGAGTCCACGTCGCGAACCATCTCTATAGAATGTGGAATGCAAGTAAGTTAATCTCTCCCTAAACCGATATATTTGTTACCGTTTGTCTTGTTAGGACTTCTTTTTAATGAAAACTTCATTTGTTTTTGCAAACCGCAGAGTTCAGCGCTAGGGTTCTTGCTTGCGCAAAAGCATTTCACAAACCCACTCGTAGCTGTTCCTTCTGCAGTTAGTGTTGTCTGTATGGCGGTAAGTTTTCATATCCCATGATTTGAACCCAAGTGTATAAGATATGGTCACATGCAAATAAATGGTTCGATTGCAATCTGCTGCAGCTCGGCGGGAGCGGTCTAGCTGTGTTCTGGAGAAACCAACCGATTCCAGCAGATGACAAGGATGACTTCAAGGAGTGAATCAAGTAGGAAAAGCAGTATCTGTCTTCTCCAATCGATGGGATTGTTTGTTATAATGTTTGTAAAACAGATGGATCCCTTGTGTTGAATTGAAAGACATAGAAACAAGATCTGTGTTAAAAAAAGACAAAAGACTAGAGCGTGGATGTTGAATTTGTGGTCAATTTTTTGTTGTTGGTTTCATTATCTCAAGTATTAAACCATCACTTCACGTTACTTTCACGGGGACAAAACAGTATAATCTTTAAAAAAATTAAAGTGTTTAGTAATTTTACCAGTTATGTGAAATTACGGTATCAACGAAGAAGGTAAAGAAGATGAAAACTCAAATATAAGTCGGTGGGGGAAGCCATCCATTGTCAGATTGCTGTTTTATAACCAGAATTTACTCAGTACAGTAAAAAAAAAATATCTTACATTAACAAACAAATTCCCTGATCTCTCTTGTATCCGTTGGAACATCAACTCATTTCTTCTATTACCGTCTGCGTGGATATATATCCAAAGTTTGACCTCTTCTACTTCTCATCAGCCTTTCCATTCTCAGTGCTAAATCCATTGTCCACCTCCATTTCCTTCGACGATTCATCAACTACGCTGTTTAACTCAGGCTGCACCTTTCTCTCAGGTTCGCCATCTTCACCTACAACTGAATCACTCTCCATGTCGTGATTACCGTCTTCAATTTGTGGCATCTGATTCTGGTATTGCTCATACACGCCTTGTGCCTGTCCCCACAAAGATTTTTTTAAAAACATACATGAGACAAAACCAATTTCTATAAACATACAAAATTTAGTAATTCAAGAAAAGTAGTTTGAGTCTCTGTTACCTTGTACAACTCGTTCATCCTATCGTGTACTATGTTTGCCATCTCTTCAACATCGTGAACAAGATAAGGATTTCCAACTTCCTCGACCGCACGATCTGTATAAGCTGTTGTGTTCTCACTCAGGTTGAGACCGAGCCGATCGGGTCTTTTCAGAAGAAGTTGAAACGTTGGTTGCAGTTCGTAGCATTGTTCAAAGAGAGAGCGGCGGCAGAACACATACAAACCGAGCCGAGCACGTGACATTGCCACTACCAACCTTCTTACATCACGTAGATGTCCAACAAAGCGTGTCCGTACGAGAGACAGCAAGATAAAATCATTCTGTTGTCCTTGGAACTTGTCCACTGTAGTCACCTGAGATAAAAACATCACCAAACACAGTTAAAACACTTTATAACTCTGAGAAACCTTTCTTCGGGTCATTACACGATCCTAATCATATTAACACCTTACAATTACTTGACTAGGATACTTTACCTTGCTTGGTGGGCCGATGAAAGCATAAGGAACACATCGACGGTTGATAACATCACGGATCAAGAGCTTCTGTCCATTATATGTCGTCAATATTGATATCTTATTAGCAGGATATCCTAGCAATCTCATGTATATGTAGACGCTGACTATATATTCAGCTTCTCCCTGGTTTTGATAAAACCATGGCGATGGTGTCGACTCTCCTTTCCCCTCGTAATCAGGTACATTAATCAGCTGATAGTCATACGAGAATCCAGCATTTGCTCTATGAAAGATGGGTAATTCCTTGACAATGGAAAGGTCTCCCAAGTCTCTGTATCTCCAGTTGTAGAGTTTAGCTAAGCTTGGCCTGGCTCTTCCTTGAGCATTAAGCTCGATATAAGGAATACCAAGACGAACAAACCTCGTAAACAAACTCTGATCCATGTGACTATATTTCTGGAAAGCCATATTCTTCACCACCGGAGGCAGTTGGTGGTGATCACCAATCAGTATACAGCGCTTGAGTCGTGCATGACCATCTTCTTGCCTCTGAAGCAACATCGGTATGAAAGTCTCAATTTCCAAAATCTGAGCACTTTCTTCCATCAATAAGTTGTCATACTTGAACCCCAACTGCAGAAAATCTCTCCTCTTTAATGCTGCATGAGTACACGTCATTGCTACAATCTTTGCTTGTTTGGTCATCAGGTAATTTGCTCTATCAGCAGTTGACTTGAGTAGTTCAAAAGCCCTACACTCTTCTAACTCTTGGAACACAGTCTTGAGATGAGAGAAACAACCTTTAGCTGCCCTCATGTCTTTCTCAAATGACTCCCCACTAAAAACCGGCTTAGGGGTGTCTGAGAAGAAATCTTTGAACGGGAAGCGATCTTGAACAAAAGATGGATTCTTTTCATTTCCAGCACAAGCAGCAAGAAATAGCTCCCAACGTGAGTATACATGAAGCAACCAGAAATAACCAGCTGTTTCACAAGTATAACCTACATCCTCTGGAAGCTGAAGAGATCTTGCTAGCCTTTCAACCTCGTTGAGCAGTTCTAAACGTCGAACAAGCATGGCATTGACACGGCCTTGTCTGCTAAAGTCAAGATCAGTGGCAAGCTCTTGTTCACCTTGACCCAAACGAAGTAGATACCGCGCTGGTACATCCCTCTGAAAAACCAAACCCAACCCGTTAGACATGTAAAGTGTAAACCATTAGATATTAGTTCCTATAATAAAAATTAGGCAGAGAGATGCCAGTCGTACCTCCATTATCTTCTCAAAAAGATCATTCAAAGCCTGATTTGAATGAGTGATAATTAAGGTCCTTTGAGAAGGACAATTGTGATATAGAACATTTAAGATCTGCACTGCTGTATCGGTCTTTCCGGTACCTGGTGGACCAACCACCATAGTTAGCCCGGGCTGAATACCAGAGATAATCGCACCAACCTGCAGGACAATAGTAGGTATGGATTGACTAAAACTTGCAACTAAAAATCATACGACTTGAATCCAAGCACTGTGTTTTGGGAAATTTTATCAATCAACAGAGAAGAAAGGTCCCGTCATTAAGGGGAAAAAATGCTTTTGAACATTAGGTAAAACTTTCTCCAAATAAAATAGAATAGCATGGGAGCAAGATCGTTCCCCTTAAGTCGATCAAAAAGACGAGACTAAACCAAATACTTTACTGTTCGTCGGAAAGAAAATGCGCAAAAGTTTAAATAGGCTATTCAATTACAGATACCAAACACAATGAGGCGGCATAAAGATGATGAAAACTATTCTTGTATGACTTGATTGTTCTGTAAGTATGTATGAATTCTAAGAAGATCAATTTCTCATTATTCAAAAAAATGTTTGAGAATAACAAAAGCTCATGAGCATGGCCAGCACAATTACATAATAACAAAATGGTCCTAATCAAATGAGTATGCTCCGAGGATGTAGAAATTAGTGGTACCTGTGTAGGTGTAAATTTAACTGAGTTCTGCTTCGGCTGGTCCTGAGGATAAGGCCCTGGGTCAGGTGGGGTATATGCCTCGACAATAAGTTTCTCCTTTGGGGATCCATCCACCATATCAACATCGTCTGCTGGATTTACTTCAGATATCTTATTTCCAGAAAGAGCATTAGCATTCCCTTTTAGTGTCTTTGGAAGAGTGATTCGAAACGGAGGCCTTGGATCCAGAACTTCAGCACCATCAGCATTGACGAAAGATACCTAACGTGCAAGAATCATGAGCACATGGAAAAAGAAGCAGTTCTAGATCACAGCATATACCAAAGAAAATAACTACTAACCTCGTAATCTGGAAAACTTCCACTGAGATGATTTGCATCAAGGAAAGTATCTTTGAAGTCCACGGTTTCCAATAGGTTTGGCATATTAGGCCACTGTGCGGCAGAAGGGTTGCCATACCCAAGAAAAACGTTATGCAACCACTCCGGAACAATACAATATTCATTCATGAGATCTCTGATAGATTCTAAAATAGCCTTGAAGTTGTTCTCTTTTGGTTTCCTCCTCATTAGCACATTAAAAGTTTGATACACATCCTCAGCACCTTTTTCAGCAATGTCTGTAACATCTATTTGATACTGTGCAGCATCTAAAGCGACAGTCACGGTCCTCATTTCACCTTTTGGGGGCTTCCATTCATCTCGTTTAACTCTTCCAGTAAAATCATTCATCAGATGACCCTCCTCATCGCGGATATCGATGACTTCACAACCACGAACATACTGAAGCCCGAGCCTCTGTGGTACTGTAGCTTTATCAGCTTCCTCTGCACCCAATGGCTCAAATGAAGGGCGTATACAAAGCAAAAACAGTACATCATGCTCTTTAAGGGAATTCCATTCAGATCTTATCTGTGTTCTGTAACTCTTAATACTGAAGGTAATTTCTGCAGTCACAGATGATGGCTTCTCTTCTCCAATATTAGGCGAGTTCACCTGAACCATTTTGAAATTACTAATCGGAACGGCCATTCGTGACCAACCACGAAACGCAGTTTCTCCCTCATTATTTATGTGCGCAAGAAGATGTGGTACAGCTTCCTGTATATCTTCACGAATCTCATAGGTGGATTCTAGACGGAAGAGATTGAAGTTTCTAAGAAGGTAGTCATGGAGTGTTAGAAACTGAAGATTAAGCTTTGGAAGAGCAAGGCAACCTTCCCCTGAATAGTTAATGCTTGGAATAACACTTTCGTCCCACATGATTTGCTCATTTGGGTACAAAGGCAGAGCGTTTATGGCTTCTTTCTGAGACTGTTGCTTCTCAAAAGAGGAGACAACGACCTCAGTCAGAAACTCCTTACTATCTGCCCAAGGATCATCTCTTGAAACCAGTTTGAGCTGTACAAATGCAAATGAAAGTTAGAACTAATGTAGGTGGCAAGGAGTACTATTGTCACAAGTGAAACTGTAAGGCAAACAGAACTACTAAAAAAAACTAAAATAAGCAGCAGCGAGAAGAAAATGCAGTTACATATTTCTTTTTAATTTCCACCTGCACAAATACATCTCTTGACTGATTTTTAACGCTACTCTGCATAATACTGTAATGGGAATCTACACAAGCAGATATTCGACTTTTTACATTTGTGTCAACCCATTGATCTCTTAGCATGTAACTTAGACTTTGTAGTGTGTTTTTGCTAACCATTTGCCAATGGTATTTACTGAAGCTCCCGACCTCAAGACCCTCAGTAAATGAAACAGGCAAAAAACACATGATCATCATAGATCTGCCTCATAATTCTATACTGATATCCTAAATCTACATGTAGAGTTTGTACTATAATGCCCAAAGATGATATTTTCACATGTGAATTTACAAGAATAAGCTTTTCAGATTTATACCTTTGAGCACACAACATCCCTTAAATCTTCAAGAGAAAGAGCCGACAATCTCCTCCGAAGATCAGAACTCTTGTGAACCGAACCAACGTTAGCCAAAGACAGATCTCGCAACTGAAGCAAACAAGATAACAAAAAAATGTGAGAGAATTTAGAGAAGGCTCCCCCCAAAATATTACTAGAGAATAAGGAAGCAGATCGAAGGCTTCAAAACCCATCAATATCAAAACAAAAGACCTACTACGCAAAACTACCTATCTATTAATTAACCATGGTTACCAGCAAAATACCTTGGGTATTTTCTTAAAGGCAAGTAGCTGAAACGCCATGAAACGATCATAATGAAATTGAAGTGCTTCATCATCAGTTAACTGTGTGCCATCATGATCTTTAATCTCGAACTTTTCGTAGAACTGTAACAAGTCAACTAACTGGGCGAAAAGCTTCCCTTTTTCATGTTTGTATAGGATACTCAGTCGACATTTGGCGACAACTGCTATATCCGCCACAAGAGGCCTTAAGTATCTGTAATAATCAAGATGAAGAGATGGATAAAGAATAAAAATAAGGTCCAGTAAATGAATGGTACAGAAATGAACACAGTATATCAGCACCCAAAAACACCTAGAATGCAGAATAAAGGTTTTGACCTACTACAAATAACTTGCATATAGGCCCTGATGTGAAATATTAATACCTTCTCGTTGGAAGTTGGTTCAGCATATCAATGAGAAATTCCATGAACCTCTCGCAATATAAGACAGAAGAATCATCGACCAACTGAGATCCAGCAGTGTCATCAACCTCATCCGCGAAAACCCCATGATCAAGCACCTGGAAAAAAAATATACGAATTTTGCATAACTATGAGAAATAAATGAAGACTATAGACCACTTCAACATATAGATAAAAACAGGCCTATTACCTCGACGAATTCTTCTATTAGGCCTCGAACAAAATTTGCTTCGGGTATTGAGGATGGATCAAATTTCTCTCCCTTTGCCATTGCCTCAGCTGCCCATTTCTTTGATGACCTCTTCCACTTTTTTATTAGATCAGGTTGAAGGCAGAGCTCCATCTACAGTTGCAATAATCAACGATAATATCAGAGCAGCTACAAAATATCGTACCATCCTTAACAAAATCTGTGTGAGGGCATCCCCTACCTGGAAACGTCCATAAGACAAACTGTGCCAAGACTGCAATCCTGCTAGGCTTAGAACAGTCTCATTAACCACCGCGTCTTCCAAACTCTGTAACATCACGCAGATAAGGACACTAAAGAAAGCAAAAAAATAGCACAAGGATACTTGCTACCTATACAACAAAATTATATTCAAGAAACAGAACAAACCTGGAAAGCATTGATCATGAAGACCAAATAATTTGTCTTCTCAGCAATACTCAAGTCTCTCCCCTACAATGGTAAGCAAAAGACAGTATGAGTATACAATTGGTTTAACAACTAGTAATTATCATTTATCATTATGCCCCAAATATATATCAAAGTCTATAGACTTAAAAGCATTGATATGTGAATCCACAAGATGACTACCAATACTAATACTAAGAAACCGAGAAGTAGGATCCAAATGATCTCAAACAGGAACGACATTAGCGGAATAAGAAGACCACAAACCTCTTTAAGGCGAAGAACCTTCTGAAGAAACTTTTTGAATAGATCTTCGCGATCATGAAAGCAAATCCAAGCCGCCACATTCTCCCGGAACTACAAAGAGTGAAGCCAATCCAAGTTCATTGTTTGCAAGTCCCACAATCATGTTTCATCGTTTGCCAACAGTCAAAATGTGAGAAAAACAAGGTTACCTTCTCGTTAATCATAAGAATCATGGACATGACATGCTCGAAAGTGGCCGTCTCCGGATCGAAATTCGGCCATAGATAGTTCTCCAGGTACTGACTCACTTCCAGAATCATGACTCGCTGCAGCGGAACCGGTTTCCGGCCACTAGTTACCTTGAGCTCCGTCGCATAAATCTCCTTGACCACATTCGGATCGAAGGGTTTCTCAGGCAGCTTGCCTCCGGTCTTAATCCAGCTCTCCTCGGCAATCTTCGTCAACCTGTCCTGCTGAATCTCCGATAAGGTGATGGAGCTCGGCAAATTGGATCCAGGCTTCGACTCAAGGGGCTTCTCAGCGGGATGGCTAGGTAACTCCAGTGGATACTCGGCCACTCTGTGGCGCTTGAAGTCGTAAGTGCCTGTTCCGTAGACCTTCGTCATTGCACGCGAAAGCTTCTTTCTCTGGGCGAGCGAGGGAGGAATCAAGACATACAGAAAACGAAAGTGGAGATAGTATCAGTGGGATATTTAGGGCTTAAGCCTCGCGGAGAAGATATTCGTCGACGTCGAAGATAATGGCGGTGTTACTGACCCGACCCGACCCGGCCCGAGTGATGCTAGTTTAGTTATAGCTGGACTTGGGCCGAGATTCGAGATAGGGAAGTGTTTAATCAAATATTAGACCATACCTAAACCCGAAATCCGAATTTTTTTCGAGTCGAACCGAAGTAAAAGATTCAATTTCAAACGCATTTTCGAAGATCTAAATTTTTCTGAACCGAACAGAAAAATGCTCAACTTAGTACGTATATATGTGTTATTGTGTGTATATCTAAATAATTTTCTTTTTTTTAATAATCTAAATATTCTGTTGTGATTTGTTTCAGTTCTCTCCTTTCTTCTCCTCTCCTCTCTCATCAAGTCATCATCAGCGAATGAAACGATGATGAATAGAGCAGAAAATTCAGATTTCATCCCGATGGATCTCATCTCCGAGATACTCTCGAGATTGCCTGCAAAATCAGTCGGGAGGTTTCATTGCGTGTCCAAGCTATGGCGATCCATGCTTCGTCGTCCACATTTCACCGACTTGTTCTTGACCAGGTCCTCGGCTCGCCCACGTCTCTTATTCGCCCTCAAAAAAGGTCGTTGCATGGAAATGAGCTTCTACTCGTCGCCTCAGCCGCAGTTTCCATATGACAAGTCGGATCTTGTAGTAGCAGCTGATTTCAATACGATGTTCCCTGCAAGCACTTGTGTCTATGCATCTGGTTTGATATATTTGCCTTCCATGGACTTCTCATCGCCCATGTCCTTAGAGGACTATACGGATGCAATGCATGTGATATGTAACCCTATCACGGGACAGTTTGCGAGCTTACCTAAAGTGATGGTTTACAGAAAGCCAGAAATCTTTTTAGGGTTTGATCCTATTGAGAAGCAATTCAAGTTATTGGCAGAGACTATACCATTTCGTTCTTACAGGGATCACCATGAAATTCTGACTTTAGGAGCTGGAAAACTTGTGTGGAGGAGTAAAAACAAGTCTCCCTCATACTATTGTTCTTTACCTAATGGAGTTTTGTATTACTTAGCTGAAGACCAAAACAGAGCAGTGATAGTTTGCTTTGATGTTAGGTCTGAGGAATTCAAGATCGTTGATGTTGAATGCTTTTGTGATGATCACCCGACTACATTGATCAATTATAAAGGTAAATTAGGTGGGTTTAGTTGGAATCAAGCTGGTGCCATTGAGTTGCGTGTTCTACAAGATATCGAGAAACATGAATAGTCGAAACATGTCTATACTTTGCCTAAGAACGAAGTCGCTAGTCTCTACAATGTTTCCATTGCTGGAATGACTGCTACAGGTGAAATCGTTTTATCCAAGGAAGAAACCCGTACATCTATTCCGTTTTATGTTTTCTTCTTCCATCCCGAAAGAAACACTATCCAAAGAGTTGAGATCCAAGGTTTTGGTGAGAGTTGTTGTGCTAGTGTTAAAGTCTTTGTAGACCATTTCGAGGATCTCAACTTTTTTTATAAAAAAACATAGAATCTTGCTAGTTTTGGCTGTCATGTGACTTTTCTCATGCATCTACAGGTATGTTGTGAGCTCTATCGTTTTGTTGGGCTTATCGTATACTTTCTTTCAGGTTTTCATCTCTAAAGGGTTCCACATTAAGTGAGTATTCTTGTTTCAATTTTCAATCTTCTTTGGTTTTCGCTTTAATTTTATTCTTCTCCGGCTGTGGTTTATATACAAACTTAAGTCTCACGAGGGATTCTATCTAACAATCATGTTACGTTTTTAATGACACTTCTTCGTGGATTCTATCTCACCAGGTTTCAATATTATAACATCATTTACCACACTCTTCATATCTTGTTGAGACACTTTCTTCAGAATCTAATAGTGAAAGTTACAACATCAACTTGTCTGAGCGATATAGCTTCCCTTGATCGCTTCGAGTATCCTTAAGCTTTTTGATTTTCCTTTCAACACTTAAGACTTTTTAGCAGTATCACTTGGAGCTTGAACGATTTCATAGACTATCCTTGTTTTCCATCTGTTGACTCTGGATCTCCCTCGCAAGAACCTGTATATTAAAGTTCAAAAAAAAAAAAAAAAAAAACTTGTATATTGTTTTCTTGTTACCTTATGTTTTTGGATGACTTTTTAAAATTATATAAAAAAAGAGGATTATTTACAATCAATGAGAGTTTTGGAAATAAAAAAAAAAAGGATGGGGTGGTCATCTTGCAACCACGAGCCACTCCAAACAAAAAATGTGAATTTGAAAATAGAAATTTTGGAAAACAATTAAAAGAAAAAAGAGTTACACTATCTATATGGAAATTTCCCAAATAAAAATGTAAATTATAAGCGCAGATTGGAGAACCGGAACACGAGTTCCCTATATATTACACGCTAGTCTTCCTTTGAATGATCGATTACCAAAAGCTTGAGGTCTCGTGAGTCATTCGTTCGTAGCTTCTTCTCCAAGTCAGGGCACGATTTCTCTTTATCACTCTCCGAAAACCTAAAGTACATAATGTCCAGCTCGACGCAGAATGGATTGCAATCGGGGAAACACAATTCAAATCGATCTCCAGAAAGCATGTTGGGTGAGGCAAGTCCGATCACATTCTCACGACCTCGTCTTCAGCCTCCATTCAAGGATCTGCCTCCTTGTGCGATCCCTCACGAGTTCTCAACATACATTCCTCAAGGGATTGCAGTTCGTGGCAGTTTATGGCAAGTATTTCTCTAGGGATTTGAATCAGAGAGTGGTTAACGACCCTCGGTTTGAGTTCACGAAGCAAACTGATAGCAGGCACCATTTCTACATGAAGCTCTTGCGTGGGTACTTTAAAGCATTGATGCCTTCCCTTAAGCTGAGTAAGGATGGTGCTAGTACGGAGACGGTTCTCGACGATTTTTTCAGTATTCTCCTTTCTCAAGGGGAGAAGGAAAAGCAGGATGGAGTGGAGATGGGTGTGATGGAGTTGCTCGCCTTTGAGTATTTTGCAAACACTGCGGAGGAAGAGTTGCCACAGCCACCTGGATACCTTACAATGGTGAGGGAGATCATGAACCCACCAGGTACCTCCTCCGACCACTGCCTCTACCTGAGGAACCAGAAGCCCAAAGAAACCAAAGTTTGACCAGTCTATAGTGAATATGGCTTTTTATTATCGCAATTTACGAACCCAAGAGTAAAGGAGCAAACTTTGATGTTCACACCTTTGGCTTTTTCTGTGCTAGTCTCATATAGTTGTCTATGAAATTTATGAGACAATCCTATGCATTTTTGTCTAATTACTATTTGGAATTGAAAAAACATTTTGTAAATCTTAACAATCCAATTAATAACCAAATAGGATGAGTGGTCATCTTGCAACCACGACTCTGTGTTCACAACAAAAAAATGGCGAACCATCTCTTCCCTCGACGAATCCATGGACCATGGCTTCTTTTAACCACTGTTGGCTCTCTTCTCCACTCGCCGAAACCCCCACTTTCTTCTTCTTCTCTCCATCTCCACAACCAAAATCCTTGAAACTCTCTGTTTTCCGAAACAAATCTTCGCCGCTACCCAATTCGTCATCGCCGGACCGCTCGCCGGAGGTTGAGCTCGCCGTGGACCCCGTGAAGCTCGCACTGAAGAAAGCCGAAGCGTATAAGAAATCGAAATCGGAGCTAAAAAAACCCGAGAGAAATGCCGAGGAATTGCTGAAGCTTGCTAAGCAAAAGGCCGATGATTACAAGAAGCAGAAAGAGCTTGGAGCTGATGGTGTCACGGAAGCTAAACCCAGTTCAGTAAAAGTCATATTTTTGCAGAAAATTCTTGAAACTCTTGCGTTGTTTTGTCTTTTGTTCGAGCAGATCAATGCGATTTTTTCAATAGGCTTTAGCAGATATCAATATTGAGCAGTGAAGATTGGATTTTAGGAGTAATGTCGTGGACTAATGGTTTCCTATGGCATCTCGTTGCAACAAAGTTGATGTTTTTATATCTGACAAGTTAAGTATGTGGAAATTCAATCAAAACATGATCTCAAGATCTTGCTTCTGATGGGGTTTCAGGTAGTACAGAGCAGAGTTTTGTTAGATCATCAAATAAGGTTGATGAAGAAAACGATGGTAAGAAGAAAGAGTTGAAAGTCTCCAGCATCGATTTCGTTGGGCTTGGCTTTGCTGATAAGAAGAGCACAAGAGGGCTTCCACCGGGACTGGTTCCTGTCGTCGACTATTTTCCGGGAGGAGACTTACCTGAGGTGGAGTTTATTGTCGGTGATAAAGCAAGATTTGCGGAGACAGAGAAGGAGCTCGAGCAAGAAGGAAATGAAAACTCTGATGTATACAAGCCTAAAGTCTCGACATGGGGAGTATTCCCAAGGCCTAGCAACATCTCTAAAACGGTATGTGACTAGTCCATCTAGAGATATGTGTTAAGTGCAGCTTTCGAATATGGTGCAACCAATATGACTTGTTGGTGTAGTTACCTATTGCAGTAAGTACGTTTTAAATTGGAGCTATAGTATAAGATTTGCTTAATTTTCTGAAGTGGGTAGATAGTGATATAGTTCATTGAATTGTTTGAATGTTTCATCTCTTTGAGATTGTCTGTAAAACCCTATCAACTCTGTTAGATTTATATCTATATCTCCTAAACACTGCACTAGGTTTCTGAACAACTTGAACCTCTAAAAGTGATCCATTCATGCTCATGAGCGTCGTTTGGCTGTATGACTTTGTATCTTGTGATGATGATTTTGGCAAATTTCAACTTCAATTGGTTTTGGAATGCATACTTCCCTGTTGGAATTTGAATTCTTTTTGGAAAAAAATTGGCAAAACTTACTTTCCTGTTGTAATGATAGAGAAATATACTTTTTTTTCTGGTTTAAGTTTGGTGGTGGAAGGACTATCCAACCTGGGGATTCAGTGGAAACCGCTGAAGAGAGGACTGCGAGAGAAGAACGGACAAAACAATTGCTCACTGCCTACAAGGAATCAATCGGACTGAATATTGATCCCAAACTCAAACTTGAGTGTGAGGAGGTACTCCCAACACATCTTTGTTCTTCCTTCTTTTGATGACAGACTTGATGCTGAAGTCAATTGTGCATGTGTTTCCTCTTCTCAGCATGCAAATTTTGGAAGCTTTTAATTTGGATGTTATGTTGCAAAAAGTATAATTTACAGAGTACTTTTGCTCTCAAATGTGAATGCTCTTAAGCTATATCTTATAGATTTTTAGTCGCTGTCTTTAGAATCTTATTGTTAGATCATAACTGAAGGATATGGGTTCGGCTGAAACTTTGATACGGACTCATGTTTTCTCAAACAGGAACTCGTTTTTTTCATGTCAGCTTTGCACGTTGCCACATTTTATAGAGAACTGAAAAAAAAAAAATTTGAGTGGAGAAAAACTAGAAAAAGTTCTCTGATTTATCTACAAGCATGGTCTACTTCTATTTGTGTTTCATGGTAGCGAGAATCGTTATTCTCATCGTCTACTTGACAACAGGCACTAGAAAAAGGGAACTCGCTTATGGATTCGGGAAAACTCAAAGAAGCTTTGCCCTACTATGAAAAGGTCATGGAGAAAATAGTCTTTAAGGTAATTATTTCTCCAAATCTTGTTTATTTCCTTCATCGTATACTCATGTCTACGTTTATGCATTAGTCTGGTCATCTGACTATTTGTTCTAAATATCCCCAACACATCTTGATTGCATGAGTCTTCTTTGTTATCTATCCATCAGCATATATCAAAAATCCAACAGTTCTTATATAACAGCCAACGACATAATCAATAAAATTATGAAAACATTTTTGAGAACCTGGTTATTATACATTGTTAGTTCCATGGCTTCGTTAATCCACTTAGATCACCTAAAGAAGTAGTGTGCTTCAGAAAATGATGTTATTTTGAGCTGTTTACGTTACAATATATGTGACCTTAATTAGTTATGATTTTAGTTCTGCAGAGTGAGCTTCATGGATTAGCGGCTTTGCAGTGGTCTATATGTCAGGATTCACTTCGAAAGTAAGTATCATGCGTTTACTGTTGAAAACTCGAAATCATTTCTCCCTTTCCTTCGTTGAGGTCATAACTGTTTATTATTGTATCAAGCACAACCATACTGTTTGATTTTCAAAGTAAGAGACTGATAAGGTTTGAAAAAGAAACTGACTTATCCTCAAAAGTAGTCTTGTTGAGTATTGGCCTTATGGTCTCTTGTGCGTTAAAAGCGTTACTTTTGTAATCATTGACAGGGAAAAGAAGGCAAGGGGCATGTACGAGAAGCTTCTATCTCACCCAAATCCAAGAGTGAGCAAGAAAGCGAGGCAGTTCATGTTCAGTTTTCAGGTAACTCAAACACACACACTAAGCACAAGGAGCAAGATGAGTTGTGTTCTCTCTCTGTTTTATTGTTATGTCTTAATAAAACTCATGTATGTTCAGAACCATACTGGTTCGTCTCCTTTCGTTTTTTTTGTCTTTTTGACAAAACGTTTTGCTTAAAAGCTGAGTTTTTTTTATTCACCCATTGGTAGGCGATGGAGATGTTGAAGGTTCAGGGGTCGAGCTACATGCAGATAAACCCTGGCTATGAGAATTACTTTGAAGCCTTTGTCAAAAAAGACAAAATTGATTACAAAGCCAAGGAGGAAGAAGGAGAAGCTTTGGGAATAAATGAGACACTTCTTTATGTGATTCTTCTTGCATCTCCGATTCTGTTGATCTTTATTGTGGCTGCACAGAGAGGGAATGTTCACTGATGACTCGGACTCTTGTCAACTTTATACATGTAAGTCTTGTAAATTTATATATATATGATTCAAACTCTTGCATCCGTTATTGACCTTAATTCATTTTGTTAAGAGTTGAGGAATCATGCAAACTAATAAAATTGAAGCTTTTCTTATTAATTGAAAGAACATGAAAGAATATGAGAATCAAACACATAAGAAAACAAATAAAGAAAGATGAAAGCCAAGATTTTTCTTCAGTTGACAACTCCAAAGTCCTGTCTTTGGATGAGTCTAAATACATTGTGTACAGTATACTAAAACATAAAACAAAAACCAAATACTTAATTACAATATAGAAATTGAAATCCACCTTAGAAAGTAGAAAGTAGGAATAGTTGACTCAAAAGTCTTAATTGAACCCAAAACGTAACGTCTTGTATAATGCAAAACCCTGAAATGTCGTAAGATTTGATCATCCATGGCCACATCCACATGTGACATGTCACAAAGCTTGACTACTTCTTGGGCTGGTCTTGACCAGTCGCCGAGCCACCTTTACCTCCTCCGGCAGCACCACCAGTTCCACCGGCTGGAGCACCTCCGGCGTCAACCGTCGTAACTTTGAACCTCTGTTTTCTTAAATCTGATTGGTCCAAATTGAGCCCTCTCAAGGTGACACGACGTGAACCAGCACTGAGACTCCTCTGCATAGTCATTGACTTGGCAGGAGGACGAGAATCTTGTTTGAAATGAGACACAGCGTCTCCGATTTTGTTGAAGAAGCCAAGAAACTCGTCTTTGGCTCCACCTGGGAACATCTTCTTCAGCAGTTCAAGTTGCCCCACGTAAAGCTCTCTCATATACTCTAATACCATCAAGACTTTCATGTCCATCCTCGATCCCTCGTCGTCATCATCACCACCAGCATCATCATAACCATAATCATCATCATGTTCTTCATAAACTCTGTGGTAGAGATCTCCCATGTCGCTGTATTGTCTCTTCATACTCCCACTTCTTAGCCTCGTGGATTCAGAATCGTCGAACAATCCGAAGAAGAGACTGTTCTTGCAGCTGTTGTCTTCTTCGTCCTCTGTGGATTGGTAACTCAGAGAGTTAATGCTAAGATGCTTCTTCCCCATAGACATAGTTATTCACCAATCACCACAAAAGTTGATTACCAAGTCTTTTTGAGCAGCGTATCTTTGTGTTCTGTTTTGTTTAGAGTGTGTTTCAAGATCTGTAGGATAAAGCAGAAGGATCTTTATAATATAAGGATGGAAGTAGGATAGATCTAGAAGCAAAAACGAGTAGAAAAGATTAGATCTTTTGCTTGTTCCCGACTTGTCAACACGACGTTGTAAAGACTTCTTCAACGTTGACTAGATGGGTCCAAAGCATTTGATTTTTCTTTTGGTTTTAGGCCACTCATTAGTCGACGGATGTATGTGATTTGTTTGCCACTTTGTCACCATTCTTTGAGTTGTTTCTTGGGAGAAGCTGCAAACTTCGGAGACAAGTAAATGCATACATTATACACATTTTTATCCATCATTTCAAAGACGTGTAGAAGAAGCGAGGGTTGAATATGAATTGTAAAGTAAATTCAAACTGGCGTAGACTTATCTACTTTATGTTTATGTTTCTGATGGCTCAAGTTCAGGTGGGTAAAGTTTGCACGATAATACTAACGTGTAAACTAAACTATATGATTATGTAGGTTTTAACTAAACTATATGATTTTGTAGGTTTTAACTAATCTTATGATTCCGTTAGCTTCACTTTTTTTAATTGTATTTTACTATTTTAATATATTTGCAAAGAAAGTGTAGCAAGTTCTGTTGCAATATATTTTCAACGAAATTCAATTCGTTACAACGTTTTTGCAAAGAGTTTTGCAATGGACTCATAAGCCATAACCCTTACCAAAAAAAAAAAATACATAAAATGGATTTGATTGCAAATTATCGTTGCAAATAGTCGTTTCAAAGTATTTACAGTACATTAGTATTTGTGTTGCAAATCTGAAATCTATTGCAAACGATTATTTGCAATGGATGTTGGCTTAGTTACAGATTGTTTTAAGAGTGTTCGTTATCTTCAGTTTCATTTAAAGCATTTTATTCATAAATTAGAAAAGAACTGTAAACATTCTATTTTATTCTGTTTATAATCAATACCTTAAATATTAATACTCTCTATATTCTTCCTTATTCTAGAAAGCAATATGCGTGAGAAAGTCATATTGTAATTCTTGACACACCTTTGTGGACTAAAATACATGTCGGTTCCCAATAACGAAATATTTTTCGGTGTGGCTTTTGAGTTTTGATCATAGATTATAATATTATTATTCATACCATACAATTTACAAATCATACTTCAAAAATTATAATTTGAGCCCTCTTTGTTAATTTGTGGGGTAGGAGGAGCCAAAAAAAAAAAACTGAGAGAGACAAAAGAACAATAGGCGCACTATCTCGTGTTACACAGAAGCAATAATCAATCATCCCTAAAATATGGCTCCAATGATAAAGCGAAATGGACCCACCAAAATCAATCTCTTGCTCAGTGCTTATCAATTCAAAAATCTTTAATTTGTTTTCAGTATGAACCAAATTCACGTAAAGTTGCAAAAGGCACGAAGACAAAACCGCACACGTATCCTTAGCCCACCATTGAACAGAGAGAATCTCCCATTTTCCTTTTTTTCTCTTCTGCTCTAAACAAGCAATAGCTTTGTTTTCAGGCAAAGCAAGACTTGGGAAGATGGTTCAGAGGAAGACTTGTCAAGCAATCGAATCATACAGTTCCCAACCTGAAACCCGGTTTGGGCAAGAACATCTCAAGATCCTTGGACCAGAGATGATGATGATGAAGAGAACAAAGACTAGGATGAAGCTTAAAGACAGTTCTGCTTCTCAATCAGGTAAGACACAATCACCACCAAAAAAACATGATCTTGTTGTTAAAGTGACAGATAGGTCACCTAATTACATGAAAGGCACCTCTTGTTCTGAGGCAAGGAAGGAGAACGAGAAAAGATTCATTCTCTCAAAGAATCAGAGGAACCAAGCCGGTCCGAAACATGATTCTCGTCATGGTGTTAAGAAAGAGAGAAGTACTAATAACAAGCCGAGTTCGAGGATCGTTAGGGGTTTGACAAAGGCTCCGAGTTTCAAGAGATGCTCACAGAGAGCTACCTGTTCATCGACTCTAAAAGATTCCAAGTTTCCAGAGTATCTGATGCTTAACAATGGTGGAACTCATGATGATAAAGTTAGTGGAACCTCTGTCTTGAAAGTCTGTCCTTACACGTATTGTTCACTCAACGGGCATCTTCACTCTGTGCAGTATCCTCCTCTGAAAAGCTTTATATCCTCGAGGAGACGGAGTCTAAAGTCCCAAAAGACTGTGAAAATGGAAGCTTCCAAGGAGGATCTTGTGGAGATGTATGTAGAGGAGAAGAAAAAGTGTGAGGATGTAAATGGAGGAAACTTTGAGGTTGATGTTGATACTCAAGTCTCGGAAACTCTCTCTGAAGGAGCGCCTCGTTCTGAAATCGATTCTGATGATTACTCTGACACTGCAGAGATGGTGAAGTTTTCAGAAGGTGACCATGGCATCGAGTCTGATTTGGAGGATACTTTTGTAGCAGACTCTGTGAAAGAGATCCAAGAGACTTATGAGGTTGATGATAACTCTGATAGGGTTTCAGAAGGTGATCATGAAGTAAGAGAATCTGATTTGGAGGAGAGTCAAGTAGATGATGACTCTGTGAAAGAGATCCAAGAGACTTGTGAGGTCGATGATAACTCTGATAGTGCAGAGATGGTGAGGTTTTTAAATGAGTCTGACTTGGAGAAGACTCTGGCAGATGATGATGACTCTGTGAAAGAGATCCAAGAGAAAGCAGACAGAGATGAAGAAGACACTGATCAATCTGGTTGCTTTTATTCTGAAGTTATTGGTATGATGAAGAACACAGAAGCAGATGATGCTGGTGAAGAGAGACTAAAGGATAAAGCTGAAGATCGCAACGAGGAGTCACAAGAACTGATAGAAGAAGCCGCAAAGGTTCCATATAACCGTAAACAAAAACCATGCAACCAAGAAGAAGAGTCGGATTCCATTATTTCATGGACTATCATCAAATGCAAGAAACCTTTGGCAGATACAGAGGCTTTGAAAGAGTTCAACCCAAGAGAACCCAATTACCTTCCTATTGTCTTGGACGCAGATGCAGAAAAGGTTGATCTCAAGCATCAGGACATGGACGAGAGGAAGAACTCAGAGGATTGGATGTTTGACTATGCTCTGCAGCGTGCCGTTACCAAACTTTCCTCAGCAAGGAAGAGGAAAGTTGCATTGCTCGTCGAGGCATTTGAAACCGTGAAACCTATCATGCCACATGGTAGAGAACCTGCACCGGTGTTGAGTTGTGGAAGACACCTTCAAACCTGCAATTAACAGAGGTAAGTTAACAGAATCTCTTACAACTCAGCTCATCAAAAATTAAAATCTGTTTCAAGTTCTGCTTATGAACACCTTATTGCAGGTCAGGGGATGATTAAAGAAGAGCAATCAAAGGAAGGCGAATGACTTTTATTTATTTACTTACAAGTTAAGAAGAACCCTAGAGTAAAGGGACAAACTTTGATGGTTTATGACCTTTTTTCTTTGTGTGGTTGTTATATGATTGATATAGTTCTCCTTAATCTGTGAGGAGGACTTAGTGTGTGCTTGCTTGAGACTAATTTATGGAACAATAATATGTATTTGTCTAGCACTCTATGTCACTTTTAAACTTCGAATCAGTGAAATGCTGTTGTTGTTGGTTGTTATAAAACATTGTTCTGTTACCTAGAACATGCAACAGTCAAACAGTGTATAAAACAAAGAAACCATCCATAATCATAATTCATAAGTGCAGTAGCAAGATCACAAGAGTATGCACTTACAACAAGAAACCTAGGAGTTGAAATCAACCCGTATACACATGAGGATGTCCAGAAGAGAGCACACTAAAATCAATAAACTAAAAGTCTAGTCCTAAACACAAAACACCAAAAGCTGTTAATACTAGCAAAGCACATAAAGTCTAGACTTGGGGGACTGAAACTCAATCCTTGGTGACTTTGTTGACAAGGGACTTGTGGATGTGAGGGATGACACCTCCTCCAGCGATTGTTCCTTTGATGAGAGTGTCAAGCTCCTCATCTCCTCTGATTGCGAGCTGCAGATGCCTCGGAGTTATCCTCTTCACTTTCAGATCTTTGCTCGCGTTTCCAGCTAACTCAAGAACTTCTGCAGTCAAGTACTCCAGAATCGACGCCGTGTAGACAGCAGCAGTTGCACCAACTCTTCCATGTGCTGAAACTCTCGTCTTGAGTTGGCGATGAATACGACCCACAGGAAACTGAAAGAAGACGACATTACAAAAAAAAAACCCACAAACATAAGCATATAACTTCAGGCACAATGTAGATCTTGAACAGAGCAAAACAACAAAGCCATGTCTCGGTAAGCATCGCAGCAGCCAGCAAGCAAAAGAAATCACTGTATAAAGGATACTTTAAGATATGTTAAGCACAATATATCTTCATACGCAACTACAAGAAGTGCATACAGAGAAATCAAGTTTGTGTGGGATTAACCCATACAGAGAAAGCAATCTAAATCATAGAAAGAGATAAACCAAATATACACATTGGCATTGAAATTACCAAATTCCAGAATCATGTACTTTACTGTAGATATTCAAAGCATATTGTGCTTTTCGATTGGCATAAAGTAATCTCTTTTCGATTTATCTTTTGTTTTATTCCTTCAGCAACCTTTTTCTAATTCCCAGTTAGATTAAGCAAGAACCCTAAGATGCACATCAGACTCAGAGCAACTTGAATTACAAACAACTACAAAAGAGGGAGCTAGGGTTTGATGGAAAACCTGAATGCCGGCACGAGAAGAGCGAGAGATGGACTTCTTCTTGGCTCCGTCTTTGTTAGCTCCTGCCGTCGTCTTTGCAGCTATAAGACCCTTCCCACCTTTACCTGCCATATCTTCAAGACCTAACCAATAGACGAGAACTTTAAAACTCAGAACGCAAAAGAATCTTCAAGTAAACCCAGATCTGTCGTGGAATTAAGAAGATTTTGTTTGTACCGATACAGAATCAGAACAAGATCTGATGGGTTTGGTGAAGAATCTATCGAAAAATCCACGGCGAAAAGAACTTAATACCGGAATTATAAAATCGATACGAGAAAGATAAGTAGTGCAAACCCTAATTCGGAGAGAAAAAGAAGTACCTGAAAAACGAGAGCGGGAAGAGAGAAAAAAAATGGGAGGGAGAGACTAAACGTGTCTCGAAAAATTTGTGCGGGAGCTTTAAATATATGGAGTTAGTGGGGCGGTTTTCAATAAACTCTGTTTAATCACACTTATCACCTCTTTTCATATCTTTATATATGGGAACATACTACTACTCTCTATTTCCTTTTCTTTTCTTAAAATTGGAAATAAATATATAAACATGTTTACGAATCTATACATTTTGACTAAATTAAATTTTAATAAATCACTATAAATATTAAATACATTATAAAAAAATATATATCATAATAAAAAATTTGATTTTAAGTTTATGAAAAATCAACTAAAAAATATTTTATTTATATTTTACGAATTTTATATACATCTTTTTAAAAAAATAATAGGTGAACTCATGAAATTTCTAACCTTTTTCTTTCTTTTTTGAAACTTTTCAGATGAAAATGTGTTGTTGTGTGGCATTGTGGCAATATTATCAATGTTGATTAAAAACCCAAACTAAAAAACCACTCAAAAAAAAATTCAAACAAACTATGAGATTTGCAACACTTGCAAGTTACAAGTTTTCGTGTGACAAAATTAGCACTATTGTTGATTAACAAATCTTATCGCTAAAACTCAAACAACTATGAGATTTGCGACACTTGCAAGTTACAAAGTGATAACTACGATGTACGGATATACTAAGATTAGGCGAATATACGTATAAAAAGTAAAAAGTACGTACTACGAATACGGAGGGGTATTTCCGTCTTCACAGCTCCGTTCTTTCGTTTCAGGTTATCCCGGAGCGATTTGTTACTAGACTCCGGCGTAAGCGGGGACGCCGACACGTCCTCTATCCGAAAGTGCTTCGAGGGTATTTTCGACTTCTTAAGACCAATATCAGTGGATCCTAGCCACTTGTTACCCCGCATGAAGAACCAAAACCCTTTATCTCACGACACGTGTCCATAATCGTGTTCAGGCTTGGCTATTTTAACACGTAGGATAACCACGTGTGCATCATATATCCTATATCTTTATAAAACCTCACACGAAGCTTATCCTCTTCCTCTTTGTTGTTTCAGATCACAAAGGTGTTTTTTTTGTTTTTTCCGTTTCCGAATCCAGTTTCCTCTCTGGCGTTTTTTTTTTTTGTTTTCGAATCTAAATTGATAAATTCGTCGGAGAAGTTAAAATCAGATATCCGTAGGGGAAAAATAATGAAATCGACGGCGGGATTTGCGTCTGATTGTCGTTTGTAAATGATCACAAAAAGCACAAAGCTTGACGTTCTCGCGTCGTCGCGTATCTCGGAAACTTTAATCCGTATCTAAAGAGTTTCAAAATAAAGCAATCTTTCTCTCTCCTTTTTTTCATTTTATTTGTCCCTTAGTTTGCTCAGGTTCGAAGTTATTCCATACTTTATCTTCCAATTTAGGTCATAGCCAAATATTGGATTTTTCTCGTTTTTTTGGGGGGATAATTCTGCTCAGGTTGCATTTTCTTCCTTCTTCGATTTCGTTTTTTTTTCTTTTTCCGATCTGGGATTAGATCTTCGACTAGTATCAAGTTTCGTCGATCTGGAATTTTCTGTATACAGTGTAATTTCTTTCCCTCTTTTTGTATTTTGGGTTTTTTTTTGAGTGATCACGATGCCGTTTCATGTGAAAATCCAACCGATCGACTCCGATGTATCGGAAGATCTGCCTTTCCCGGAGAATATGAAGCAAATGCCAAAATCGCGGCTGAAGCGTCTCTTCGAGCGTCAGTTCACTATTAAGAACACCTCAGAGAAATTTGCCGGCGGCGAATTGGAGGCGCCGCTTTCGAGAGGCAACTCGGGGGATTTCGAGCCGAGCTCGGTCTGCTTGGCGAAGATGGTTCTAAACTTCATCGAGGATAATAACAACGGCGAGAAACAGCGGTGTGGCCGTCGCCGATGCAGCTGCTTTACCGGGAGTGGCACGGAGAGCTCTGACGATGAATCTGAATGGTACGACGGCCCGAAATGTTATTCCGGCGAAGCTTGTGAAACCCTCAAGGTATGATTTTTAATCAAATTTCTTCCCGTTTATAGGATTTTTCGCTTATGGGTCAAGCAGAAACCTGATCAATGCAGATTCATATGTGTAGAGTTTGGTCCTCTGTACGAGCGTCCGTGAGAGGAATTTGCTGGACGACGCGACAAAGATTGTGGAAACAAGTAAGAATTGCAAAGGCAAAGACGAATCTTGCTTGAAAATTGTGGTTAATGGATTGGTGAGCTTAGGCTACGATGCGGCTCTGTGCAGATCTCGCTGGGAGAAATCACCTTCTTGTCCTGCTGGTATGATCCAAAAGGAGTGATTTTTTTTTCCAAATATGTTGAATGAAGCTTGACAATTACGTTGGCTGTTTGTGAAAAAATGAAACAGGGGAACATGAGTATGTGGATGTGATCATCGAAGGTGAAAGAATGTTGATCGACATTGATTTCAAATCGAAGTTCGAGATTGCTCGTGCAACAAAGACCTACAAGTCGATCCTGCAGACTCTTCCTTACATCTTTGTGGGGAAAGCGGATCGGTTGCAGAGAATCATCATGCTTGTATCTAAAGCCGCAAAGCAGAGCTTGAAGAAGAAAGGACTTCATGTGCCGCCATGGAGGAGAGCCGAGTATGTGAAATCGAAGTGGATGTCTCCTTATGTTCGTGCAAATGAAGAAGACAAGCAGGAGCAAGTAGATATGTTAACTAAATCGGTGGGTTCCATAGTCTTCGGTGTTTCAAGATAGTGTGAAGCCTTTTATATATATATGATATTTGACATAAGCCTCTAGAGAGATGTGTGAGATACAGGAGGAGTGTTCGAATCCCTTAATAGTTTTTGATATTAAGTGGGTATGAATTGAGGAAGATCATACATGAACACATCTTGTGTGTGTGTGTGTCTCCCCTTATTTTTTTTTTGTGTAAGGGAGAGTGTGATCCTTCTGTGACTCTTGTCGTTTATTTGTGGGATTACTATTATTAATTAATTACTCATTTTGAGAAGAAAAAAATGCTCCTATATTTTTGATTGTGAAGAAAAGGATGATTCTTTTAGTGATAAGAACAGAGAGAGTGAACACTGTCATGATGCTGATGTGAAGAAGAGGTTGATATTTGAGAGGATTACAAGTTTAAAACATACACTACCAATAGAATAAACTTGATATATAATCTTATTATAACAACACTTGGCTATACAATATTAGGAATGAAGTAAACCTATAATGTCAAGCATAACATTGCCTACCGTGTTATTAAATATAAAACCTATTGGAGTTCCTTGGCGTGGGGAGCAAGATCCTCGTTAATCAATTTAAAAAACTCTTAGTCCGACTCTTGAGGTTAGTAATGCGTATATATAACACCACAATACTTGCAAGGTCAAACTATAATCAAGACATTAAACACATTAAAAGAATATACACCTCCTTCAAGTGTCAAGACTTTGGGGACAATCCATAGATGACAAATCCCACAGAGGCTATGAATGATCTCCAAGGCACCAAGAAAATCTCCTCTTGTGTTGGTATTGATAATGACAGCAAGCTGAAGAGACATAACTTGGAAGCTGAGAAGCGACTCAAAAGAATGGAACAAGACTATCTCCACGCAAACCAAAAGTTCACAGAAACAAGAGTAAGTTTTTAAAACTATGTATAACCTGAAACTTATCTTAACCAGAAAGGCTAATTATGGTCACTGAAATGCTATATTTCTTGTGGACAGTCTCAGTGGGAGAGCTTATATGATGAGAAAATACGCGCTATCAATCTCTGTAACTCTGCTTCAAATTTCATAAACTCCTGCAACCAACTTGTAGAGAAATTGCAGAGTACTCTTGACAAGATACCTACAACAGAAAAAGCCACTGATCATGTAAATTATATTCCAAACAAGCAATATCAATTTGATCTTATAGATTGAGAACCATGTCTACATATATTTTAGATAAACCCTTATACTTGCTTTGTATATTTAGAGCCTGCAAGACTCGTTGTTCAACAGCGGTAAGACCTTGGCACGAGAAAATATGATGATACTTCAGCAGAAAGCACAATGCCAGAAGCTAGAGCATGAAGCAATACGTGAATTCAGAGAAATAAACCGCGAGGTATATTAGCACGTCTATTGTTAAGCTTAAACCCTCAAGATTCATAGTCTACTCACACGTACTTCTTAACTTTTTGTCTTACCAGCTCCACTACAATCGAAGGAGTGATAGCAGAAAAGCTGTAAATGATCTACTAAAAGAGGTTAGAGATAAGAACAAGTGTATAGACAAAGCTCTTTCAAATTGTACACTAGTTTGTAAACCCACAAGCCATGACACTTTGACAACATCTGTGAAGCAGAAAGCACAATGCCAGAAGCTAGAGCATGAAGCAATACGTGAATTCAGAGAAATAAACCGCGAGGTATTAGTACGTCTATTGTTAAAGCTTAAACACTTACACATACACGTACTAGTAGTGACATCTTAACTTTTGTCTTACCAGCTCCACTACATTCAAAGAAAAATGCCAAGGAGTGACAGCAGAAAAGCTGTAAATGATCTCCTAAAAGAGGTTAAAGAGAAGAACAAGTGTAGAGACAAAGCTCTTTCAATCTGTACACTAGTTTGTACACCCACAAGCCATGACACTTTGAGAACATCTGTGGAGCTGGAAATAAAAGTAAGCCCCCTTTTTTTACTTCAGGAATATTCTTGTCTTAGTTTAGACTAACCAATGGGGACGATGTTTGCAAATCAACTAGGTTCTGAAGAAGCTGATCAGAGAACTTCAGAAAGACTGGGAAGAAAAACTGCAAATAAAGCAATATGCAACAAATATACATAAAACATTCAGACAAAAAGCTAGGCATCTACAGAAGAAAAAGGAACACTTATCGGGACAATGGGACGAAGAAAGGAAAAACATGCTCCGTGTGATGATGGAGCATGACAGGATTGGTACATACCCAGAAGCTACATATATAATGTATGTCAAGATGTCAAATGATAACTAACATCATGGCTTGTAACTTGTAATGTATTTAAAATTGGGGCTTGGAGTCTTTTCACTTATTCATAAACCGTTCACCAAAATAAATAAGAAAACTCAAACAGTTATCCAAAGTCAAAAGCCATTTAACTTCAGATTAACGTATTGAGACTACAGCAAAGTCAGACCAAGTCAATATAAGATTAAACTAAGCACATGCAACAACAGGTGGCTGATTCAGTGGCAAACAAATTAATCTAAAATAAAGACAATTAAGGAAATAAGGTAAACTTCCACGAAACAGGACAACAATCACTATCCCTTGTTCTCTAAGCTTGACCCAACATATCCAAGTAATTTCATAAACTATATAATACTATAAAACTGAAGAAATCCAAAACCAAGAACGTCATAATATATAGCAGAACCAGCTTTAGCCTCAAAGTCACACACACTACTAAACTTTGAATGGCATCATCATCATCTTCTTCAATCAAATTCATAGAGAAAGCTCTTCTCGCCACCGGCCATTTCGCTTTGTCCTACACCGATCCAGATCAGAAATGGCTTATAAGAAAGCATCTAAATTCTTTCCTCCAAGAGTTTCCAAATTTCGAGCTCTCTACTGATACTTTCAACCACAACAACGGAACCGCAGTTCAACTGTTTCGTCTCGAAGGGTCTCTTCTACGTACTCGACAGCTCCCATCAGTACAATTGACCATTTGGGTTCACGAGAACTACCCACTGACGCCTCCTCTTGTCTTCGTGATCCCTCCCGACCCGATGATTCCGGTTCGCACCAACCACCCATTCGTCAATTCTTCCGGTTTAGCAAACTCTAATTACATCGAGACATGGGAACACCCACGATGCAACCTACTCGATTTCGTTCGAAACCTCAGGAGAGTCCTCGCGAATGATCACCCATTCGTACACACCGATTCAAATTCAGTCCCGACCCAGGTTCGATCGGTTTCTCGGACCGAAGCCATAGACAGACTGGTCACGAGTCTCCACTACGACGCATTGTCGATCATGGCGAGATCAGAGGAAGAGATTGAAAACCTGTGGAAACTGCAATCGGAGGTGAAGAGAAGATCCGAATCGGTCAGAACGATCATCAGTGGACTTGAGAACGAGAGGGAGAGGCTGAAGGAGAGAGTTGCGAAGCTCAAAGACGATACCGATGTCCTGGAGATCTGGGTGGAGACGAACTATCCCAAACTGATGAAAGCGACGTCAATGGATGGTATTGGAATCGAGGAAATGTTCGAAACGGAAGAGGATGAGGATGAGGATGAAGACGAAGAGGCGAAGAAGCTGTTGGTGGAGAGCTTGGCGGCAGATGACGCCATTGAAGACGTGTTGGGTAGATTGGAAGAAGCTACGGAAAGGGGAGATATGGAGATTGGTTCGTATCTGAAGCAAGTCAGAGTCTTGGCGAGAGAACAGTATTTCTCGAGGCTTTATCACTTGGGCTTTATGTAATAAGCCCACTTACGAACTAAATATAATTATTTACTTGTGGTTTCGTCAAATGATTTTTTTCTTTTTCTTTTTTTGTCAAAACAAAATTATTTAGACTTCAAAAGTTAATTAATTGGTATTATGTAATTAATTGGGCCGAAATGGGTTGACCATATCCCATCAACTCAATTATCTCCTATTTTTTCCTCAACTTTTAGATGAAAAAATAGAAGTGTCATTTTTGTTGTCCAATCCACCTCTATTTTAGAAGAAAAAATAGAAATGCTATTTTTTCTTCCAAATATAGAGGAAAAAATAGGTTCCTCTATATTTTCCTCTAAAATAGAGATATTTCTCTAAAATAAAGGTGGATTAGAGAGAAATCTACTTCTATTTTAGAGTTCATCTATTTTAGAGGAAAAAATAACAAAATAGATTGGAGATGGTCTAACACGTTAAAATATATGACAAACTGAAGAAGTAAATGATAAAATTTATGAAATGAAATAACAGTAAAATTCAACCGATTTAGGACTCTAACTGGAGGTGCGAGTTACCTAGAGGTTCTAATGGAAGACCATTCTCATCCCGGAGCAAGACAAGAAGATGATGATTAGGCACTATTACATCATTCTTGTATGGAATGGCCGTGTTTTCTTTGTCTGCAGTAAGCAATGTTGCACTTCTTTGTCTGCAGTAAGCAATGTTGCACACAATGTTGCACATGGAATAATGAAGACGAGAAGAGAGAGTACGCACAAGCAAGAGGTTTATGAAGGAAACAAGGTTGATGGAAAAAAGGACGCACATGTTTCAGCCCATGGTTCAGGAATTCAGAGTAAATACTAATGGAAGAAACAATAAACTTTGGAAAACTTCAAATAACACAATGTATTTGTCTTCATCATATTTGATGTTACCATCATCATAAAAAAGATTTCTCACCTTTCTATTTTCATCACTTTCAACTAGTTAAATAAGACGGAAGAACAAGAAAAGAACCTTAGCGATCAAATATCAATTCTTAACGAATAGCTAATTACAATAGATGAAACCATGTCAAGTATTGAAACCAATAAAAGTTTAAAAATGGCTTCAAAGACCATGAGTGTGGTCCAAAAAAAAAATTTTAAGTATAAATTGTAAAAACATAGATTAATAAATAATTGGTTTGGATTAAGTAAATGATTTTTTTTTACAGCAAAGATGTCCTAAAATTTATGGATAAAATAGAAGAACAGAGAAAATAACTTAACATTATCAAAGATGAGTTAGAAAATTTGATGATAATAATATAGAGAAAGAGTAAATTACTCGATCAACGATATTTCAATCTATCAATTAACTTTAAATCAATACCACCATAAATATAACTAGGAAGTAAAACCAATGTTATGTAGTAACACTTAACTATTTAACAATAAAAATTAAATATACTTAACACCATACTCATTATCTATCACAATTATAATTAGAAAACGTATTAAAAAAAACTTCGATAAAATTTATGTAAAGCATTGAAAATGCTAAAGTTGTGCATTTAGATCATAGCAACAATGATTAAAATGTGAAGTTAATGGAGAGATTATAATGGATCCTTTCTACAAAGACCATAAAACTAATTTTTGATGCATTTTTAATATGATTATAGGGTTTGTTGCATTTTTATTCTTTTTATCATATTTTTAATATGATTACATAGATTATTTGTCAAGCTCTCTACCAACAATATCAATAATTATTTGATACATTTTTAATATGATGTTTTTGATGCATTTTTTGATATTGTGTATTTATGTATTAAACTAAGTTCACTATTAACTTGGGAATAGGGATAGTTGATTTATTTTTTGATGTGATCTTAAAATCTTACCTCAGAATATAATGATACTTTTTAAATAAACTTTCTATATAATGTTCTTAAGGAATATTAATATGGACTTCTAAGAAGGTTAGTCCAGCCCATAATAAATTATTAGACCCTAAACTTTTTTATAACAAGACTCAAACAGACCGATTAAAATTAACTTTAGGTTTAACAGAACTAACTCTTTTGTTTATTTTCCATTTAGCTTATTTATCCAAAAAAACTAATACACAATTTTCAATCTTTTTGGCTTTACTTTAATCAAATTAGTAGTGATGAATGGTAACCATATAAGATAATTTGGCCAGTCCTTGCATTTCCACACTAGCTATACCCACCAATCAAAAATCACAATTGAATTAATATGAAACAACTTTTAACTCTCTAATTTGTGTAAACACCTAGAAAATGCTAACATTTTGACATGGTCTAGGGGAGAAAAAGCATTTAGCATAATATTTTATGTATCTCAAGCCTAAAGTCCATTCTTATCAATCTTATTAATAAACAACCAAAGTGACAAACAGTTTTATAAAAAGTGGGTTATTTGACTTTTGAATTAGCTAAACAAGCTACTGTTTGTAAATTACAATAGTACCCTCCCGGTTATATAACTATACTCTGCTCAAATCGAAAATTCTTTTTGGGTTTCGTCGTTACCCCGTGAGTTAGAATCCAGTGTTTCCTAATCTAAACTAAGATCTCGTGCAACCTTTTCCTTGGTCTCTGCGGGTGCACGATTCTTAACGTACACCCATCTTCCCAGGTTTCCTCCTTCCCCGAGATCCCTTCTTCTTCTTCGTCGTCATCCCTACGAGTCTGCTGGGTTGGTCGCAATTTCCACAAATCATCTTGAAACGGCAATCGGGGCGCAAAACGGATCGTGTTCTTCTATCTGGTCAAAACCATGGAGATTTCTCGCCGGGCCTCTGTTTTGTTCTTGTCTCTCTGCCTCTTGTTGTCAACCTCTCTCTCGATCGAGAATTTCCACCAGGCGTAAGTGTGATTCTCTTTTCTTCTTGCTTATCTTTCCCCTCGTCAGATTTGTATTCTTCTAAGTGGGTATAATATTTCTTAGTGTATCACAATTTTGGGTTGAAGTTTTTAGTTCTGTTCGTTTCTGGACTATACGACCGCATCGTGCAGCTGTAGCAATCTGATGGAATATTCTTGTTCGATCTCATTACGTATGGGATTGTTTCATTGCAATCTGATGGGGGAAAAAATGCTTTTTTTGTTGCGTCTACATGTGAACACAGAAATTCTCTTAGTAATGTATAATTTTTCGCCGTTAGTTGCTGAAGTATTAGGTTGGTAATAGCTACATTGGTTGCAACAAGTGTTATCACTGTATATACTAGTAGCTATTATTGTCATCAATTGTAGCTTCCGTATGTGGTAGGAAAATACATTTTGCAGCATTTGATAAATTGATTAGCCGTGATGGGAAAAATTCTTTTTTTTGGGTCTTCTTAATACCAAACTGCTCGTTGTTGCTTATGCAGGTTTCCTATTGTCGAACCTGATCCGAATCATACAAAGCTTCGTCTTAGCAGAGAAGGTTTGGAAGCAATTAGCAGAATCACAACTCCTATTGCTGCTGTCGCGGTATGTGGGAGTGATGGTATTTCTATCTGAACTTGGTTTTTCCAGACCAAGAAGATTGTTGCTTATTCTCATGTTTTGCTTGTTCATTCCTACGCTGTTGAAACATTAGGTGATTGGCCCGTACCGTTCCGGAAAATCATTTCTTCTTAATCAGCTTCTTTCCCTTTCCTGTTACGAAGGTGCTTCTTATCTCAAATACTTGGGTTCTGCATTTTCTTATATTATGTATATCAGGACGTTGTGTACAGAATTATTTGATACTGAGTATTCGTTTTGCATATTTAACTCGTAATGCTTTCGAATTCATCAGGTTTTGGTGTTGGACACATGCGTGATACCAAAACAAAAGGTATTCGCTTAATGCCCTGAGGACAATATCATTGCAAATGTATTCTTGCTATTGAAAGGTTTAAACTTTTTTGGTTTAAATGTTGTAAACAGGTATTTGGGTCTGGGGAACACCTCTAGAGCTGGAGATTGACGGAGTAAAAACTTCCATAATTTACCTCGACACTGAAGGATTTGAAAGTGTTGGAAAGTCAAATGTTTATGACGACAGGTTAGTACCCATATCAATATTTGCACATCTAGACGTCTGTTTGCGGAAGCTCTTTATATTTAATCAACTTTTTTTGCTGATTTTCAGAATATTTGCTCTGGCAACAGTTATGAGTTCTGTGCTTATCTATAATCTGCCTGAAACCGTAAGTTGTCCTGCCTCTGTCGTCTTTGTTCGGATTGCTTATGGTTCTAGAAACATTGCAACCTACAATCCAATAGTATAAAACCTGATCGGCGTGTTTGCATATATGATGATCTATATGTCAATTACCATGCGACTAGTAAACTAAAGACCAAAGTTTTTGAAAGGTCTAGGTAGTTCCTCTTAAAGAAGGATTTAGTGTATCGAATAGCACAATCAAATTTTGTTAAATTCTCAGTTTTAGATGGAAGTTTACAAATACGGATGTGTAACTTAGAGTACCTAGTGTCTGAAAGAACTCCATCTACATTTCTCTCTCTGATATGAGTTTTCATCAGATACGTGAAGCTGATATTTCTCGTCTCTCCTTTGCTGTTGAGTTAGCAGAAGAATTTTATGGAAGGTTTGCTCAATAGTACTTTGCACTTCTGTTTTGTTAATATGCTTTTTATGAATAATTGAATGCTGACTATGTTCTCTTTTCATTGGCTAATGCGACTGAATTGACAGAGTAAAGGTACCCCCTAACGCTGCTTCTGTTATTCTTGATCCATAGATATTTTAAAAACTTTTGTTCTGATTATCTGCATATCCTCTAGGGACAAGATGTTGCTTTTGAACCGTCAAAGCTTCTGTGGCTTATCCAGCGTGATTTTCTGCGTAAGTGCATGGTGCTTTTGACAACAACATTCATTATAATCCTTAAGTTCAATGTATTTGTTTGCGGCTGGTCCTGTGATCCATTTCAATGTTCCAGTTTTCTCTAAATTTTATGCAAAAGAGTTGGTCGTGATTAACACTGTTTTAACTTCACGCAGAAGGGAAATCGGTGAAGGAAATGGTGGATGAAGCTCTCAAACATGTCCCTAATGAAGATGGTCAGGGTTCCTTATCCATTCTTTAACTGATGTACCTAGACCATTTCTCAGGCAGCAGCCCTTGTTAATTGATTAGTTTTGCTTATTATGTTTTCAGGTAACAAAAATATTGATCAGGTATGTTCTTCTTTTTTTCTGCATCGTACAAGACTATAAGTAATTATCATTAATATCTCATAAGTTATTCTTGTTATCACCGTATTCAGGTTAACCAAATCCGGGATTCCCTGGCGATAATGGGTGATAACAGCACAGCCTTTAGCTTACCACAGGTAAGAAAATTGTATTCTTTTTGCATATTTGCAGAAATAAAAGGTTCATCTTTAACGGTCTTTGGTAAATACTTTGCGATATAAACTTTTTTTGTGTCGTTATGGTTGTTACCTTTAAGCCATGCTGAACTGTACACGAATCCTCACTCTTTTCTTCGAAGTAATGCGTAGATAGGTGTTTCCTTTGTGATAACTTTGATCTTTGTTTTTGCTATATAGCCTCATCTCATGCGGACCAAGCTGTGTGATCTGAAAGATGAGGACCTCGACTCTACCTATGTTGCAAGGCGTGATCAATTGAAAAAGCTCGTTGCTAGTATTCTCCGCCCAAAGATTGTGCAGGGGAAAACACTAAATGGAAAGGAATTTATATCGTTCCTGGAACAGGTGAGAGTCCATCTTTTGGCTATATGGCTTCTTTCTCTGAATTTTTCAAAACAATGATATGAATGAGTGGAAGCGTGTCGTTGTGAAATCAAAAGGATGCCTTGTTGATATGTACCACTACATATGGCTTATATAGGCCTTCTATGCTTGCTATTGACATATTGCAACTCTGATTTGCTTTAATTTTGCAGATATTGGATGCCTTAAATAAAGGAGAGATCCCATCAACAGGGTCACTAGTTGAGGTATTCAATAAAGGTATTGTTGAGAGATGTGTGAAGCTGTACAATGAGAGGATGGTAAGATTGCGGCTACCTACGTCTGAAGAATCTCTCCGAACTTCCCATGAAACGGCACATGATGAAGCTCTTAAAGCGTTTGACGCACAGCATTTTGGCAGACAGCATGCAAAGAAATCTGTCGACCAGTTGGATGAACAGATGCAGGAGGTATGAAACCGTATCCCAATCTCAATTTCTATCATTTGACTTTTCAAAGAGTAGCTTAGTGGATGAAACTAAGAGATGGATTCTGAACTAGGCGTCGGCAGATTTTGATAGTCTACTTAATACAAGTTTTTTCAAATTTTGACTATCTTACACATTCTTTTGCCCTGGAAACATTATCCAGGTATATAAGAATTTTGTTCTTGCAAATGAATACCAATCGTCAAAGCTCTGCGAGGCGCTGTATACAAAGTGTGAAGATGACATGGACCACTTACAGACTCTCCGACTCCCTTCCATGGCTAAATTTACTGCAGGTTTCGTGCACTGCAACCAAAGTTTTGAACACCAATGTGTTGGTCCTTCGAAACAAAACTATGAGCAGAGGTTAACTAAGGTAATGTATATAGACGTCTGCGTTGTGCTTGAAGTATTTCAGTTTCAACTCCAGTAGAATACCAAATCTGGAGAACAAGTATATGGAATTTTTACATTAAAGAGTAACGCTGCTTGTGTGCAGATGATGGGAAAGGCACGGTCTTTGTTCATCAAAGAATACAATAACCGACTGTTCAACTGGCTGGTTGGGTTCTCTCTAGTAATGGTGATTGTGGGCCGGTTTATCATAAAGTTCATTTTATTAGAAATGGCGGCATGGATACTTTTCATATTCCTGGAGACATACACAAGGATGTTCTGGACAGCAGAGTCTCTCTATTACAACCCAGTCTGGCATTTCATCGTTGGGACATGGGAGACTGTAGTGTATAGTCCCGTTCTCGACTTGGACAGGTAACACAACAAGTCCCGACCAAACTCTGACCAAGCTTCTCTCAACCTCTCTGCTTACCCAATATGTTTTTATATTTTTTGGTGAATAGATGGGCAATTCCTATAGTCTGCATAATTGCAATGTGTGTGCTTTATTGGCGGTGTTACGGGAAGAGGAAACACGGGACTAGTTGGATTCTTCCGATGTACAACAACCAGAAGAATGGTCGGAACAGAGAACGGTCAGAGTAAACACAACACATTCCTCCTCCTTCCCCTTATAAATTATAGCATCTTCTCGGGCATGCTCGTTGTTTTTATCATCCGAAGCTCTCTGCCCGTTACTACCAAAATTTTGGACGCGGAAGAAGAAGAATTCAAGTTAAGAAAAAAAGTGAAGAAGAATCGAGAGGATGATTGATCCAAGTTGGTTTGATTGATGCCTGTATTCACTGCACTCTGTACCATTTTACATAGAATTACATTTGTAACGTTTTAACTTTATATACATATGGTCGCATCTGTTTTATACTCTCTGTCACGTCTAATTTTAGCTTAAAAATGCGTAGCCTTCTGATTTTATTTATTCAAAATCGTTTGTTCATGTTACTTCTGTTGCTTTTCTTCTTCTTCTTCTATTGTTCATTAAAAGAATACTAGTGCATAGTGATTGATTGATATGAGATGGCAAACTTGAAAGTTACGTTTTATTATCATTATCCATAATATCTTCTCTTGTTCTTCTTGGGTTTTCTCTTTGTACAAAATCTTAGAACATGACAGAGAAACCAAGAGCAGTTGATAAATCAGACACAAAGGGAGGCAGATCAGAGACTGATGCAGCGGTCACGAGCTTCCCATCAGTCACACATCCCTCTGACTCAACAGCTTCACCTCCAGCGACCTTCACCATCACCTTCATCCCCTTGCCACTCGCGCATCTCTTCCCCTGGAATTTCGTAAAGACAACATCAGATGACCAAGAATAGTAACCTCAATCTACCAAAGCCTTACATCACAGTTTCTATAGTCGATGCAATTGAATCACAAGATTAGTACTATCCCTTTCGGTGCGATTCAGAGTTATTCATTAGATGAAAGGCAATGAGTTACCTTCAGAACACCGGTGGCTGCAAGAAGCAATTTACCCTGTCCAATAGCTGCAAAGATCTTATCTTTCTCCGCAAAATTGTTAACCAAAGCAACAGCCTTTTCATTCATCACCAGTAGCTCAGGTGATCTCCCTCCCGGGACGACAACACAGTCATAATCATCAACGCATACATCGTCCCACGACGCAGTCACAAAGAAGTTGTGTCCTCGCTTCTCTGCAGGAAGCTGCCTTCCTTCTTCAAGATCATAAACCGCAGTTGCACACATCTCTCCCTTCTTCTTGTTCGGTGTCACTGCATCCACTTTACATCCTAAAGCTTGGAGTGCTCTAAATGGTACATTGATCCCATAATCTTCTACATAGTCCTAACGAACCAAAGGGAGAATCAACGCTCAACGAATCTGAATATCCAAAAACAAGAGATCGTAAAAATTACGCATTTACTTGGAAACTCACCCCAATGAGGAAAAGCACAGAAGCTTGATTCTCCTTCAAGCTCGAGATCTTTGCGCCAAGAGAGTCGAGCAAAAGCCTAATCCCGTGACCAAGCGTGGGCCATCCAACGGTACTCACAAAATTCCCGTCCTTAACGCAATCGGTGATGTCGAACATGCTCTGGATCCCGGGCTGTTGCCACCACGCGCCGCCGGAGAGCTCGATCAGAGGCTTTATGCTTTCAAAGGCAGTGCATTTCACACCGTCGGCGAGGAGTCCGGCAGCCATCAGCATAACCTGGCTGTGGCAGCTGGTGAAGATCAGCTTCTTGCACTCGGCGAATCGAGCCACGAGGTCGACGCATTTCTCGTCGGCGCTGAGAACCTCCGTGAAACGTCCGCCGGGGATGATGATGACGTCGTAATTCTCCGGGGTGACGTCATCGAAGTTGGCGTTTAGAGTCAACTGGTCAACGTCCAGCTCGGTGTATAGCTTTTTTTACAAACCGAAAAAAAATTGAGTTTTAGTCTTAACAGAAATTTCTAAATCGTGTTGTAACAAAGTGAATAAGGGACAGTGGGAAAATGGAACCTCGAGGCCCAAGAAATCGTGGGCCGCCATAACGCAGCGATCGCCGGCGATGCGGTTGGGTGAAACGCAGTGAACGCTAACGCCAAACGATTGGAGGACATAGAGAGGGACCATCGTCTCATAGGCTTCCATGTAATCTCCACATAGCAGTAATGCCGATTTCTGAACCGCCGATCCCACCATCGTTAAAATGTCTGTAGTGGACAAGCCAATCTAAGGATCATTTCGTTTATATATACGTTACACATAATTGTTTATCTTTTAAAATTTATATATTTTTCTGTTAAATGACATGTGGGATTATTTGCATCCACCCACTCAGTTTCACCTACTTTTTTTTTTTTTTTTTGCCGTTTCAAAGTCCAGTTGTTCAAGTTCACATTACATTACATGCATACAAGTATCTCAGTATCATAACTTTTAAATGGTAATTTTAATTTTTAAGCTATCTAGTAGCTAAACTAGTATACTGCTGCAATAATGGTGATCCACGTCTTATCATCTTACGTATTAAATACGACATAAACTTTAAGCACGTTCACATTATATTATACATCTATTTCTAACATGGACACAAGTAACGGCCGTTCCAGTAACGAAAACACGAAATTATTCAAGCAAATGATAACTTACATCAGGCCAACCAATAATACAGTGTATATATATATATATATAGTGTATTTTAGTCATCTGATTACGACACAAAGTAGTCGTGGTCCATATACTAACTAGTCTACCCGATGGTAGGGATTTTGACGACGACGTTGTTACTATTAACCCTAACCCTGACCCGGTTGCACCTGAAGTCTCCAGTCACCGGACTTCCATCCAAAATCACGACGGCATCGACTCTCGTGTTCTCTCTTTCTATCACCGGAGCCGCAAGTTTCCATTTATTCCCACAAGCTCCGGCCATGCGTTCTTTCCTGCGATCACTCAAAGCAACACACGTTTAGAGATTTTAGAGATCAATAAGTTCACAACTCGATTTCCATGGAATTAAAACACTAAAGCCTCCATGTCAGTTCATGAAATCAAAAATTCATTCTGTTGATCCTTTGAATTAGCTGTGTATATATATCATATATTCCTTGTTACATAGCACGCGTGCATAGTGAAAATGGGAACATTAGCTTAGGAACAAGTTAAATGCAAATACACTACTGAAAGAAAACGAAGGCGAGGTTTCCGACAAGTTATGTTCAAACCAGTAAAAGAAATAGAAGGACAGAATTGGGATGCCATTTTTTTCTTCCACAATTGTTTTTATACTTGCGATGATGTTTGGTATGCTTATTCTCGATATGCGTTACTTGTTCGTGAAACCAAAAGATCATTAGTTTGAATTAGGTGTATACTAGATTTTCCTTGTTGGCATATAGCACGTGCATGGTGGGAAAAGATGCACTCGTCGTGAGAAGCTACGCTATGCTGGAAAAAGAAATGTGAATTGTCTTAGACCACAATAGAATAGAAAATTTGAGGCCAATCAATTATTTTTAAATGAGTTTAGTTTTAATGCCTTTTTGTTTTAAAAGTCCATAACATTAATAAAAGCTACTGTCGCAAGAGAAGATGAATGATTTTAGTTGCAGAGCAAAATCATGTGAAATAAGAAATGGAACAAAAATAGAATTACAAAATCAAATTCAGATATATAAGTAAGCACAAATTAATAGATCATAACAATTACCTAAATTCAAAATATAAGAAGAGTAAAAGATGATAGGACTTGAGAGCCTTGAAAAGTTGAACGAAAGTAAAATTTTGTGAGATAAAATCCAGTTTTTGATATAAAAACTAAAAAGGAACATTAGCTTAGTAACAAAAGAGAGAGTGTCAAAGAATTTCGCTATAAAAGTGGAGAGTCAAATAATTTTACAATTTTATTACGGCACTGACTGGTTGGAATTGTGGCTGTATGTTTTATTTTTTTTAAAAAAATTATATTCAAAGCTTTACCAAAAATGATATCTAGTTGCTTAGTATATGAAGCAACTAAATGATATTAGATATAAAAACAATGAAATAGGACATAAATTTTATTCACTTGCAACCATTGCATTATACAAACATTTATTTATATATAACATGACATCAGTAACCATTCAGGTAACGAAAAACCGAAATTACTCACGCGAATGATGACTTACATCATGACCAACCGACCATGCATTGTATATAGTTCTTTAACAAGCAAAAAAAAAAAGCATTGTATATAGTTTTTATTTTGTTCATATTATATAGACATAGCTGCGTAGTCCGTATCAAAATCTAACCGGCGGTAGGGACTTTGACGACGATACGGTTATTATCAACCCTAACCCTGACCCGGTCGCACCTGAAGTCTGCAGTCACCGGAGTTCCATCCAAAATCACGACTGCATCGACTCTCCTGTTCTCTCTTTCTATCACCGAAGCCGCATAGTCTCCGTTTGTTCCCACAAGCTCCGGCCATGCGTTCTTCCCTGCACGCGGCCGTCAAATCAACAACATTAGGCATTTTAGAGACAAATAAGTCCATCACTCGATTTCTATTTATTCCAATCAAAATAATATAGCCCTATATGCATGCCTCCCAGCTCATATTTAGGTAATTGTATATATATATTTTTTTTTTTGAATTTCTAACTGAAACATCAACATGACGAAGAGAAAAAGGTAAAAAAAAAAATTCACCATGACTTGGCCATTCCTGCATTCCATATAAACCGATGTAATAGAAGAGACTTCAAATTCTCATAATTTTCAAATTTAATAACATAGACAAGGTATTTTTCAAATAATATCCCTTATGAAAATTAGGTTAGGAACAAAAAGAGAGAGTAAGTACTAAACAATTTTACGGTTTGAATTGAACGGGAAAAGAGGAACATGAAAGAAAATCAAGTAAAAGCCGTGACAATATCAAATTATATACAATAACACAAATTACCAGGACATTCGGACGACATTTTTCTTCTCCTTTTGTTTCTGTAGTTGTGTGTGATGTATTTGGTATGCTCGTCTTTAAGAATCAGAGTCGAATTTATAGAACCGGATACGTGCATGTCGGTGTCGGTGTAGTCGGTGAGCTTGTATATTCAAAGTCAAAACTTTTGACTAACCGGTTTTAAAATCAACTCCTTTGACATTGATAATCCCATGGATAAGCTCCTTTGACATTGATAATCCCATGGATAAGCTTTGACAAGTTATATATATCGTCGTTTTGGTAAAGCTTTGAATATATAAATTTATAATCGATATTCAAGCTTTGACAAAGATAAAGATGGGCCGATAAAGATAGACCATCTCTGGAATCAGTATTATATTGGATGGAGTCGATGGACTTGCAGTCACGGTTCTTCAGGACGAGTTTTGCCTGATAGAATTTAGATCGATCGGTCTAAAAATAGACCGATCGATCAGGAAGTTGGAATTTTACCCGAGAGTATTTAGATCGATCGGTCTATATCAGATCGATCGATCCAAAGAAGGCAGAACGACCCGAGAGTATTTAGATCGATCGATCCGAATTTGGATCGATCAATCCGTGGCTTTCAGCTCACTCCACGTGGAACCTGATACTTTTATTAGGAATGATGTTCATTTTTAATGAAATTTTTTTCTAAGTATACCTGTTTAAAGTTTCAAAAGCAGAGATAATATATGATGTTGAAAGATAACGAATTAGGTGAAGAGAATATTCCCAAATTATGCTGACTGGATTGTGTTTACTTGTTACATTTCATATTTTATGAACTTTCACATAAAACGCTTATACATATCATTTCTTCTAATCATATATCTTTCTTTCCACATTTTTTTCTTTCTTTCATCTCAATAAACGTTAAGATGGAAATTAATCCACTGCTCATAAAAGTTAAGGCTAGCACATTATCGATTTTGATTATATTGCAAACCAGATCACTTGCTTTATTATAGGATATAAGTAATGTTTCCGCGAACAAACACCGAAATTATTTAAGCAAACGATAAATCCTTACATCATTTACATTTTACATTTTAGAGATAAATGTTCATCCCCTGGTTTCTTTGAAATCAATCAGTATAAGGGACATCGATTTCGTATTATACTCAAGATATATTATGTGAAACGATATAATGTATGTCACATACCAAATGTTCATAATTTCATATATACAGAACTTATGTAAGCATATTTATGTTAAACTATGTACAATAGATATAGATGCCTAGCAGCCATATCTAAGATATAGAACAATTAGCTTAAAAGTTACATTAGAGTTTAATTAGCAAGCTTTCGGCTTTCGGCTTTCGAGAGTTTAATTAGCAAGCTTTCGGCTTTCGGCTTTCGGCTTTCGGCTTTTCGGCTTTTCGGCTTTTGCTTAGCAAGCTTCACCGGAAGCAGCGATAAAAGTTTAGTTATTGCTGGACTAGCGTCACTCGGGTCGGGTCGGGTCGGGTCGGGTCGGGTCACTTTCGATGATGTATATATATTTTCAAACGTATTTATTGGCTTTTCTTGACTTCGAGTAATCAAAGTTCAAATTACTTTTCTTAATTATCTTGTTATTACCATTTTACTCATATTTGTTGCATAAACTGACTCGAGTGAGAGAATTTTGCAAAGTTAGGAACAAAAGGCTAAAAATAGTAACAAATCGTGTAATCGTATCGTATTGACAGCAGCCGCCCAAATCTGCGGCTCGGTTAATTTTTCGATTTGTAGAAAATTAGATTTTCTTCTAAAGCCCTAACAATCCCCAAATTCCAAAGTTTCTAGGTTTTCCACTTTCCGAATCCGTAAAGCCATCCTCGATTTCGTTTTGCTGCCGCCAATTTTGAAAACGATTCTTCTGTCCCCTGCAGAGTCAATGGCGGATACGCCTTCGAGCCCGGCCGGAGATGGCGGAGAAAGCGGCGGCTCGGTTAGGGAGCAGGACCGGTACCTTCCTATAGCGAACATCAGCAGGATCATGAAGAAGGCGTTGCCTCCCAACGGGAAGATCGGCAAAGACGCTAAGGACACTGTCCAGGAATGCGTCTCTGAGTTCATCAGCTTCATCACCAGCGAGTATGCTTTCTGATCAATCTCTTGAATTGCGCGATTTGCTAATTGTGTTTTGAGCTCTGTTTCTTCTAAAGTAGCTAGCGATTGATTTTAGCTTAGAAAGTCTTACGAAGCTTAGAGCAAAGATGATGATGGTTCTTGTAACAACGTTAAATCAGCCATTGATAGGTTATGGGTTACCTAAAGCTTGTTGCTTTCTTACGGACCATTTTGCAGATGCTTCTATTGTTTATCTGAACTCAAAGTGTTGGAATTTATTCGTCCTTTTAACCATCTTATTCGCAAATACAGAGTAGAAGTAGAAGATTCTTCTTTTTTTTTTTTATTACGGATCGGTTTGTCTTTTCTCCGTTTTGGTCTTTTAAGGCATAAAGTATGGTTTTTTATCACGCAGGAGTTGCTAGTGGTCATGGCGTTTTGTTTTAGGTCTCCATCACATCGTTTGTCATGGAGAAATAAGTTAACTAATCTATGAAAATGTGAAATATGTACTCGTCCTAGATAAGCTTAGCTGTAGCTCCTTTTACAAATCTGATGTTTTTGTTGCAGAACCTGCATTTCAGGCTCTTTTACTAGTCTTATGTTGATTCGTTGTCTGTAATGATCAATCGATTCTTATCTGTTTTATCTCTAATGGCGGCTTTGAATTCCTTTTTTTTTTCCTGCTTAACCAGGGCCAGTGATAAGTGCCAGAAAGAGAAACGGAAAACTGTGAATGGTGAGGATTTGTTGTGGGCAATGGCAACGTTAGGGTTTGAGGATTATCTGGAACCCTTAAAGATATACCTAGCGAGGTACAGAGAGGTGAGTTGCTTTGAATCCCTAAGCATGTGTTCTTAACTCGTTGTGTTTTCTACACATCCGTTGCTGTGGGTAAACATGGGAACTCAACTCACCATGATATATGTTCTGTGTTGACAATCTTTGCCAATGTATAGTTTTTGAAGCAAGAAAGATAAATCTTGATCAACTCTTAAGGATGCGTTTCTGTTTGTTGAAACTTTTGAATGCTTTTTCGCCTTAAATCTTATACTATGCGGAACTGATTCGGTTTTTTGCATTTCCTGTGTGATGGGTTGCTGAAACAATTCTGCTGATGCAGTTGGAGGTAAATAAATCCCATATGCCGTTTCCACTTTTTATTTATTTTACCCATCCAAAGAGAAGTTCCATTTTCAGAGTTACCCATTGGTGTTGTTGTGAAATTATGACAGGGTGATAATAAGGGCTCAGGGAAGAGCGGAGATGGGTCTAATAGAGATGCTGGTGGGGGTGTTTCCGGTGAAGACATGCCGGTATGGTTTTGACTAGTAGAGATACCAAAATGCTAATACCTTCTTTTGTATTTAGCTCTGACTTCATCATCATCTTGATTACACACAGAGCTGGTGAAAGAAGTTGCAAGTTAACTCTCTAGAGATCAAGAACAACGCCGAATGATCAAGTAATTCCTCTTCTCTATCACACCGACTTGTGTATACCTAAATGAAGAGTATAAATATGTATGCATGTAGGATATATTGCTGTATGAATTAGTTATGGCTGAAATTTTCTGCTTCTTCCTTTATAAGGGTTTGTCTAACGTTGAGTTCTCTAAAATGGTGCAGGGAAATTAGAGATCAGTGTGTTGTTTATAGTTGAGCTGATCTACGGCACTTTTTTTTTAGAGAATTCTAGTTCCGAGTTTATTTTCAGTTTCGGTTGTGTTAATTTGAATGTTTGGTTCTCTGTTTCTGGTTTAGTTTGTAGTAGTTAACGATAATACGTTAGATATATGAAAGAAGGAAAATTTGTCCACGTTTATGGAACGGAATCGATCTTTCAATCTCTATTCTCGTGACCATCTGTTACAATTTATTATTACATTTGGACTTGTTTTATATCAATATTCTGAAGATTTATCATTCTACTACATAGAGAGAAAAAAACATCTACAGAAGAGTATGTTTGGTCTACAATAGAAGAATCCACCTACATATTATTTAAAAAGTAACAATAGTTAAAAAAGTTTATTTGTCACCTCCACAGCTAAAGTTAGTGCAAATAATTGATGATCTGTAAATATAATATGACTCATTTTATAGATAAATATGGTAATTTTTAACACCTCATAATTAAAAACAACAAACAGATCATCAAATGAAATTTAGGTTTCGCCTCATCATCCTTAATAGCAATTTGCCTAACGAAATTCATCAAAGTGATCCTGATTTCTGGCTAACTGCTATAAGTTTTGATTCTCTATTCTGTTTTTCAATTCGGTTCTTGAAACAGTCTATCTCTAATAACGCGATTGGGAAACCTGTTCAAAGAAGATAAAAACCGACTTCGCAATCTCATCTTCTTGACTTATATCCATGGGGCTCTCACAATTTCACAACAACAACAGAACATTCTAATCGAAGATGGATTCACTTCTTCTCTAAGATTTTGGGCAGAAGGTGGATTTGACCCGACGAATTCGGGAGGTTTTATTCAACTACCCAGAAGGCACCACCGTGCTAAAGGAGCTTATACAGAACGCTGACGACGCCAGAGCTACCCGGGTCTGTCTCTGCCTTGATCGCCGTGTTCATTGGTCGGATTCTCTGCTGTCAGACTCTTTGTCCCAGTGGTAGGGTCCTTATCTCTTGGCGTACAACGATGCTGTTAAACGAGGAGGATTTCGTTAGTATCTCCAGAATTGGTGGGAGTGAGAAGCACGGTCAAGCTTGGAAGACTGGTCGATTTGGGTAAAGCATCTACACTAAGCTTTTGTTTTACTTTAACAAAATATACGCACCCAAATCTTTTGCAATTGTCTTGGATTCCTTTTTTTATCATATCTCTTACTTGTGTTCGTCGTGAAGAGTCTTAACTGTTCGATTAGTTGAAATCATTTGAGAAAATTTTGAGTGAAAATGTTACTTTTATTTATATTATTATTTTTGAGGTTTTTTCATTAAAAAGAACTCAAACATATAATCATCCAAAACTACACTAAGCTTTTGTTATACGCACTGATGATCATCTCTCATTCGTTTTTTATTACTGTTCCGACTTTCATACTTGTAGGATTGGCTTCAATTCGGTATAGCACTTGTGTCCTCTACACGGACTATCTTTAGCATCAGCTATGTTGTTTGTGTTTGATCTGATTATTGTATATAAACAGGAGACGAACTGGATCATGTAGCAAGCTGGGAACCAAAGCCTGTTGTGAGAAACAGAGAAGGGAACAGCTAAACGATAAGTATGTTCAGAGTTTTGCCTAATGCGTATGTTTTTAGATAAATTGTTTGCACAATGTTGTTCAACAGTCTCAATATGCTTTCAGGTTTATGGAATTGAGCTCTGTTCTTGAGCCTACAAGGACTCCAAAGAAGGATAAATCAGCGATTCTAGATGATGCAATCCGGGTTGTAAATCAGCTCAGAGGTGAAGCTCTTGATCTCAAAGAAACCAACCAGAAACTTCTAGAAGAGATCAAGAGTCTTAAGGTTGGTTTCTCACTTTGATTTTCGTGAAACTTTTAGCTCTACCTAAACCCCATTATCTAATGAGCCTGATTTGATTCCGGTTTTTGCGTATAGGCGGAGAAGAACGAGTTAAGGGAAGAGAAGCTGGTGTTGAAGGCTGATAAGGAGAAGATGGAGCAACAGTTGAAATCTATGGCGGTTCCATCACCAGGGTTCATGCCTTCTCATCCAGCAGCAGCTTACCATCCATTCTTAAACCTTAAACTCTGTTTCTCAATTATGAGGGCTTGCCAACTAGAGTGAATCACGAGAAGAAAAGAAACAAACGTGCATTTCCTGAAGAAAGGTTTATAATTCATCTCCTCATTAAGTAAATCTGCACCCACGCATAGATCCAAGTAAAATCGTTGCACCATGATGACTTAGTTCTGACGTCTTTTTTATTAAAACAAAATAATTACGGTTCGTTTTTTTTTTAAATTACAGGTTCCAGACTCATTTCAGACTCAAAAAGCGTGGACTTGGGAGAATCTAAACTTGAAAAGGAATCAAATGAGCCTGCTTCCAAGGTACCAAAAAAACAATTTAGTTTTCTTTTCTTATGCAATGGGTTTTAATTTTGGGTCTACATATAGAAAATACTTATTTATAGAAGAAGTGATATTATTAAAATCGAGATAATTAAAACTTTGATTTACCTCAATTTGATGAGTTTTAATTTCATTACTAAATATAAATATAGAAAGGAAATAAACGGAAAACACAATATAAGGAGACTAACTTCTAAGCACCAAAAGTAGAATTCTGTTAATATCTTCAATTAATACCAAATATATCAAAAATTAGATAAAAGGAGATACAATTTACTATGATGCTGAAATATTTTGATTGACACCATCATCATTACTACTGACCCCTAATTATAATATATGTTTTCATAATTTTGGAATGTACTATATCATAAATATACGACTTTTAATTGTTTTTAGAAAAGTACATTATACGCTAATTTATTGATCTTCTCCAACTATATATGTAAAACGTTTTTAGAATGTACCTCATTCGATTTTTTTTATCACATACCACACATAATAATGGCTCTTGTGTGCCTTAAAAAATCTTCTTTTGTGATGTTAAACAATCTTGATTCTGCTAGCTACACCTAAAAGATAAAAGTACATATCCAAGTTTTTTTGGAATTCTTTTAATTCAATTGAAATGGTGCTGGTTGATGAAGAGGTTTGTTTTTATGTCTATATTTTTTTTCTAATGTTTTACTTTCAAAGTTGTAATAAGATTTTTTATTTCTAATTTTTCCAGGGAACCATGATTCATGCAACAGTGGTTGAAGAATTTATACAAAAACATTAATAAGCTTTGAAAGAAGGTGTGGCTGTTAGCATCAATGCTTTCAAAGTTAAAAAAATATGGTGGGGATTACAGAACCTCTCTGTTGCCGTTCAAGATGGAATTGACCCGAACAAGTGTTATCAAACCAGTTTGTGATTTCCCAAAAGAATTCCCAGAAAAATATTTCAGTGATTTTTCTGAGATTTTGGATGATAAACTCGACAAAAACATCTTGTAATACTAAAACACTTCTTCTACATTTACGTTTTTATGTTTCGAAGATATTCCATCCCTTTCTTTTAATTTTTCATTGTTTATTACTTTACATGTTTGCACGTAGATGTTATTGGACAAGTGTTTAGCGTGGGTGCCAAAGATGATATTCAAACAAGAGTACAAAATTAGAACTCGACATGTGGTAGAAGGTAATATTGATCCTAAGGGTGGTATATGTAATGGGACTAGACTTATTATTACTCAGATGGCTCGACATGTGGTAGAAGGTAGAATTTTAACAAGAAATGAAAAATTGATTGGTCAAAAGGTTTTAATCCCTAGGATGTATGTCACACCACCAGACACTAGGTTTCCTTTTAGAATGCATCGTAGACAATTTCCTTTAGATTTAGCTTTCGCAATGACCATCAATAAAAGCCAAAGACAATCACTTCAGAATATCGGTTTGTTTTTACCTAGACCAGTTTTTTCTCATGATCAGCTATATGTTGCTTTATCTAGAGTTAAATCTCGATCTGGACTTAAAGTTCTCATCATAGACAAAGAAGCGAATGTGCAAAAGAAAACTATAAATGTCGTCTACAAAGAAGTTTTTGATAATCTTTCTTAGTTTATGTTTTTGATATATTTTATTACACTTTATTATATGTTCTTACGTTTATGTAATATTTTCTATTGGAATATTTTATGATTTTTACTTATTTTGAATTGTCAAATGTACATACAACAGTAATATTTAATGTTTAGTCAATTATATATTTAAATATTCATAAAATAATATATAATATATTTCAAATATTAAACATATAAAATATGTTATAGCCCGCATATAGTGCGGACCGATCACCTAGTTACATTTAAGGCAGACGATTGTTTTTGAATATATATACTCCACAGAAGAATATAACTGCAATCAAATCAATTTTGGCAATGAATTGAATGTTTCCTGAGACTGAGTAAATAAATGCTTAAATCACGAAAAACCAATTTCAAATTTGTCTCTCTTTAAATTCCCTTATGGTGTGATATTTTCCCATTGACCAAATTCAGTTTTTTCAAAATCAAGAATGGAAAAGGACAATGGACTCATCATCAAGTACAATCTTCTTTCCTTTGTTGTTCTCTCATCATCGAGTCAAATCTTCTTCTTTTTTTTTAACTTTTCAGAAATTGATCCAACACTCTCTCTCTCTCTTCTCACTTTGCGCAGAAGCAAGAGAAAAGGTTGATTTTGCTCAGCCGATTATAAGATATAAAGAGAGTAGTAAATGGATTCATCGCAAAAGCTTGGCCTGGAACTCTGCTTTTTTCACCAGCCCTGGTTTCTTCTCATTTTACCTATTGTGAATTTAAAAGATAGAAAAAATAATAATACTCTTATACGATTCCAATGATTTTTTATTCCAATTTTGTTGTTACAGGAGTGTTAGATCATGAAGAATTATTCGGGAGCTTAAAAATTGGCGAGAATGAGATTGAAGTTGAAGTAAATAATAAACACTCAATCAAAACACTTCCTCGTGTTTCTCCGGAAATCGCTGATCGTCCAAGTTTTGCTTGGGACAATGCTTTTTTTACTGATCCAGGTCTCACTTTCTTAGTACAAACTCTCTTGTTTTCACAGTTTTACATTTTAAACCACTATTCCACTAATTTTTACTCTTTTTCAAAATTTCAATTTTTTTGTTTGAAAAATGATTCTATAACACAAACGTGTACGTTATTAGGCTATTTATTTAGTTTTGCAATTGTTTTGGGGAAATTGCATTCAACTAAATTGTTTCGGCTATTGGATCATTCCAACAATTTTATATATTTAGAATATGGTCCGCTTGAAAACTGACATTGGCTGTTGCTAAGGTGTTCTTGATGCAGAAGAGTTATCTCTGGTGAACAATGGTTTCACCAATGACACACAACTTCGTAAATCTATTGATTCGATGACGACGACGACCACTCAAGGAAGCAGATTATCTGTCTCGAGCATTGAGTTTGATCTGTTTCACAACCTCAGAGCCTCTCCACGAGATTCACCAAATGTGAAGCAGGTAACTCGAGAGATCCAGCGTAAGTTACCAGATGGTAAAAAGGTAAATACAGACTAAACTAGAGCGACTTTTTTTGTTTTTGGAATCAATCAATTGCTTTCATCTAATAAAATTAGCATCTCGGTTTTTGTTTTTGAAGAGGACTAAAGGTTACAAACAGAAAGATCAACCTTTGAGTCTCATTCCTCAACTCAAAGTGTCTTCTTCTTCGTCTTCTTCTTCTTCTTCTTCTTCTTCTTCATCGTCCTCCATAACCAAACCTTTGACTCCTCGTCAAGCTACTCCTCGTCAAGCTAAACCCCAGAAGAAATGTGTTGCGAGTGAACTCGGTGAGAATCGCATTATGTTTTTCCCCAACAGGAGAAATATCAATTACCCTTACAAAGTTTCACATCTTTTTGTTTGATTTCGAAGGGAAGAATAAGGGACAACACAAGAATCGTGGGTTTGAAGAACAATCTGGATCAAAATCTATCATAAGGTCATCGTATTCAGGTTATGCAATGAAGCATTTGATGACATCATCCTCCTCTGGTCTGAGGTTACCACTGCCAAAGATGAGATTTTTCGACTCGGTATGCTCTCAAAAGAAAATATGTTTTGTAAAACTTAGCAAATATATATATATCTTGATCTTGTGGGTGGTGATGAAGAAAAGCAAACTTTTGTTACAACAGGAGAACAACGGAGAGGAAGAAAACAGAGAACTAAATGCAGCTGAAGCAACTGCTGCAAACAGAAGAAGGAGACACAAGCCGAAACTTGAGAATTCTTCTCCACCAGAAAACCGCAGCGTTTTGGGGCAACCCAAAACCCTAAGGTGAAAAAGGGCAATCATACATTTGGGTGTTGAGTGCGTTACAAGGAATCGTTTTGCATATGGAGTCAGTGGTTTCTTGTTGGATAAGTCAGCTGATTTTTTTTTTAAAAAAAAAAGCAAACAGACGGCGATTACAAAACACAAACAATCATTGTGATAATTACGAGTTAGTAAATGAATGGGGTTATCCGGAATTATTTTTTCAATCATGTTTTTGTCCAGATGATAGTTATTTTTTCTCCTTTATCTGTACGTTGAGCTGACATATATACCCTTTTGATACGTATCAAAGCAGAAAAGGTTTCTAGGGTTTGTGTTGTACGGCCGCCATGAAACCACAGCAGCAGAGGGATGAAGACAGGGACAAATACGTGATCACAACCGTGGGAGACAAGACTGAACCGATTCCTCTAGATCTGACGTTCGAGATACTCAAAAGATTGCCTGCGGAGTCTATTTTGAAATTCAGATTGGTGTCGAAGCAATGGTGTTTCCTCATTGACTCTTTCATGTCTAAGTCTCGGCCACGCTTATCCCTCGTCCGCTATTACTTCTGTTTTCGTCACTTTGATTACAGTCCATTGCTCTATTTCTCTTCGCATCCTCCTCACCCCCAAGAATCAAACCATTCATCATCAGTTGTATCCAAACACCACTCACGAAATTTTCTTCGTACGGGCGTGGGTATTCTCAATTGTGTCCGTGGCATTATCTTGATTTCTCTCAGCCTTCGTAACTATGCGATATGTAATCCAACAACAAGACAAGTCATAAGGTTACCCGTTGCCTCTGAGTCTGATATCTGTCACATGTTCTTGGGATATGACCCAAGAAACGACCAGTACAAGATACTGCGCAAGTTGAGGAGCCGAGACGGATCTGTTGAACATAGTGTATGTACGTTGGAAACAGGTCAACAATCTTGTCTCTCATCGTGGAGACACGTCGAAACTAAGTTCTTGTATTCTGTTCGTGGTGATAAAGTGGTATGCATCAATGGCCTTGTGTATTATGGAGCTGGGACAGTATCATCGAAACGCTTTGTGGTAGTGAGTTTTGATGTCGGGTCTGAACGGTTACATCTCATTGATGGGCTAACCGAAGAGGAGACTGGCTTTCTAATAAACTACAAAGGGAAATTAGCCTGCCTTTTTGTCAACATTGCTAATAATAGAATTAGTTTGTGTGTACTTGATGATGCTAAGAAGTCGATTTGGTCAACCAAGATCGTTGCTCCTTGTCCTTCTTTTTGTGATTTATACCGGCGTCTCCGGCTAAGCATCTGCGGTACCACTGACGCTGGAGAGATCGTGTTTGTGCCCGAATTTACTGGTGGTGATGCTCTTGAAATTTCCTATTACGATTTAGAGAAGAACGAAGAGAGAAGAAGGTTAGTACTTAGATCAGTTGGAGATATCAAAGATTGTGATGCGTTTCCCTGTTATCCAGATTCGTGTAGGTGTGTTTCTGGTGACCTTAATCTGTATAGAGTTAATGTTTCATGTGACCATGTGGACAATATTACTTTCTTCTAAGACTTATTCGATTTATATATAATCAGGAATCAGGATTGTTTTTTTTATTTTTTTTAACAGTCTTCGTTTGTTAAAAAAATAGTACTATTTTATTATTTAGCGGAAAGGCAAGAGTTTTTATTACAAGAGTGATGATAATGAGAAACAGGAAAACCTAAATCAGAGATGAAAACTGTACAAGAAGAAGGATTTGGACACATTCATCAAACGACAAGAACGTAGATAGCGTAGATGATCCCAGGGATGTAACCTAGCACAGTCAACAACAAACATATCCAGAACTCTACCTGCATTCATCAATAAAGGATAATTAATTACTTAAAAGACAAGAAAGTAATTAAATTAATGATGATGTAATTTAAATTTAGTGCTTACCCCACAACCATATCGGAGGAAAACGCCGACGGGAGGCAGAAGAATTGCCAGAATCACTTCGAGGAAAGTCTCTGAGCCCATTTTTGTTTCTGGATTTTCCAAGAAGAAGAGTGGTTTGTTGATTAGGAAGAAGCGAAATTGGTGATGAGTGGGTTAAGAAGTAAAACAAGAGGTGGGTATTTGACACGTATAGTTCTTGCAGTGTATTTCGTTCCACGTGTTATATTTTGGAGTGCATCCATAACAATGTGTCCTATATGTGTTACGAGCTTTTCCTAGAAAGACAGAACACGTCAACTATCTGCTTACTTCATAACTGTTTTCACTCATTTGAGGGATCTCAAAAATTTGAAAAAAAAAATTTTCCCAAGAAAATATAAATGCTTTTGATAAGTATGGATGGCAAATTGGCAATTGCTAGTCTGTTAACTATCCGGTTTGAATTTTAAGTTCATAATGGTATCAATGTAACTGAATTTTACATTCCATTGTACTTATTAGTATATGAAAAAATCGACAATAGTTGATATTAATTAGCACGTATTGATTATAAAATGTTTGGAGATCGACCAAAACCGCCTATGATTACAAATCAAGATCGATCGAGATTAAATAATCAAGATCAAATAAAATAAATTGCTTGCTTTTAAAATATCCTAAATGTAACAATCAAATAATTAAGATGACTTTATTATATACTATAACTGAAAATAATATCCGAGAAAAGATGAATATATTACAAAATAACTTCAAATCTTACTCACCCAAATACCAAAAACTCCAAAGTAGAAACTGGCTTATACTAAACAACTTGTGCAACAAGTCAAGAGATACGACGGACTCAACTGAAACCTAAATATGGCTCTAAACACCCGCCTTTATTGGAAACCCTTTTCTTTTCTTGGCTCATATCCACCGTTGATATCAGCAGATTAAATCTGGGCATCAAAATAATTAAGAAAGATAAAATCCAGCCAAGTCCCGTACGAGTTGCATTCGTTGTAACGATGCATCAAAATTGCATTTAAACTATCCACATGGTGATCGACTTGGACTTTATTAATATTCGATAAAAGATGAAGATTTTACAAAATAATCAAACTTAACCTAAATTGTCTGAAACTTAAACTTTATTTACACGCAAATACCGAAACTCACAAGTACAATCTGGCTTATACTTAAACCCTAAATACTGTATGACTTAACAACCGAAACCTAAAACAGCCGCCTTGAATGGAAACTCCTTTCTTTGATGGGCTCATCTCCACCGTTGATCTCAGCAGATCAAATCTTGGGGTCTTGGAACCATCATCATCACCGGTCTTCCTTGTCTTGTAGAATATCCCTCCCTCACATTGTTCCTTGCGACAGAAGCAAACATGAGAGGAGAAAGACACGGGAGCATCGTTGGCCGTGGTGGAACACTAATCACTCTTTGCTTAACAAAAGGGTGGTTCAATAGCTCCGCTGCGGTGGCTCTACGTGACGGCTGCAAATCCAAGCACCGCCTCAAGAAGTCGCTGGCCATAGGCGAGACAAGTCTGGGAAGCCTCCACGTGTAACAATCTCCCATCCTCTCTGGACAGCCTCCAGACATCTGAAGAACCACACACCCTAGAGACCATATATCAACGGCCGGTCCAATCACTCTGTTGGGTCCACAAGACTCCGGAGGCATGTACTGTTTCGTACCACCGTACAGTGACCTCGAATCCTGACAGGGCTCCTTGGATAAACCGAAATCGGCGAGCTTGAGATCCCACGGCTCCCCAACAGTCTTGGATGGGAAGACGAGGACGTTGTCTGGCTTTATGTCGCAGTGAACGTAGCCGTGCGAGTGAAGAGCCTCGATTCCTTGTAGGATCATAAGAGCAGCGTGTCCGATCACAGATTCAGGCATTGGTCTCCCACGGAACTCGGAGATCATCTTCTGGAGAGTACCTTTGGAGGCAAACTCCATGTAGATGAAGCATCGTTCGGGGTTGGTGCCTATGTGAAGATTAGGGCTTGAGGTTTGGACGATGCGAGGATGGTTTCGGAAACGAAGCATGATCCTGTGCTCTTTCTCCAGATTCCTCAAGTAATAGAGCGGCGACGACTTCTCTGCGTATAATCGGAAGTTGGAATCCCTCATGAGAGAGACGGAACCGAAACCCCCTCGGCCAAGTAAAGAGACAAACGTTAGCGAGGATTCTTCAACATTCAAACCTTCTCTGTCTCTAATCATCATCTTCTCCATATTCTTTTAGGTTTTGCTACGAATTCTATTTTTCTTTTGTTGTGGTTGAGAAATAAGAAATCGAGTCAATGATGCTTCATATCGGAGAGTCTGACACTCTCTATTTATAAGAAAGATAGATAAGTCGGTGATTTCTATTTTGTTTTGTAATCGAGACTGATCGATCTGTTCATTTTTTTCCTTTTTTTCTATCATGTTTAATTTCCTTTTTGTTGTTTCTTATCTGCTTTCCTTTTTTTTTTTAACTCACAATGCAATATTTCCTAGCTAGCTAGGGAAAATCATGATTGATATTTTCGCTCTCTAAAAAAGTGTAGGATATTCAATTGATTCTACTAAACAAATCTCCATTCGATTATATATAGGAAAATCATAAATCATAAAGCATGAATAAAATAAATAAAAAGGTAAAAACATATAATTAGATGGAACAGAAAAAAAAAACATTTAACTTTGAAGATTCTTTAGAGTTTTTACACATTGACCTAAAATATATAACACTGAAAATGAATATGAATTAGCATTACGATAACTTCGAAAATGAAACCTCTATTATATACTTTCTTCTAGTTAACTCGTGTAAGTGTAAGAAACGAGAAGAAGAAAGAAACTTAAATACAACCTGCTCAAGAAAACTAAAGCTAGATGTGAATATCCACAAATACTTATGCTTAAATTAATTCTTTTTTTTTTTCGAAAAACATTGTGATCATCGTTTCTTCAACTCACCCTTAAACCCATTTTGCCAAAACCAGTATCTTGCATCATCTCCACGAACTCACTGTAATCTATTCTTCCATCCTGATAGAAAGAAAAAAACAACACATGCATAAACTATTTAAAGCATTGAACAACAATGTGCTTCCAAGTAAGTAACTACTGAAAGCAAACAATGGAGATTAATTAGTTTAATTACGTTGTCCTTATCGACTTCGCGTAAGATGTCGTCTAAATGAACATCGGCTAAGCCAAATTGCTTGCAAGCTTGCTGGAGCTCGTCTCGGGTTATATAACCACTTCCATCTTTATCAAAGTAAGAGAAAGCTGTGAACAAATGGTCTTCTTTCTCTATTTTGTTTAAATGCACCATCGCTGCTATAAACTCTCCATAGTCTATAGTCCCACTGTTATCTATATCCGCCTGAAAATGTATTTTTTTTACCAAATTATTTGATAGCTCGTAGTATATCTATCATATGGTAAAAAGACAGATTATTCCAAGTGGACTTACTGCTTGCATTAATCCTAATATTTCTGAATCTTTTAGGTTAGCACCAACTCTATCCAAGCCCTTCTTGAGTTCTTCAAGAGTGATGTGTCCACTATTGTCTGTATCTATCATCTTGAACATTTCCTTCAATCCCGCTATTTCTTCCTCTGACAAGCTCTCTGCTATCACCTGAATGAAAATGCATAAATATATAACAACAACTCACGTCAAGATCAATTGGTATCGAAATTGCTACGTAAGTGGTTAATTTGTATGTGAGTCTACTGATGTTGATTTAGTCATTATGTTCACCTTGATAGCAATTTTCTTGAGTTTGTTCATGGCTGAAAACTGTTTCAAACGGCTGAGGACAGCAGAATCAAGAGGTTTATCAAGAGCAACACCATCCACTCTGGCCCAAGGATGACCTACAACGTAATTAACATTTACACGTAGCTCTGTGCTTACTCATACATATCATCTATAATAAAAAAAGATGGAACTTTATCTGGAAAGAACAACACTAACAGAGAACTTCGTGAGCAGTCATTCGCTTCTTAGGGTCTCTGATCAGCATCCGACGCACCAAATCTTTGGCGCTTTCTGATACACTAGGCCATGGTTCTGATACAAAGTCAAGGTCACCTTTCAAAACCTGCTCAAAGATGCCTTGCTCCGTTTCTGACATACAACAAAATCAAATCAGTCTCTGCCATGGACACAAAAGCATATGCATTCAAAGCATGTCTCTCTCTTACCATCCCAAAACGGAGGCACACCACTAAGTAAGATGTATATAATAACTCCAGCACTCCAAACATCACATTCATGACTATAATGCTTCCTTAAAACTTCTGGTGCCACATAGTAAGGGCTCCCAACTACATCAGTGAACGTTTCTCCTGTAAAAGGCCAAGGATTTCATCAGAACATGAACACTCTTTAAGGATACTGAAAGTAGAATCCAAAAGATATCAATTAAAACCTGGCTTAAAGAAGACAGAGAGACCAAAATCGATAGTCTTGAGTGCGGCTTCTTCGTCTCCGTTTACAAACAAGAAATTCTCAGGCTTGAGATCACGGTGCATCACGCCTAGAGAGTGGCAAGCTTGTATGACACCAACGATGATCCTCGCAAGCTCAGCAGCTTTTTTCTCGGTGTAGTGCCCTCTCTGTATGATCCTGTCGAAGAGCTCTCCTCCTGCACAAATCTCCATCACCACGTGAACAGCGACGGCGTCTTCGTACGCGCCGACGATCTGAATCACGTTCGGGTGCCCGGAGAGATGGTGCATTATCTGAATCTCTCTCCTCACGTCCTCCACGTCCTCGGGGGTCGTGAGTTTCCTCTTGGCGATCGTCTTGCAGGCGAACTCGTTCCCGGTCTTCTTCTCCACGCAGAGAAACGTCGTCCCGAATTGCCCCTGGCCTAGTTTCCTACCGACGCTGTAGATTTCCTTGAGATTCTCCGTTTTCCTCCCGAGCACCGACTCGATTTGGAGCCCCGCGCTCGCCATTCGTTTCATGTGCGCCTCTTTCTTCGGCCTCGAGTCCGCCGCGTCGCCGTCGATTTTCCCTTCCTCCTCCGGGATTTTGCTCTTGGGTGGTTCTTCGTTCGCCATTTTCACCGGAGGAGGTGGGGTGCTCGGAGTCGGAATCGGAGCTGGATCCAAGGCGGAGGAAGCGGCGTCGCCTGGATTTCGATTAGCGTCGTCGCCGGCATTGACGCTCTTCTTCCGGCTGCTCTCGTCCTTGTTGCTCTTAATGCTCTCGTCTGGTTTCTGATTCCGCCACACGGCGGCACTAACGGATTGAAGGAATCCATTAGCGTTCAGATTCGGACCCACGCATGTGTTTCCCATTCAAATGAAATTTCACCCCAAAAACTAAAATCCACAAATCCTGATTTTGCTTTTCCTTCTTCTTCTTCTCTATATCCTTCTCGCGAGACACCGAACACACGATAGCGCCATTGACGTTGACGAATCCATAGAATTTTTGGCTGTGTCTTCGAATTCGACACAGCGCGAAGAAATTAAACGTGAGATGAACAAACACAACCTAATATGGGAGGGAAACGAGTTTGTTGATCCTCGCTTGCTTTTGCAGCTTCGCCGGAAGCGAAAATTCTCGAGAGAAACTCTGTGGAAATTTCTTAAAATTTGGTCGAATGGTTTTGCTTCCGAGAAAATCTGATGAGCTGATCAGAGGAGGAGGAGGGATGATGAACAAAGATGATTCTAGGCCGTCTATTATAAATGAGGACTTTAAATACTTTAAGGGTGACAAACTGACAATCGCGCGTTTGGTTTCCATCAAACCGTAAGATAAATATATTAATATATACAAAGTTTGGTTTAGGTGTCATCATCGATTGGAGTGTATATTACATTATTTTTTCTTTTTGAGTAAAACTGATTGAATATTATTATAAGCGAAATTTGGTTTAATAAAAAAAAAAACTATAATCTAAAACCTAACCATATTTTCTATATATCTTCTTTTCTCTTTCTACATATTTGATTAGTTTTTAAATTATAATTTTTTGGTTATTCATCAAATACACCCATATTATAATTAAAATATAAAAGAAACATACTCATTTAAACTTTAAAGTATAAAAAAGTTCCCATTTTAAAAATTTGCCTTAAGCTCCTATCAACCTTAAGCACGATCATGCTGATGTGAAAACACAAACCAAAAAATAAATAAAAAGAAGAAGAAAATGTAACGTTATTGGCAGCTGAATATTCGACAAACCAGTGATACTGAAGAATGAATGATGCAGGACTAATGATTTCATGTATATATATATTGGACTTTAGGAATAGGAGAGAGAGAAAGAAAAAAAAACTGATTGGATTTTGCAACAGCATAAAAAACTAGCCATTAGCCAAATAAAGTTGTGCAAGAATAATGATTTTCCATCAAACACTTATAGTATACTCGAATCGTTGATGGGCTGCGTTTTTTGTACTCGAATGCTGAATCTACTTGCTCAAGCACAATGGTCTTGCATGGTCTCTCAAAAGCAGGTATGACTAAAGATTCCAGTGATACTAAAGACCAGTGATAAATTATCATAACGTAATAACATTCATACACAACTTGTTTTGGTCTCACCAAAGAAAGAAAAAAGAACTCTCATAATGCTGATTTTTCTTTAAACCGAATCTATAATGTCTCAGGCATGGCAGAAACAAAAAAAAGTTTAGCTTTTCTCTCTCTTTTTTTTTTGTCATCACCTTTTTCTATTTTATTTGAAAAGAAGTTATGAAAATTGAAGTAGTAAACAATTAGTAGCCGATCATATGCATCGTCTGTTCGCTCCAAAACATCTTTGACTGCTTCACCATCTCAGACCGTTCCCCCATCACCCTCTCCTTCCAATACTCTTTGCTTCTACAAAAATATCACACATTCATCAAATTTATTGAGAAACACACAAATTTTATCAATAATTCTTGAAACATTGACCTCCATTAATAGAAAAACATGTGAGTTAATATGATATAGCGACTTTGAACAATCTATACCACCCCAAGAAAAAAAAAACAAGACTAACTTATAACGACTTTAAACTATAAGCTTTGAAGTGCAAAAATTCGTTTTAAAATCTCTCTTCTAGTAACTAAACAAAGGAAAGCATTATTTTTCTAGTATATATGTAAATAACCATCACTTCAAAAACATTATAAACACATACACTGGTTTGGTACCATCTAAATTAACTAGAGATTTGTCTCACCGTATCTTTAAAAGAAGGTGCAGCTCGATCATGTGAACCGCTTCCGCATAAACTCCAACCTGCATACCGCATGCAAACAATCAACACCTCAATGTAGATGATGGAAACAAAACTCGAGAGAAGACAAATGTTTAATGTTGCAAGAATCTAAACAATACCTCTCTGCATATGGGACATTTGGAACATTGAGGCGCTGCTTTAATGCCTTGGAAAATCATTACAGAAGCAGCCGAGCATGCACAAGCTTTACAAAATATGTGACCGCACTTTAAAGCGTAGGGATTGAATACAGTTTCCTGCCCAATCAATCCAACCAAAACGTTATTAATCTTCAACATCATGAGAGAAAATGATCTGAAATGTGTAAACTACATATGTTTATAAAAAGAGGCAGAGCTTTTATTTTTGTTACCAGGCAGACCGCGCAAGTTAGATCAAACTCGAGCTCTATTGAGTTAGGGAGCATGAGTTTCATCACTGGTTGATCTTCGTTGAGATTATCACATGAGACGCTGCCAAAAGAGTTCTTGAAGTTTCCAACTTTTTCAAGACCAGAGTTTAGATAAAAGGCTCCAAGTTCTATAAGCCAAGGTGAGTGCAAGAGCTCTATGCGCTCTGCTCGCATTTTCAAGTTGAAATTCTTCCCATTCACTGAGCCATGCACCTATGAAAAAAAAAAAAATTAAACCAGTTTAACGAGCTTGCCTTTTTTTTTTGTTTTTGAATACGTTTTTTCTTTTATCTTTGCAACAATCCTAACCTTGTCATATTTCTTGAGGATTTTACGGATGGCAATGGCGTTCATTGTTATGTATTGAATCAAGATTTGGCCCTCGTGGATTAAAGCTTGTTTTTCGTCCGTGAAGCATCTGCGTAGACGCATCATGTATCTCTGCATCCCAGTGGCTACATGAAGATGGAGTAGATGCCTGACTCTTGACTTGAAGCATCCGGCTATGTCAGAAGCTTCCTTCATTAACTCCTCAAAGAACATCTGATCACACGCTGCATTGTAACATATAACATATCACATCAAAAAACAAAATCACACTCGTCACAAAAAATGAAATCTTTCGCATCAACAAACTTTCTGAATATCCATAACTAGGAGGTCTTCAGTAAACTTGGTTCAAAAAGTATTCTCTGCTAAAAAAAGTCTTCGAAAATATGTTTAAACTGTTTTTAGGAATCATAGATATATTTTCAACTCAAAATAATCAACAATGAGGGAATTACCACTATGCAAGTTGGATTCATCTCTATTTCTATTGTGGATATTCTAACAGATTCATATGAGATGAGATGAGAGTGAATCAATCAGTTTAGAAATACCACTTTAAAACATGCCACTAAAAAGTGTGTATAGCTCATCGGATGATCTAACTGCTGTAGACTTTGATGCCATTTAAATATCATGAACTTTTAACTTAAAACCAATGGCAACTAATAGATTGATCATGTTCTTTCTATACAATGTTATATCTATCTGCTTATGTAGATGATCAAAAGGAGTAGAGCCCTAGGCATAATGAGCACCGCTATGTCCATTATCTATTGAAGCTGGATTCCACTAATGCACTAAGATTACAAAGGTAAAAAGTGATAGGGAAAGGGGGGATAAGATGTACATACAAGGACAAGATGATTGGCATTGGCATGAATCTGACAAGGAAGTAGCCGAAGAGATGATGCGTTCATCATCCGATCTGGTGGAGTTACATGTCTTGCATTTCTTCAACACTTTCTTGAGTTTCTTATATTCAACATGACGACATTTTTCCAGGAACCACTCCTCTTCTCCATGTAGATATTCCGAGAACGTCTCTCCAAACTTCATCTTCTCGCATAATACACAAATCTCAATCTCAGGCTGCAATATATATGCCAATATGAGATACTTAATTTCCAATCAAATAAAACACACAACTTATTTTCCAGTAAATTCTTCAAATTATAAATATCGAAGATAGTGAATTTGAGTACGTCCCAAAAAGGACAATCATCACCTCTTAATTTTTTTTTTTTTTTTGATTGAAACGAATTGACTATTGCCTAATGAGAGAAGTTATCGTCGGAAGAAAAGGAGATCGAAATATTTCGAATCCAAATTAATTACCTTTTCTCACGTCAAAGACAAGGGAATCTGGAAATTCGGACAAGAGAGCTGGAGGAGGAAGACGAAAGCTCTGTCGATTAGAGTCGCTTTTAACTTTATTGGGTATTGGACTTCCTATTTTTAGGGTTTTGTTTCGCTTTTTTTTTTCAATAGGTATTTTTAGGGTTTTGTTGTACAAACAAATCTAAGCAAAGTTGCTTTGGTATATCTATAGTCTCGTTTTGAACGGCATGCCACTTACGTGTTTGAGTATTAGATAACCAAGAAAACGCGTCATAATCTGATCCCACGAATGCTCCAACGAATTGTGCCCATTCGTGGATCAGAATCGAGACTTTTCGTTGACAATTTTTTATCAATTCGGTTTGGTTCGTTTATTTTTTGATATTTCGGTATCGAAAGTAAATCCAAATATATATTATGGATAGTTTAATTTGGTTAGGTTTCAGTTTCGGTCTTGACTTGAATATTAATCGAATTCTTTTATTCCTTAAAAAAAATTCGGTTTTCTATCGGTTTTTCCTTTATGATTTGGTTCGGATTCGGTTTTAGTTATTTGGATATAGAAAAATTAAAAAAATTCAGATGGGGGTATTTTAGTTCAGTTCAGATCGGTTTGTCCGGATTGGACCCACTTAACTCGATTTTGAATATAATTTATATAAACCCACTTACTCTTGCTCCAAACACCAAAATGTAAATTCATTGATTTCAATATTTTCTTTTCTTTTTCATAAAAAAATAATATCAAGTGACTGATAGCGGCGGCTAGGCGCATTAGAATTCTCAAGAACAAAAGTTAAAGTTGTCAAATATTCAATTTTGTTGCACCAAAATTTATATCATTAGTTCATTAGTTAGATGAAGGTGCTGTTCATGCTGGAAAGTGTTGTTAATCTACTAAAACAGTTCGCCTTAGCAGCTTCTCTTTCAGGCCCGATCCCCTAGGTACTGCCGCGACGAGCCCAAGATGAGTTGCAGCTACCGCCGACCCTCCTCCGCCCAGATCTCTACCTGAAGTACGCTGCTCCCCCCCACCTTTCTCGGATTCCTTTCAGTCGAGTCGGAATCCTTGCTTCTTTCTTTCACCGTTTCGCTCCTTCTCTTTTCTCGTATTTATCGACCTTGTTCAAGTGGCTTTGAGCACTTCTGTATTCCAGCCTGCACGCTGAGTTTTTAGATCAGAGTCGCCCCTTCTCCAGCTTCCAGTGGACCTCCTCTCGCCTCCCATGACTCCTTTGTTAAACTCTCTCCGCCCTGAAACTTCTGGTTCCCTGCCGAACTCCACAGATCCGGTGAAGAAAGCCTCGTTTCCAGAGCTGTTCACGAAGGCTACTCCTCCTGAATCTCCACCGCTAGAGCCGCCTGACCCCCATGATCCATCAGACACGCCTGAGTCTACTTTGTCAAAGCCAGATCCTAAAAACCAGTTCAAGTTTTCTTCTCAGTCAGCAATGACGGTATCTTTTCAAACTGACCAATCTTCTGTTTCTGGTAATATTGTTTCTGTATGCCTATCTTCTTCCTTAGTGGAGAAATTTTACTTCTTTATGGAAAGACTTTACTCCTTTGTGGAGATTTCACCATTATCATTTTGTTACGTCAGATCTGTGTTTCCAATCTTGTCCTCTTGCTTCTTCTTAGCATTTCTGGAGGTTGAACTATTGTTACTTGAGAAAATATTATCTCCAGTGATTTTAGTTCTGTTAGACTTGTTCTGTCTTGTTATCTCTTTTTATGGAGCAGTTTGTTTTTCCAAAATTTCTACTTGTGATAAGTGATTTGGATGTTCAAGGCTCGCCGGTATTGCAAGGATTTTCCCCCGATTTGGTCTCTCTTCTGCCTCTGTTACAGATTTTGAAGTACTTTTGAGTGCTCTGAATGCATACAGTCAAAAAGTTCATAAGATTTTAGCTTATTTTCGATTCCTTATGATTTCTATTGATAAATTGTATTTCCAATCTATCTCTTGTTTAGCCTTTTCGTTTGGCAAACTTTTTGGCAGTTTTACCTCCTTTGTAAACCTTCCTCCACTTATGGAGTTTGAGTAGCTTTATGCTTAATGAAATCAGTTGACCAAAAAAAAAGAAGGTGCTGTTCATTTCCTTATCTGACCGTTGTATTCAAATGCAAATACAAAATGTTGTTCATTTTGCAACAATTAATCACATAAAATAGATGCAGAAGTTGGATACAAATATCAAATTCATCCAAAAAACCATATATTTCAAAAGTAGAGTCTAAATACAGATATCTCATCTAAAAATATAAATGTCTAAAATAACTCTATCTAATTTAAACAATTATATATTAATATATCATAAATAATAAATTTCATAAAAAATCCTAAATTCTAAAAATTCCCAAATTTTATTATCCTACCAAAACTGCAAATCCTTTTCTCGCCAAAACCTATAAATTATATTTTTGCTAAAATCATAAAGTTTTATTTTTCCTCCAAAACCGTAAAATTACGTTTTCCCGCCAAAAATGTAAAATCACGGAAAAACTGTAAAATTCTGTTTTTTCAACAAAACGGTAAAATCACAGGAAACCGTAAAATTCTGTTTTTCCACCAAAATCGTAAAATCACAAGAAACCCGTAAAATTTTGTTTTCCCGCCAAAACCGTAAAATCACGAGAAACCCGTAAAATTCTGTTTTCCCAATATTGTAAAATTATGTTTTCCTGCCAAAACTGTAAAATCACGGGAAAATCATAAAATTATGTGTTCCCGCCAAAACCTTAAAATCACAAGAAATCCGTAAAATTCTATTTTTCCAAAACCGTGAAATTCCGTTTTCCCACCAAAACCGTAAAATTTTATTTTCTCGCCAAAACTGTAAAATTTTATTTTCCCGACAAAATCGTAAAATTACAAGAAGCCCGTAAAATTTCATTTTTCCGCCAAAACTGTAAAATTACGTTTTCCCGTCAAAATCATAAAATTACAAGAAACTTGTAAATTTTCATTTTCCGCCAAAACCGTAAATTTTCATGATCCCGCCAAAACCGTAAAATCACGGAAAAACTGTAAAATTTTGTTTTCCCGAGAAAACTGTAAAACCTTAAATTTACGTTTTTCGTCAAAACTATAAATTCTGCTTTCCTCCAAAACTGTAAAATTTTAAAGATTATTTGTTTTTAAAAAATATATTTAAAAAAATTTTCTTGTAAAAATAGTAAAATACATTTTTCTAGTCATTTTATTATTAAATACATCCAAATATAAATATAGATACACAAACGAACATGAATGTATCTAGTTACAATATTTAGATATACTAATCAAAAACACAAACGAACAACATCTGAATGCATTGTCCAAACATAATATCTGAAAGTTTTATCAAGACACTGTGTCCAGATAAGGAAACGATTAGCGCCGAAGTCTAAAAATGTCTTTTTTACTGTGAATCCACGTTCAGGTATTTAAAACATGATCAAACGAAAATTCAACAAGAGTATGAATGAAATTTCAAGGAAATTAATATACTCCACACCTTTTTCACTTAGCCTTAACAACATATCTTCTATAAAAATGATTAAAAAAAAAAAGAGAGAGTAGCTTGATAAAATGAGACTGTGATATGTTGGAAAATATCATGATACCTCAACCTTTTCTTTTATGTTAAACGAATCTCCCCTTTAAACGATGGCCTTTGGTATTGGAACTTCCACTAATAACCCAGAAAAAACAAACAAATTTAATCATACTTAGAACATTATTGTGCTTTTCTTTATTTCCATTGCAGTCACATGGATGCCAACATGAGTGGGTTTCGGACATAGGAATCCTGGGAGGCTAAAGATCATATTTTAAGAGTTTCAATGATTACATTTCATTGTAACCAAACACATGCCTTCTATAATGTATGATTATATGTTATTCGATTAAATTTCAACTAGAAAAGGGTTAAATCATATATAATAATATAATAATATTAATGTATTTAATAAAACATATTTAGAACATATTAATGTATGATTAATGTATTTGATTCTCAACAAATTACAGAACTATATCTAACATAGGAAATTTAGTATTTTAGATATTTATTTTTGTTAATTTTTTTATTTTGATATGATGTTACATACTACAAAAAAATATAAGATCACAAATTCTTAATTTTTATATGACCCCGATGATCTCATGACCAATTTTGCATGGGCTTCGACAACAAACTCCTTGTTGTCACTGATCAACATCAGAGATCCTACTCGGCCTCTCCTTCTCATATAGCATGGCATTGGCAGTTCCCTAATTAATTACAAAAACAAGATTTGAGGAAGCGTAACCATCGACTCCACTATATATAAGTCCATTAAACTGTGATCAGTCGTAATGACAGGTTGGTCCCAAATCAAATCGAATCACTTCGTCTGAAGCTAATCATATTAATTGGTCAGGTTCACTCAAACTACAGGTGGGTGTAATTCTTTTCCCACTTTTCTGGACTTTTCACGGTTTATTTGGGCTTCCTCTTTTGAATTATTTGATTTAATTTTTCTAGTCGATATACAAACTATTTATTTCCTAGTTTTTATATAAGGTAATTTAACAAAAACGAAAAATGTATATTTTTGCCTTTTCTCCTTCAATATAATTTTTTTTTCAATAATAATAATAAGTAGTTTTAGTTTCAACAGTACTAATTTGGGCTACTTTTTTCCAAAAAAATGAACGTACAAACGATGCAGAATCAGGAAGTGGAATGACTTTTATTACGTGAAAATCAGACTCCGTTACCTTTTTGATGCCACGAACGGTCGAAGAAGAGAGACAACTTTGAGTTTAAGCAAAAAGTTAGATTCTATACGCAACAAAGTTGGGGTGTATGAATTATCAGCGCTTTTCGCCAACCTCATACATAAGCGTATACGCATTATCTAAAGTTTTACTATTATTCTTGTTGAAACTGACGAACAATAACTCTCAACCATAGATTGTCAACTTTTTCGCCTCTATCAGTCCCTTTCGCGACCTTTAATTTTCACACAATGATTTATGTGCATTTTCTTTAGTATTGCCGAAAACTTGGAATTTCAAAAAAAAAAAAAAAAACAATTCTTTTGAATTCCTAAAGTTGAATTTTAGTAAGTTTAGTACTGATATTAGTATGCGCATACCAAGTTTATAAAGCAAAGAGACGATCATTCTTGGCACATGTGTAGAACTATCTTGACGAGTTTTCTAACGCATATATATC